TCCGTCCAGCGGCGCATCACGCTTGCGTCGGAAACCGAATGGTCGATCGAGCATCAGATCACGAACAAGGGCGCAGCGGCCCGCCATGTGGGCATCTGGTCCGTGATGATGATCGACCATCGCGCATCGATCGGCGTGGCGACCTCCGCGCCAACGATCGAGCCCGTCTTCGGGAACGCCGGAACGCTTGTCCAGCCGGCCGACGCGGGCATTGTGTGCACGTGTGCGGAGCGGCAGGAGTTCAAGGTCGGCCTGCCGAACCCCGATGGTCGCACGCTGATCCGGTTCGGCGACGGCGACACCTGGCTTCTGTGTGCGACCGACCCTCAGGAAGAGGCCGATGCCTGGGCCCACGGCCATCCGTTCGAAGTCTTCAACTCGGGCGACTATGCCTACTGCGAAACGGAATGGCACTCCCCGGCCAAGACGCTTGGACGTGGAGAGGCGATGTCGTTCCGCCAGACCTTCCGGATCTGGTCAGGCGATCAGGTGCCCGGTGACATCGGCCTTGGGCCGTCTGATCAGGAGTTGATCACATGCATGTTCTGATTACGGGCGCTGGCGGCCACCTCGGCCGCAAGCTCTTCGACGCGCTCGAGGCCAAGCCCGGTTACGCCGTCAGCGGCATCGACATTCGCCCCACGGACCATCCGCGGATCCACACCGCCGACCTGTCGTCCGAGCCGGTCTGGGCGGACCTGTTCGAGGGTGTGGACGTTATCGTGCACCTTGCCGGCGACCGCGAGCCGGGCGCCACCTGGCCGTCGGCGATCAAGAACAACATGGATGCAACGCTCACGCTCTATCACCACGCCGCGGCCAGGGGCGTGAAGCGGGTCGTCCTTGCCAGCTCGAACTGGCTTCACGGCGACAAGCGCTTCACCGGCGATCGGCTGGATTCAACAACGCCGCCCGGTCCGATCAACGCCTACGGCATGTCGAAGCTCTTCTGCGAACGGACCGGCGCTTATTTTGCCGAGCACCACGGTCTGTCGGTCATCTGCCTGAGGATCGGCTGGACCCAGTGGACCCACGACAACCGTCCGGGCCCACACATGGCGATGGGGCGATGGGGCCAGGAGATGTGGCTCAGCGACCGGGATTTCCTGAGCGGAATGCAGGCCGCGATCGAAGCGGCCGATGTCGACTTCGCGGTGCTGAACCTGATGTCGGACAATCCCGGCATGCGCTGGGACATCAGCGAAACGCGCCGGGTGATCGGGTATGAGCCCGAAGATGGAAGCCCAGCAAAGATCACGATGGCAATCCGCCTGACGTCAGCGCTGAAGAAGCTGGTGACCGTGACGCTGCCCAACGCGATCGATAAGCGGCACCCTGACTGGTAGCCGCGGGGATGAAGCCGCGCATGGCGCGGCGTCGAAGAACGGCGCCCCCGGAATCCGAGGCGGCAAATGGCCCAAACGGCAACTTCCGCCAATCAGATGAAAAGCGCGTGCGCATGCCCATCAGGGCCGCGATCCGCGCGTCGATGCAAGGGCCGGCTGTATATCAGCGGCTTCCGCTATCGAGCCAAATCCTCTCTTGCGAAACGCAGTCGGCCCATACATTGCCGCCGGTTGCGGGCATGAGCTTATGAACAATCTTACGGTGGCTTCCGGCCGGCAGCATCCGCTGCCGGCATCTCGGCGCCGGAGAATTTTCCGCTCTCAAGGATCAGCCACGCTCGGCCAGCATTTCGACAAGATCTATGTCCGCCCGTTCGGTCAGCGAGACATAGACAAAGGTGATCGTCTCGCGTGCACTGACCATTGCCGAGGGGTAGGGCAGGTGCACCAGTTCGCGGGACGCGAACGCCGGCGACGCGGTCCCCATCTGCCATCTTGTTTCGATAGAGACATCGACAAGATGCATCCGCAAGCCATCGGCTCCCGTCCGGCTTGTCGGGATACCGGCAAGCTCCAGAAATGCAGGCTTGTCGTCAGACTTGCGAAACCCGTCAATGAACGATGCGGCCAGCGATTGCAGCCGATCGTCACGCTCCTTGTCCGGATCGACGTGCACGTGGCTGTGCATGTGGTCATGGGCGTGATTGTGCCCGACACCGTGGCCATGATCGTGGTCGCCAGACATCATGTGAGCTCCCAACCTTGTCCGCCTTCAACATCGGGGCCGGGCGGAACACTCACGGGCTTGTCGATGATGCCCTTGTGGGAACCAAGCTTGCCGTGGCTGACAAGCGTTCCAAGAACATCGACGATCACACGTGTTGCCAGCAGCGCTGTGATGTCGGACGTGTCGTAAGGCGGAGAAACCTCTACGACTTCGAGGCCGCAAATGCCTTCCTTGGCAACCAGCGAGACCAGCTCCAGCGCCTCGCGCGGAAGAAAGCCGCCGGGCTCCGGCCAGCCGGTACCGGGTACAAAGCCGCAGTCGACGCTATCGATGTCGAATGAAACGTAGACTGCGTCAGCATCCTTCCAAGCAAGCTCAAGCGCTCGGGCCGCCGTCTCGGCAAGACCCAGTTCCTCCACGTCGCGCATGGTGAAGATGTTGGTGTTGCGCTTGCGCGCCTCCATCACGCCTTCGCGGGGCACCTGCCAGCCGCCAATCCCGACCTGGACAAGGTTCACCGCCGGGACATTGGCGAGATCAGTCGCGTGGAACCATGGGGTGGTGTGCATCCGCTCATCCAGATCCTTTTCCTGGATGTCGATGTGGCGGTCGAAATGGACGATACCGATGCGTTTGGACGTGCATTGCGCGATGCCGCGCACGCATGGAAAACCAATCGAGTGATCGCCGCCGATCATGATCGGAAGCGCACCCGATGACGCCACATGGCTGACCGCGCGGGTGATCTGGTCAAAGGTCTTTTCGATGTTGGCGGGAATCGTAAAGACATCGCCGACATCGCACAGCGTCATTTGTTCGCGCAAATCGATGCCCATCTCATAATTGTAGGGCGTGTACAGGGCGGAAATCTTGCGCACGCCCTGCGGGCCAAAGCGGGTGCCGGGGCGATAGGTCGTGCCGCCATCAAACGGAATGCCGATGATTGCCGCGTCGTAAGCACCGACCTTGGTCGCGTCTTCGATGTATGGCGCCTTGAGGAACGTGTTGATGCCCGCGTAATGGGGCAACTCGCCGCGCGCAAAGGTCGGGATCGACTTGTCTTCCAGGCTGTCGGATCCTGTCAGCCCCATGCGCAACGCCCACGCGCGCTCTTGCTGCCAGGCGGCCGAGGGCAACTCGCCTTCTTTTTCCGCCGCTTTCCAGCCACGCATTTGCAGCTTGTCGAAGTCGGGGTGATGAAAGCGCTGCGGAGCCGGGCAGCCGATACCGCCGGCTTTTTGCCCTGACCGTGAGGGCCCAAATTCAGTTGATGTGCGCATGGTTGGCTCCGGTGTGATTATTCGGCGGTTGTTGGATCAGTTCGTTGGCTTCAGGCACATCTGCGCGTGAGGCGGAATCGATCGGAAGATCGTAGGTGATCGTCGCGCCGTAGCGTTCCGGTGCATGGGGATCGTGCCGTGTCTTGTCGAAAACCAACAAACGCGTGCCCAGCTTGAACGCTTCATGAATGTCGTGTGTCACCATGAAAACCGTCATGCCGCGCTCCTTCCAGAGTTCGAGCAGAAGCTCGTGCATGTCCAGACGAATTCCCGGATCCAGCGCGCCGAACGGCTCGTCGAGCAAGAGCACATCGGGCTTCTTCAGAAGCGCCTGGGCTATGGCAAGGCGCTGTTGCATCCCGCCGGAGAGTTGCGCGGGGTATCGTTTTCGCGCCGCAGCCAGTCCGATCTTGTCCAGCGTCTCGGTCACCCGTTCGCGGGCCTTGCGTCGCGCGGCGCCGAAGCTGCGCGCGGTCAAAGCACTGCATTCGAATTCCTCGGCGAGGATCAAATTGTCTTCCACCGTCAGATGCGGGAAAACCGAGTATTTCTGGAAGACGATCCCGCGTTGCGGTGTCGGCTCGCGCGGCAACGGTTCGCCGTCGATCAAAATGTCGCCGCCACTGGGATGCTCCTGAGACAGCAACATGCGCAGAAAAGTGGATTTGCCGCAGCCTGACGCACCAACAATCGTGCAGAAGCTGCCTCGTGCTATATCGATGCTGACGCGCTCCAGAACGATCGTGTCGCCATAGGACTTGGTCACGTTGCGCACGCTGATTTTGGTATTGCCGACGTTCCGGGTCACAGGCTTCCCCCCTGCAAGTGCGCCCAGCGGAAGGCACGCATCGACAGCAGCAGCAACAGCCTGTCGATCACATAAGCCAGCAGGGTGATCCAGATGACGTAAGGCAGGATGACATCCATCGCGAGAAACCGGCGCACGAGAAAAATCCGGTATCCGAGCCCCGATGTGGACGCGATGGCTTCGGCCGAAATCAGGAAGATCCAGCCAGGCACAAGACCCAGACGCAAGGCCGTGATCAGCCTTGGCAGAACCTGCGGAAGCACAAGCCTGGTCATCATTTGCCAGGTGTTGGCGCCAAGCGTCTGTGCCTTGATGACCAGTTCGCCGGGAATTTCCATCACGGCCTGCGCCGTCGCCCTTGTCATCACGGGGGCGGTGCCAAGCGCGACCAGCATCACCTTGGACGCTTCTCCCAAGCCGACCACAATGAAAAGGATAGGCAGAACGGTGATCGGGGGGATCAGTGAAATCGCCGAAATGTAGGGCGCGAGTGCTGCCCGTATGTGCGGAACGAACCCGATGAGAATGCCTGTGATCAACGCGAATGCAGTTGCAACAGCCATACCAAATCCAAGCCGCCACAGGCTGTCGAATGTATCGACCCAGAGAACGAGATCTCCGGTTCTGCGGTCTGGAACTGCGGCCAGGCGCCAGAACGTTGCTGCCATCTGCTCGATCGACGGCAGCAACTTGTCGGCGGGATTTTCCAGCCGTCGGAAATGGCTGGCCACGGCATAGATCACAATGGTTGCCGCGAACGGTGTCGCAGCCAATGCCAGCCCCAGAACCCGGCCGGGTGTACGGTTGATCAAACGCATGGACGGTTCAGATCGAGGCGATCAGAGTTCGCCGTTCGCCGCCATTTCCATGTAGCTGGTGTCGAACCGCAGTTTCACGTTGCCTTCGTCACCGAAAACGGAGCCGTCGGGGAACTCGACGCCGACAAACTCAGGCGATGGCGCGCCTTCGCCGAGAATGCCCTTGTCGAACAGAAACTCGGCAACGAACTGCATGGTCTGCGGCAGCTCCGGCGATTGCGTGAACTCCACCGCCGCGGCCGGCTCGTAGAACATTTTCGTCGTTGCAAGCTGTGCGTTGTATCCCGCCAGATCGGTTCCCGAGGCATCGGCCATGGCCGTCAGCGCTGCCTCATCGCCAGCCGCCATCAGGCCCATCACTTCATACCATGCGCCGGTCAGGGCCTTGCCAAAATCCGGATTGGCCGCCAGCGTTTCGGTATTGACCATCATGATATCGATGATCTCGCCGGGGATGTTGGAGGAGTCAAACACCTTGGTCGAACCCGGTGTCGCTTCGATTTCCGAAAGCAGCGGATTCCATGTCACCACAGCCGTGACGTCGTCTGTCGCGTAGGCGGCAATCATGTCCGCATCGGATGTGTTGACAACGGTTAGGTCGCGCTCGGAGAGTCCGGCACCATCGAGCGCGCGCGCCAGCAAATAGTGCGAAACGGACAGTTCCACCAAGTTGACATTCTGGCCGGCCAAGGCTTCGACGCTGTCACCCTCCTTGAGGACAATGCCGTCGTTGCCGTTCGAGAAATCACCGACGATAAGCGCCGTGGTGTCGACGCCACCGCCGGCCGGAATGGAAAGCGCATCCATGTTTGTCATGGAGCAGCCGTCGTACTGGCCCGCCGTGTACTGGTTGATCGACTCGACATAATCGTTGATCTGTACGATCTCGACATCGATTCCGTACTTGTCGGCCCATTTGTCCATGATGCCGGATTCTTCAAGATAGCCCCAGGGCATCCAGCCGACATAGATCGACCAGCAAACGCTGAACTCGGTTTTCTCCATGGCATTGGCCGGTTGACCGACTGCCAGTGCCAACATGGCCGCCGACGCCCACGCCGCCGCTTTGAGTGTCTTGATCATCATGGTCTCGCCTCTCCGCTCGTTCGGCTTGGCCACATGGTGTGGCCACCTGTTGAAAGAGGTTCGAGCACGCAGACCGGGAGGAGGCTCGCGTGCGCAAACCTGTGCAGATATCTCCCGGGATTTTGCCCCGCCGTGTTTCCGACCTTCACCGGCCGGATGGTACCTCTCGGACCTGCACCCTTCAAAAAAGAGGATCGGAACCCTAGGCACCCGCTGCACACAGGAACAAAAAGCAAGCCGCGTGCCAAACGCATATCGGGGCAGCATTGGGCGCAAATGGCGCTCAGGCGTCGACCGGTTGGCCTGTTTTGTGTGCAGCGCGCTTCAAATTGATGCACCGATTGATGCAAGCGTTCGCGGCCTGATCGAAACCGAAAGACGATTGGCTTGCTGAGGGTGCCGCGCTTGCGCAATCGGATGACCGTCAAGAACCGATTTGGCCACGGGCCGCAAAATGCCTGTTGAGAACACAACCGGCCGAGCAAGTGCGCTCTTCCAATCGGCCAATCGACGAAAAGCTTTCGATGGACCTGCTCGATGCGCAGTGAGCGGCGAGGCGAAACACGCTTTGGCCCGCACCTTACGGATCAGTCCACATCCACCTGTTCTGCTCCCAGATCTTTTCACCGATGCGGCAGTCCTGTACGCCGCCGGGCAGATCCAGAATGCTGCCGCTCGTGGGCATGATGCGGGCTGGTGATGAGGGTCCGCCTGCCAATTCGAGAACGATCTTGCGTCGCACGGCTTCGGGAAATTCGTCCCATGACAGGACCGGTATCAGGAACGCACCGGGGCCGCCAATGACGCAATCCCGGTAGTAAAGGTCCAGCCGCTCAATGTCGAACTGGCTGTAGATGCCGTCGCGCGTCATCAGTGGCAGGCCGTTGATGACAATGCCGGATGAAAGCGCTTCATCGCGGGCCCGGACGACATATGGCCCCTGATTGTTTGGCCCGTCGCCGGAAATGTCGATGATCCGCCGGCTGCCGGAATAGGCGTTGGTGTCTATTGCGCTGACCGCAAAATTGATCCCGCCGGAAATGGACGTGCGGCTCATGGACAATGAGGCGTGGGCAAGCAGTTGCTCGGCAAACGCCTGTGCGTCTGCGCGCTCCTCGATCAGCGTCCAGTCCACCAGGATCCTCTGATTGTACTGGCCCGCCCACTCGACGTACTGGATCGCCACGCGGCCGAGCAGGCCGTCGCTTATTGCGTCAATCACCTCATCGCTGACCAGGGCTTGCGCATAGCCGCGACGCTGGATGTCGAGTTCTGCCGGAGACATGGAGCGCGAGACATCGACGGCGAGCACGAGTTCGGCATCGACCTGAATTGTCTCTGCGCGCAAAGCAGCCGTCAGCAGCAGCCAAATGGACATCGTTGTGATCAGGCTTTGGAGGCTTAAGCGCATGTGTCAGTGCATCTCTTTTGCCAAATTCCGTCAATTCACGAATTTCCGGCCGCAGAAGCCTGACCCGCCCGAACCAGCTCTGGCAAACCGACTTCACCGAACTCAAGGTGGTCGGCCGGGGCTGGCTCTACCTCTCCACCATCCTCGACGACCACAGCCGGCACATCATCGCCTGGCGGTCTTTTAAGGCGATGCGCGCCGGAGACATGACCGCGATCCCGGAGGATGCCCCGGCTGCCTCCGGATATGACAGCGCCGTCGTCGCCGACCGCCCGTGGCTGCTCACGGAGAACGGATCGTCCTACATCCCGGGAGACCTCGCCGTCTGGCTCGAAACCGAGGGCATCGACCACGTCCGCGGCGCGCCAAGCATCCGCAGAGCCAAGGCAAGGTCGAGCGCTGGCGCCTGACGCCGAAGCACCGGATCGTGCTCGAGAACGACTCCTTGCCCGGGGCGCTCGAGGAAACGAGCGCCGCTTTCGTCGGGCACTACAACCATCGGCGCTACCAGGAGCGCCTCGGCAGCCTCACCCCCGCAGGCGTCTACTTCGGCAGGGCGGAATCCATCCTCGGGCAACGCAAGGAGATCAAGGCAAAGACGATCGGGACACGCCGCTTGCTGCATGGTCAGACGGCGGCATAGACCGAACCGCCAACGAGCCAGAGCCTCCGCTCCCGCTCAGCCCGTCGTGTCCCCAATCATCCGGCGACGGACACGCATAAAGGCAGCGCGGAGCACCGCCCGAGACCTTGGATCATGCGGTGGGGATCGGTGATCCGGGCGGACCGCGTGGCGGACACGCTTGCGAGGACCACCGGTGAGGTTGGGGCCGACACGCTTGTCATCGGAAAACCAAGTGCGCAGCACGTCCCCTTCAATCAGAAACATGCGGTCGGCCGGTTGGCCTTGGACCGTTCGGATTCGCCGTCCTTCAGTTCTGGCGACAGTCGACCCGCAATCGGGGGCTCTCCTGCATGGATCGGACATCGGCTCAATGCGCCGCGGCTCGCCAAAACGAGCAAATTCGGCAGGCTTGTATACCCCGATACAGCGCGCTCGGCGTCGACCTTCAATGATCGGCAACATCGCGTGGCGGCCCTTGCCGTACGGTCGATCCAAGGAGGAAACGTCAACATGAAACAGACAGCTCTGGCGACGGTAACTGCCGTCGCGCTTTCCATCTCGTCGTTCGCTTCGGATGCCCGCTCGGAAGAGATCATGCGGATATCGAGTTGGTTGCCGCCGAGCCATGTGAACACCGAGATCTTTCCCACCTGGATCGAATGGATCGAAGAGGCCACCGACGGCCGCGTCACGGGAACGATCGAATATGACCTGGCCTCGCCGCCCAACCAGATCGACATCGTCACCGATGGCGCGGCGGACGCAGCCTGGATCTTCCATGGCTACAATCCCGGTCGCTTTGTCACGACGAAGCTCATCGAGCTTCCCGGCCTGTCCGGCGACGCCGAGGCGAGTTCCGTTGCCCACCAGCGCGCCTACGAAGCACATCTGAGCGCCGCCGGCGAACATGACGGGGTCGTGGTCGCGGCGATGATGACGCATGGGCCGGGCCAACTCTACATGCGAACGGTCCATGACGGTCTGGAGGCGCTCAGCGGTGCCAAGATACGCATCGGGGGCGGCGTTTCGGCCGACGTCGCGGAAGGCCTTGGCATGGTGGGTGTCCAGGTGCCCGCGCCACAAGTCTATGAAACGCTCGCCGGCGGTGTCGCAGACGGCGTGATGATGCCGATCGACACCAACAAGGCCCTGCGGCTGTACGAGGTGGCACCGCAGACCTACATCATGCCCGGCGGCTTCTATCGCGGCTCCTTCGCGCTGATCCTGAGCGAGGCCTTTCTCGCGCGCCTGAGCGAGGAGGACCGTGAGGCGGTCCTGTCCACCACAGGTGAGCGGCTCGCGGCGATGGCCGGCGCGGCTTGGGCCAGAGCCGATGTCGCCGGTCTCGAACTGGTGGAGGAGGTGACCGCTATGCACACCTTCTCCGAAGCGGACCAGAACGCCTTCGCCGAAATCGCCGCCGAGATTCGCCGGCAGACGGTCGATGCGGCCGCCGGCCGCGGCGTCAACGCCGCCGCCGCGCTCGAACTGATCGAAGAAACGATGCGGACCTACGGCCAGTGAGCGACCGCGCCAACGGCGGCGTCCGGTCGAACGGGAACCGGACCGCTTTGCGCTGGGTCGCCCGGTTGCCGCTCTACGCGGGCGCCCTGATGCTTCTGGTGATCCTCGGTCTGACGGTGGTCGATGTTTTCGGCCGCTACATCCTGGATGCGCCGGTGAACGGCAAGACGGAACTGACCCGGCTGATGATGGGGACGATGATCGCGCTGGCGCTGCCTGTTGTGTCGGCACGCGACCAGCACATCACGGTCGATCTGTTCGACGGCCTGTTCGGTCCGCATCAGGCGCGCCTGCGGGATGCGGCAATCAACGCCGTTTGCGGCGTGTCGACCCTGATCCTCGCCTGGTGGGTCATGTTCCGGGCCGAACGGCTGATGAAATGGGGCTATGTCAGCGATTTCCTTCACCTGCCGCTCTATCCGGTGGCGTACTTCATTGCGCTCATGGTCGCGGTCACCGGCTGCGTTCTGCTCGTCAAGGCGGTGCTCGGCCCCGTCGCCAAGCCGCACGCCCGCGGTGGCGATCCGATGCCGCCCCGGGTCTAGCTCGAGGACACCGTTATGACGATCTCGCTTCTCGGCTTTGCGGCCGTCATCGTACTGGCCTTCCTGCGGGTTCCGATCGCCTTTGCGATGGGGCTGGTCGGCGTCGTCGGATTTGGTTGGTTGAACGATTGGAAATGGACGGCGGCCTTGTCGCCCGCGGCAGGTACGGTGCTGGATTCGGTGCAGACCGAAACGCTTTCGGTCCTGCCGCTGTTCATCTTGATGGGGCTGCTGGTCAGTCAGGCCGGGCTTGCGAGCGAACTCTACCGCGCCTCCAACGCCTTTCTGGGACACAGGCGTGGCGGCCTGGCGATGGCGACGGTCATCGCCTGCGGCGGATTTTCCGCGATATCCGGATCGTCACTTGCCACGGCGGCGACGATGTCCAAGGTGGCCATGCCGGAGATGCGCCGTTACGGCTATGACGACCAGCTCGCCACCGCGTCGATCGCCGCCGGCGGCACGCTCGGCATTCTGATACCGCCGTCCGTCATCCTGATCATCTATGGCGTGATGACCGAACAGAGCATCGAAAAGCTCTTCCTGGCCGGCGTGATACCGGGGCTGGTGGGCATCCTTCTCTATCTGGCCGCCGTCCGGTTCATCGTCTGGCGCCGCCCCCATTTCGGACCTTCGGGGGCGCGTTCGGATTGGCACGCGCGCGCCGCAGCGGTGCGGAACGTCTGGCCGATCGTGCTGCTCTTCACCGCGGTGCTGGGCGGCATCTATCTGGGCATCTATACCACGACCGAGGCGGCAGGAATCGGTGCGGCCGGAGCGCTGGTGATCGCGCTCGTGCGTCGCAAGCTCGGCGGCAGAGCGTTGCTCGATGCCCTGATCGAGACCCTGCAAACGACGGCTTCGCTGTTCGCCGTGCTCATAGGAGCGGTGATCTTTCAGCGCTTCGTCGTTCGCGCCGGTCTGCCGGAAGCGCTGCTCGAGGTCGTCACCGCACTCGATGTCGGCCCGCTTGCCGTCATCTTCATGATCCTGCTTGTCTACTTCCTGCTCGGCTGCGTGTTTGAAAGCCTGTCGATGATGCTGTTGACGGTGCCCGTGTTCGCGCCGGTCGTCGCGGGACTGGGCCTGTTCTCCGAATATGGCGCGATGGGCGAGGAACTCTCGCTGATCTGGTTCGGCATCTTCGTGGTGGTGGCAACCGAAATCAGCCTCATCACGCCGCCGGTTGGGCTCAACGTCTACGTCCTGAAAGGCGTCATCGGCGACGTGGCGACGGGAACGATCTTCAGGGGCATCACGCCCTTCTGGGCCGTCGATATCGTTCGGCTCGTGCTTCTCGTCTTCATACCTTACATGGCGATCGCCTTGCCGTTGACGATGCAGAACTGAGGGGCCCCACCGATGGCGGACAAAGCAAACATGTCGCTCACGTTCCGAACCCTGTTCCGCCGCTTCACGACCGGGGTGGCAGTGGTCGGTGTCGCCGGCGGCGACGGCCCGGTCGGCGCGACGGTTAACTCGCTGACGGCGGTCAGCCTCGACCCGATGCTCTTGCTGTTCTGCGCGCGGAACGGCAGTCGAACCGCCGGCCACATCCAAGAGACTGGTGCGTTCTCCGTCAACATCCTGACCGCCGAGCAGGAGGCGGTCTCGCGGCACTATGCCGGCGTGCCGGCCGACAAGCCGGACTGGACATGGCACGCCTTTGACGAGACGGTCCGACTGGAGGGCGCCAATGCGACCTTCGTGTGCCGGCTGGAACGGGTTCACCCCGCGGGAGATCACGCCATCATCGTCGGCCGGGTCACCGACATGGCCGGACCGGAAACCCCCGGGACTCCTCTTCTTTATCACGGTGGCGGTTACGCCGCGCTCCCCTGGCCCGGCGAGGCGCCGGAACCGGTCGAACCCGTCAGCTTCTGGTGGACCGGCTAGCCGACATCCAGCCGTTCGGCATGGGCCGGCGAAATGACGAAATAGCCGTCATCGAGATAGAGGGTCCCGCTCTCGCGCATGCGTTTGAGGGTCCGCGTGACGGTCACACGCGAAACGCCGGTCATGGCGGCGATCATTTCGTGAGTCAGTCTCGTGCGCACCATATTGCCCTTGGCGTGACGCGTGCCGAACATCTCGCCGAGCCGCGTCAACAATTCGAGCACGCGCTCCTCGGGCTTGTTCGAGACCATTTGCTCGAGGCGAAGCGCCAACACACGCTGCTTCAAGCTCGTCAGCCGCAACAAGATCAACGCGAACTCGGGGTGCTCGCGAAACAGATCGGGCAGCCTGCGCGCCTCGAACTCGAGGACCGTGGTCGGCTCGGTCGCCACCGCGGACGAGAAGCTGGGTAAACCCGCAAAAGCCGTCGCCTCGCCGCAGATCGTGTCGGGGCCCATTTTTTCAAGCACGATCTCGACGCCGTCGATGCGGAAAATCGATATCTGAACGAGCCCGCTCACGACGAAATAGAAGCTGTTGCTCGGTTCGCCCTGCGCATAGATCTGCTCGCCGGCCCGGAACGTCTTTTCCCGCACCAGATGTCGCAGCTCCGAGATCATCGAAGCCAACTGGTTCGGCATGCGCCACGTGGCTTCCGGCTTACCGGTCATCTTCATTGCCTGCCTGCGGGAACCGAACGCTGACAGTATCCGGCGATACAGCGCCGACGATCATACTGCACATATGGTTCCCTAGCACACATCGAACGAGCGAGGGAAACGTCGGAATGGCTCTGCAAACTCTCCAAACGCACGACGCGGACGGCGACGATTGGACCGCAGGCGAAGAGGTTGTCGCCAAGGCGGCGTCCGCCGTTCCATGGCTGCTGGACCAAGCGGGCCGTGTGGACCGCGACCGGACGATCCCGGACGACGTCGCGGCGGCACTGATCGAAACCGGCATTTTCAGGCTGGCCCAGCCAAGGCGTTTCGGCGGGATGGGCGCATCGCCGAGCCTGATGTGGCGGGCGGTTTTCGAGATCGCGCGCGGTTGCGCGTCCTGCGCGTGGATCTCGGGGCTGACCTGCGCCAATCTGCTGGTCGTCGGGCGCTTCTCCGAAGCGGCGCAACAAGAGGTCTTCGCACCCGACAGTTCACCCGTCGTGCCCTTGTTGACCGGCGGTGTCGGTCACGACATCAAGATCGAAACGCGCGATGACGGCATCATGCTCTCGGGCAAGTGGCGCTATGCCTCCGGCATCGATCTCGCCTCCTGGGTCGGCCTTCTCGTGAACCCCGCGCCGACGGACGGTCGCGCCGAGCCCGTTCTGGTTCTCGTGCCGGCGGACGCGTTCACGATTGACCATGACAGCTGGCATGTCATCGGCATGCGTGGCACGGGCAGCAAGAACATCGTCCTGGAAAGCGCGTTCGTGCCGCACCACCGGATGATGGACTGGGCGGCTCTTCAGGTTGGCGAGAAGCATGCCTCCTGTCCCAACGACGAGCCGGCCTATCGGTTTCCGCTGAACGCGCTCCTCGCCATGTCGGTGATCGCGCCGACGCTCGGCGTCGCCTCGGCGGTGGCGGAGGAATATGCCGCGATCGTCAGCCAGCGCGTGCAGTCGAACGGTCAGGGGAAGCAGGTCGCCGACAGGTCCTCCCATGTCGATCTCGCCGCCGGCATCGCGACGATGGACATGCTGCGCAACGTCCTGATCACAGAGGTCGAAGCGATCGAGCGCAAAGTCGAACGCGGTCAGACGCTAAGCCTGGAGGATCGCGCACTCCTGCGGATGAAGATCGCCATCGCCGCGCGCAAAGGCCTGTCGGTCGCACAAGAACTGTTTGCCGGTGTGGGAGGCAGCCTGCTGCCGGAAGGAACCCGGATCGAACGGCAGTTTCGCGACCTCCATGCGATGAGCAGCCATTTCCTGTTGCAGCCCGACCCGATCGGTGAGGCCTATGGCCGCTTGCTGCTGGGGCTGGATCTGCCCGCCGGCGCTCGCCTTTGAGCATCTTTGGGGCCGCTGATCGACACCGGCCCTCGCCAACACACGAAACCCCAGCAAGAGGCACGCCATGACCAAGACAACATTCAACCCCGAAGACCCCGCCTTTGCGACGCCCGACGGCTCGACGATCTTTGCCAAGTTCGGCTACTCGGCGGCCGTGCGGTCCGGCGATCACGTCTTCGTCGCCGGACAGATCGGTCTCAATCCCGATGGAACGGTACCGGACGATGACGAGGGGCAGATCGTCCGCGCATTCGAACGGCTTGAACTCGTGCTCCGGAGCGCGGGATGCGGCATGGAGCATCTCGTCGAACTGGTGTCCTATCATGTCGGCTTGCAGGGCCATCTTTCGCAGTTCGTCGAGATCAAGAAGCGGTTCGTCCCCGAACCGCATCCGACGTGGACCATTCTCGAAGTCGCCGGCCTGGCACGCCCTGGTCTCGTGATCGAGATCAAGGCCGTGGCGGCCCTGCCGTCGAGCTGATCCCTGATGGCGAATGGCGCTGTCAGGTCGCGTTCCGTCGGCTCTGCCGGACGGTATCTGCTGACGTGTGGGACCATCTACCGCCATGCATGGGACGACCGTCCGGCGGAGGCCATGCTGGTCGACAACGGGCGGATATCCTGGTCTGGCGCGCGGGGAGAGGCGCCGTCGGCGGATCGCGTGATCGATCTGGGCGGCGGCACCGTCCTGCCCGGGATGACCGATGCGCATGTGCATTTGCTGGCCGTCGGACAGGCGCGGCAGCAGGTCTCGGCGATCGCGCCGGACATTCGCTCGCGCGACGACTATTTGCAGCGCCTCACGTCCACATCGCAGGGCATGCCCGCCGGCGCCTGGCTCTTCGGCGGCGATGTCAACGAACAGCTGTGGCCGGAGAAGCGGATGCCGGATCGCGCGGCCCTCGACGCTGCCGTGCCGGATCGCCCCGTCTTGCTGCGCCGCTTTTGCGGCCATGTCGCGATGCTCAACTCGGCGGCCCTCCAGGCGCTGAATCTGAATGCTGAGTGCGCCGGCACAGCGGGGGTAGACTTTGACCGCGACGGCGGCGCGCCGACGGGCATCGCAAGGGAACGTGCGGCCGAGTTCGTGTTCCGCGCCGCGCCCCGCCCTCCGGACCGCCAGATCGCTCGGGCGACGCGGCAGGTGATCAACGACCTGTCCCGGTTGGGGGTCACCGCTGCCGTGGATGCCGCCGTCGGCTTCACGTTCGGATTCGAACCGGAGTGGAATTTCTGGCAGCTCTTGCACGACGAAGGGGACCTGCCGCTTCGGCTCGGGTTCATGGCACAGATCGATCCGGCCACCGCAAAAGCACTGTCGCTTGCGCCCGTCCGCGATCCATGGTGGCAATTGTGTACCCTGAAGATCTTCGTCGACGGCATTATCGGGGCGCGCACCGCGGCCATGAGCCGGCGCTATCACGACACCGATGGCAGCGGCTATCTGATGCATGAGCCGGCCGAAATCCGAAAGTTCGTTCAGGCAGGTCACGATCAGGGCTGGCAAATTGCCGCTCACGCGATCGGCGATCTTGCCATCGATGCCATCATGGACGCGATCGCCGCGGCGCAGTCCGGCCGGTCTCGCAACGGCTTGCGCCACCGCATCGAGCATTTCGGCCTTCCCGACCCCTCGGCCTTCCGGCGCGCCGCCGACCTTGGGGTCCTGGTGGCGACCCAGCCAAGCTTCATCTCACGCATGGGCGACTCCTGGCCCATCGCACTGGGCGATCGGCATCACCGCTGCTTTCCCGCCCTGTCCCTTATCGAAGCCGGTCTGTGCCTGGCCGGCAGTTCCGATGCACCGACCGGCGAACTGTCGCCATGGGCGGGGATTCAATCCTTCGTCACGCGGCGCGCCGCGAGCGGCCAACCCAGCGGCCCGCACGAGGCCCTGTCGGTGCGCCAGGCCATTCACGCCTATACGAGTGGCGGTGCCATCGCCATGGGACACGATGCCTGGCGCGGGACGCTGCATACCGGCATGGCGGCCGATTTCGCGCTGTTGGACCGCGATCCCCTCTCATGTTCGGTGGACGATCTGGCATCGATCACGGCCCGGCTCACGGTTGCCGACGGGCGGGCCATGCACGATCCGGACGGCATCCTGTAGCGAGCCAGGCCGGCCGCCGAAGACGGTCGTCCATACACTTGGCTGACAGCCGCGGGGGGGGATGGTTCGGTCCGCGCTGGTTCGCCTCGCTTGTCCCAGCCATAGCGCTCCGCCATGGCATCGACCTCGTTCTCCAAGAATCCGAGCGCGAGCGCGCGCCGGCGAGATTCTTCGAACGTCTTGACCTCGGCCCGTCCGTCAAGACGGCGGTCCAAGAATCCGTCTTCTTTTGATTTGTCATGGTCCAAAACTGATCGATAACGCTTCCATCCGCCGTAAGGTCATCCCGATTGCCCCGTGGTGTTTTCGGACAGGAACTGAGCGGCCCATCGCCCATGGGCGACCCGGCATCACGAACGATCCGGTCCTCCTCCCGTCCGCCGGTTTCGCGCGGCAGCATCGCAATTGCAGTCCATGAAGCCGTGTACGGGACAAGTCAGACACATCTCCTCGAGGCGTTTTTTCAGGGCCTGGCGGCCCCGGTGCAGCCGGACATTCAGGTTGTTGAGGCTTAGACCGAGTGCTTTGGCCACGCGTTGGCGCGGCTCTTCGAGAAGGTCGATCCGCCAGAGAATTTCGGCATATTCGTGCTTCAGAGTGGGCAGAAGCTTGTAAAGGCAATTGCAGATTGCTTCGTCGATCTCGAAATCCGTCTCAGTCGAAAGCTCCTGGATATCCAAAGGATCCATGACGGCCTCCCGTTGCCGCCGACGAGCCGCTCGACGCTGATGGTCGATGATCGTCGTTGCGAGTACGCGGCTGAGCCACCCGCGCACGGACCTGACATCCTGCAATTGGGCCGACCGCTCGATAGCGCGGAGCATAAACGCCTGCAGCACGTCTTCGGCTTCTTCAACCGAGCCCATACGACGGCATAGAAAGCCAAAGAACTGACGGTGGCTCTCTTCGAGCGCACGTCGCACCGCAGCATCTGGAGTGTGAAGCGCATCGGATGATGCTTGATTATCGATGGGCAGGGCTTCACTTGGTCCGCTTCTCAAGACTGCAATCCTCCAGGTAAGTTTGACGCACCGGTTTGCGGTTTCTTACACCTCGGTATTGGCCAGGCCGGATCCGCGAACGGGTGCGCTGCGCCACGCCGCGATATCGGTCTGTAGGGCGAGTCCGAGGATTGCTCAGCAGTCGCACTCGGCGAACCGCCCATCGGCGCAGATCGGACAGTATTGCTTGATGCTCGCCTTCAAGGCTCGGCGGGCGCGGTGGAGGCGGACGCCGACATTGTTCGCGGTCAGACCCAGATCTTCGGCAATTTGGCTGCGTGGTTCCTGGTCGAGATCGGCTCGCTTCAAAATCTCCGCGTAGTCGCATCTCAGCGTGGTCAGGCCGTCTCGAACGCAGCGACACGATATGGCCACGTCATTCATCGGATCTGGATCAAGAGCGGTCGGCTGCGGTTCGCGCTCGTAAGCCTCGTCGCATCTCAGGCGAGCAGCGCGGCGTCGATAGTGATCGATGAGCGTGTTACGAAGGATGCAGCGGAGCCACGCGTCGGTCCTTGCTGCGTCATCCAGCTTTTCCGCCGACCGAATGACCTTGAGACAGAAGTCTTGAAAGGCGTCTTCAGCATCCTCCGGTCGATTAAGGCGGCGGCGGAAATAATTGAGAAATTCGCGCCTGCATTCCAGCAAGCGGTCGTGAATTGGATTGTCGTGCGGCTTCGGCACGTTCTGTCGAACGGGTGCGTGCATCGAGGGTCTCCACAGGTCAGCCATTTGGACCATGCGGACACGATCACTGGTCGTGCCCGCGTGGCGCTTGTCGTCAAGCGGCTGGGAGACGGGGAGGCCGGAAGTAAGAATAGGTCAGTGTCGGCAGTGCAGGACCGGCGCGATCAAAGCGCCATGTCGCTTTGGCCGGCCTGACGATAAAGGCGAACGCCGATGAAGGGACCCCGAAAGAGCAAACGCCGGCCGGGCGGCAACAGGCGCTGGTGCCTTCACCTTGTCCGGTGTCATTGGCGACATCAGACAGCCGCGCTTGTGAACACGCCGGTTCCGCATCGAGCGGGGCGGCCAGCGCCGGATAGGTCGATGCGATCGACGCCACCAAGACGAGGACAACGATACCCCACCGCCGATAAAACGGAGCAGGGTTCCATTTCGTCCTTTTCTTCACCGGGCCTGTCAGCATCCGATCGCCGTCTTGGGTTACGATCGCTCAGGGTTTGAACGCGAGACCGTACGCCGGTGCGATCAAGCACGCGCATGGTGGCAATCTTCAGGCGGCCTGTCGACAGTGACGATTTTGCTGCGAACGGGGCTGGCGCGAAGCCGGTCGCCCATGATGCCTCTCAGCCGATCAGGACCGTACCGTCGTCGCGCAACTCATAAGGCGGCACCACGAGGTTCCTCGGAGCCGGGCCCCTGCGAATCCTGCCGGAGGTGTCGTAGTGCGATCCGTGGCAAGGGCAGAACCAGCCGCCCCATTCGCCCCGTTCATCACCTTCCCGCTGGCCCAGGGGAACGCAGCCCAAGTGGGTGCAAACGCCGACGACAACGAGCCATTCTTCGGACTTTACCCGGGAAGCATCGGTGGCCGGGTCGATCAGGTCTGGACTGTCGTCGTCGGCCTTGGCTTGAGCAACCTGCTCGGGCGTCCGACGTTCGATGAATACCGGTTGGCTGCGCCAGATCACAGTTATGCGCTGACCGGCGGCGATTGGCTCCAAATCGACTTCGGTCGTCGCAAGCGCTTGCACATCAGCCGACGGGTTCATGGCGTCGATGAATGGCCACACCGCGACGGCCGTTCCGACAGCCGCCATCATGCCCGTCGAAACAAACAGGAAATCGCGCCGTTCGATTTGCGGCGGCCAATCGTCGTCGCTGTTGGCGTCGCTCATGACCGCCCCGGCTGCTGCCCGCGCACCGCAAAGAAGTTGTAAAGGGGCCCGAATATGACGGCCACATACCAGCCATAGGCGAAAGTCTCCGCCAGCCCCAACAAGAAGCTCCGCCAGCTCAGCCATGTGAAGCCCGGGAGCAGCCGCAGCCAGGTCTGATACATGGCCTGTCCGGGAACAAGCAGGTCGAAAACAACACACAGGGTGAAGGTCAGGGCCAAAAACACTCCCAGGCTCATGCCCAATGCGAAGATCGGTATCCGTCGCGATGTTGCGTAGCGCATCGACAGATTGTCAGCCGGATCGGGCGAAGTGGTGTAACGGGTTTCCGTCATTGCTTTCCTCCAATGTCTGGCCATCGCTGTGCTCCAATGTCCGAATGGTTGGATGAAAACGACGCACCCAACGGCTCGACCTGGTGCTTTAGACGGATCGAGCCTCCAAACATTACAGCCGGACATCCCGCCGACTCGTTTCCCGCGCGGCCGCTGAAAGCTGTCGATGCGGACGGTCGAGTGCGATCCAAAACCGGCAAGAGCTTTATCGGGGACCGAGCACCCGCCTTCCAAGGCTCACGACCAGGAGCGGAACGACGATCCATTGAACGAGCGGGGAAAGGCCGGTGCCGAAGGGCGGCACGCGTGGCATGAGGTCCGAATAGGTCCAGCGCAGCGACACCTCGGTGTAGTAGTATTCAAAGCCGACGGTCAGCGCGATACCGACGGCAACGAACAATCCGAGTTGCCAGCGTTTCGGCCCGGAAATCCAGTGCCGCGATCGTGCGGCCAATGCGGTAATCCAGAAGGCGGTCAGCGCGAAGCCGACATCGCCGACGGTCGCCGATGTGCAGATCTTGATGCCTTCCCAATGGTTAAGGTCGGCCATGCCGGCATAGGTCGGCACCTGCAGGAATTCCCAGACATAATGCAGGACAAACGACAGGAAGGCGACCGTCACCTCCGGCACGGCCCAAAGCGAGCGATCGGGCCGGGTTGGGCGGGTGCCGGTACTCATCGCATCAGATATTTGATGAGGGCGGCGACGCCGAGCACGAGAAACACCAGCACCAGAAGACCGATCAGGCCCATGCCGCCCATACCCCAAGCACTGTCCATCATTCCATTACCCATCATTTCCTTTTGCCTTCCTTGTCGATTGGCCGGTGTGCCGTTCCGATCATCGAAACGATCATCTCGCGGCTTCGCTTCCGTTCAGCCATGCGGTTTCCGGGCTGCGTGATCTGTCCGGCGTGTCACATCGATCGCGTCCGAAGCGGTTTCGTCGAGACATGCCGTTTCGATCTGAAGCGTCACGAAGAAGAAGCCAAAGCGTTCACGCAGAAGCGCATGCGCCGTCTGGAGCAATTCTCCGGCGTCTCCGTGCCATTCCGGTGCTGTGCGGACGTGAGCGGAGAACACGTAGCGGCCGCTGGTCAACGCCCAGCCGTGCACATGGTGGATATCGGAGACGCCATCGAGAGCTTCCAGCGCCGTGATGACCCGGGACAGCGACACGTCGTCCGGCGTGCCGTCCATCAACAAGTGGACCGCATCTCGCAATATGCCCCAGCTCGCCCACAGCAAAACGAAGCCAAACGCGACACCCAGCAGCGGATCGATGGCGAGGAAGCCGGTGAACTGGATGACAAGCGCCGCGACGATAATGATCAGGCTGCCGACGAAGGTCTGAATGATGTGCCAATAGGCGCCGCGGATGTTCAGGTCCTGGCCCTGCTGGCGGTAGAGCAGATAAAGCGCGATCACTTCGGTGACGATACCGCCACTGGCGACAAGCAACATTGGCCCTGTCGGCAGATGAATTGGCGCGCCCAACCGCATGACGCCCATCACGATCACAATCAGCGCCATGACCAGCAGGAATGCGCCATTGACCAGCGCGCCGATGATCTCGGCGCGATACCAGCCGAACGTCCGTCGCAGGTCGGCAGGTCTCCGAGCCAGCCGCGATGCAACGATTGCAACCAGCACACCGCCCACGGCAGAGAAGGTGTGGAAGGCATCGGAGATCACCGCCACCGAACCCGTCCACAGGCCGACAAGCAACTCGATAACGAAATAGACGCCGGTCAACCAGGCCGAGATAGTCAGCGCCCGGCCGCTGGATGGCAGATGCCCGGCATGGCCCTGTCCGCCGTGGCCGGTTCGCGCTTTGCCCGAACCAGCATGGTTGCTTTCCATTCCGTCCTGATCAGCGCTCACGAGCGAGGCTCCATAGAGTAGACGCGGTTGAGTTCGTCATGGCGTTCGCGAACATCGGCGGGCCACGTGCTCTTGATGTAGCTGAGGATCGCGATGATTTCGTCGTCGGTCAGGATGTCTTCATAGGCAGGCATGGCCGACCGGTAGTTTTCGAGGTTTGCTGCACGCACGACACCCAGTTTGGTGATGTCGAACAACACTTGATCGGGATGGTGCCAGGTGTGGCCGGTTTCATCATGCGGCGGCGCGGGCATCAATCCGTCCGGTTTGGGCGAGCGCCAATCGGCGACCTCGCCTTTAAGGTCGACACCATGGCAGGACGCGCAATTGGCTTCATAGAGCGGTTCGCCCAATGCCACGGTGGGCGCATGATCCGGGCGGAGGAGCTCGGCTCCGCCCGGATCCGCCCCGCCCCCTGTCAGGCGGATCGCGGCCACTGCGGCTAGCGCCGCAACCGCAATTCCGCCTGCCCCAAGCCAGATCCGAGACTTCATGTCGAGGATCCGGCTGGCGAGGACTGATAGATTCGGGGTCGGGTCATTGACCCATCCGCAGGAAGACTGCCGGCTGTTCACCGCTGCGATCCGAATAGGCATAAACGTTGTATTGGGCGTTGTCATCGAATCCCATGCCCAGCGACCCTTGCGGCATGCCAGGCACGGCCAAGCCGCGAACGTCCGGTTTCTCCGACATCAGCTTTTCCACGGCTGCAATTGGAACGTGACCTTCGAGCACGTATTTGCGTTCGCCGCCGATGACCGAGGTGTGGCAGCCGGCCAATTGGTCGGTCACTCCGCCCTGCTTCTTGATCAGCGACAGATCGTTCATGTCGCGGGTCTCGACGGTGTAGCCGGCCTCGATCATCTTGTCGGCCCAGACCTGGCAGCAGCCGCACCACGGCGTTTTGAAGACGAGGATGGATTTTTCCGGATCGGCCTCTTGCGCGGAGGCTGAGGCAAGTGTTGCGACGGTGGCCGCAACGGCGATCCCGATCATGGCCCTTTTCATTGTTCGGTATCCTTTTTCGATTTCTCGGAATGGCAACTCGTGCCGATCAGCTTGTGCATCACGAGATGCATGCCCAGACACGCCAGAAGCGGCGAGGCCGCCCAGAGCAGCTGTGTCAGGGGTTGGCCTTCGGGTGCCGCCAGAACGATCAGCCCGACGCCGGCGACCATCGCCACGCAACAGGCCATCATCAGCCAATGGGACACCGAGTGTTCCGTTTCTTTGCCCGACTGTTTGCTGGCCGGAATGGCCGGAACGGAGCGCCGGTAGGGATTGTATGGCGTCTTCATAGCACCACCACCTTCGCGCCGAGCGGCACGCGCTCATACAGATCGACCACATGATCGTTGATCATGCGAATACAGCCATTGGACACCGACTGCCCAATGGATTGCGGCTGGTTGGTGCCGTGAATCCGGTAGAGCGTGTCTCTGCCATTGCGGTAGAGATAAAGCGCCCGCGCGCCGAGCGGATTGTTCGGCCCGCCGGGGACCCCGCCGGCATAGCGGGCGTACTTCTCCGGCTCGCGGCGGATCATGTTTTGGGTTGGTGTCCAGCGAGGCCACTCGGCCTTGCGGCCGATGACGGCCGTGCCCTTGAAGGCCAGACCTGCCCGGCCGACGCCGACGCCATAGCGCCGTGCCTGTCCGCCGCCTTGCTGCAGATACAGAAAATGGTTGCGTGGGTCGATGATGATGGTGCCCGGCGCATAGCCCGACATACGGACATTTTGCGGCAGGAATTTAGGGTCGAGCGTTGGCGTATGGGCCCGGGCAGGCAAGCCAGGCAGAAATGCGCTGGCGGTAACGCCCAGCACAAACGTGCGCTTTGTGATCATGAGAAACCTCGATTGGCTGATTTCGCGAAGGCACCCTGATAGGTGCCGGCTATGAGAAATCAGGCAGCAATCGGAGGTCGAAACTGGGGTAGGGCTATGCCGTCAGGCGCGGCTCCGGAACGGGTGATCCTGAGGTCGGCGTCCGTTTCGGCGAGAAAGCCGATGATCGATGGCACGGCGTTGCCGCAATCCATGGCACAACCGCCCATGGCATGATGCATCTTGCTGTCCTCGACGCCGCAGCAATCGGCAAGCATGTCCGCCAAGCTGAGCTCGGTCAACTGGCCATGACCGGCGGCATCCGCCTTGAAGCCCGACGCTCCGTCGAGCGTCGTGCCGGGGACGGCCATTGCCGCCACCAGTGCCAGCATCACGATCATGCTCAGTACGCGCTTCATGCCGCCGTTTTAGACCAATCTCATTTGGTTTTCCACATCTGGCTTCTTCACGAGATGGTATGGCTCCATGAGATCGTCAACTCGAGGGCGACGACCTTCGTCTTCCTGCGTCTTCGCCGGTTCGACCGCCTCGGGAGTTTTCTAGCGATTGCCTTGAGCGGCAAGCCGTGCGCCAATCGCGGCCAGACCGATATCCAGCGCCGCATCGGTCTTGGCGATTCATCCTTGATCGTACCGGTAAGCGCTCTGATCGCGTCGATGGTTTCGGGGATCACAATGGCCTGGTTGTCGACCATGTAAGCGTAGAACAACTCGTCGCCGTGCACCTTCAGCATGTCTTCCCACACCGCAACTTCGTAGAGACTGTCGTAAGGCCGGGAAAGGTCGGCCATCATCTCTTTGATCGCATTGATGGCGTTCAACCCATCTCCGGCGCGCACAAGCGCAATCCGCGAAGACGTCCGAAGGGCATTCAGCACCTCCTCCTCCTCGACGTTTCGCGTGAGTTGAACAGTCCAATAGTGCAAATGCGCCAGCGTCTGGGGAACCTTGACGGCCATCGTGACCACGTCGAGATCGGGGTCCACGCTTTGCGTATCCGGGCCTTGATGGCTTGGGATTGTGGCCTCGGGAACCAGTGTATTCATGATGCCGCCCAAATGACTTTCCCAAGGATCGGTCGCTCTGCGAAGGAGCGTTCCGCGCGCTCTTCGCAGCAGTCCTGCTCTTTTGAGGGCACTCAACGTCCGCACGATGGATGTGGTGTTGCACGACACGACCCTGGTGCTGTTTCGATCAACCGCGCTATCGTAATTGGCTTCGGCCACGAATGGATGGCCGGTGACATCATGTGCTTCGCCGCCGTGAACGATGAATTTGATGCCGCGTCGGCGGTACAGTTCGACATTCTTCGCCGCGATCCGCTTTGGCGTGCAGTCGACGACGATGTCCGATTGTTCAAGCAATTCATCCAAAACACCAGCGATCTCGAGACCAGCATCTTGCATTGGCGATGCATGGCCGTCGGACGCGGCGTAAAGCTGGAAGCCCTTGTGTTTGACGATATGAGCGCGCCAATCGCCGGTGATGTCGGCGACCCCCGACAACTCCATGTCATCCTGGGCGGCGATCGCATCGGCCACGCGTTTGCCGATGACGCCATAGCCATTCACCGCCACTCTTGTGCTGTCGTTTTCAGCCATTTGTTCCTCCATCGCTTGCGGGTCGGTCATCCGCTTGCCTAAATCGTTTTCGGTGACGCCATTGTCGCTTGCTGGTTTCACGTGCCAAAGGCGAACGCCGGCGGCAGCCAGAAAGACCGGAAGGGCCAGGCCAAATGCGAATCTCAAGGACGCCGGGGTTCGGGTTCTGTCTGGGTCTATCATTCCGGTATCCCACGGTCGGCCAACTCGGCGCGACAGGCGCGGCGGGATCGCCAATAGGGACGCTCGAAAGAAGCGTTCGTTACAGTTTGGGATCCATTGCGCCTCATCTCGATGCGACGGGAACCTTGTTCCGTCAGCGCGTATCGCGACTCCGCTGGCCGGCTGCCGGGTTCGGCGCAGGCCGCCATGGCCAGAGCCGGCTCATCGCAACGCAGATAAATGATCCGGACCAAGCGATCGGCGGCAAGCCGTTCGATGACTCAACACCAGTGATGGAGCGGAGAACGCCGGAAGGAAAAAACGTCGCCAAGATTGGGCGACGTCCAATGCACCAGTCGAGGATCTGGTGGCGGTGCTGGAGGAGGCCGGCTGTCCCGCCAAACCAGTTCGGGCCGCTTGAAGGCGGACAATATGCGAGACGGCGGCCCATCGTCTGCTACCGCTATTGCATGTCTTGCACTTGGCCGTTGGCTCAGGTCACCTCGAACCATGTGTTCATGCCGCCCGCGGCGTGTTCGAGCATGTGGCAGTGATAGAGCCACTTGCCGGGATTGTCGGCAACGAAGGCGATCCTGGTTGTCTGTTGCGGCCCGACGAGAAACGTATCCCGCCATGGCTGACCAACATCGATCTCGCTGCCCGAGCGTTCGATGACGCGGAAATGGTGGCCGTGGACATGCATGGCGTGAACGAACGCTGTATTGTTGACGGTCTCGATGACGATCGTTTCGCCGCGTTGCGCCGAATATAGCGGCGTCTCGGGAAGATTGGCGATACCGTTGAACGCCCAGACCTGGCCGGTGTCGCGGAAGTCGGAGCCTTCGAGCACTTTGCCATTGTAGGTAACGCGTCCGATGTTGCCCATCGCACCGCCCGTCATCTCGACGCGAACCGTCCGTGCGCCAGCCAATTCAGGTTCGGGCAGATCGTTGACCGGCAATGACGGCACACCCGGCCCGTCCGCCGTTTCGCCCCGGACTTCAAACCCGGCAAAGGCAAATGGCGTGTCGCCCGACAGCTCTTCGATGACGAAATCCGATCCCGCTTGCGGTACGATCAGCAGGTCGACGCGTTGCGCCGGACCGACCATGAGCGGCGCGTAGGTCAGGCGCACCGGCTCGGGCAGAGCCTGCCCGTCATAGGCGATCACTTTTGCATCGAAACGGTTCGGATCGATTTCGAGGATTCGAGCGTTGGAGGCGTTGATCAGGCGAAGCCTGTAAGGCTCACCTGCATTCAACATATTGACCGGCATGGCCCGGCCATTGACCGTCAGCCAATTGCCCAAACGCCCGTCATGGCTCCAGTCCATCAGCGAGCCGAGGCTTGCCACATCCAGCGTGCCTTCGCCGGCCAGCCGCCAATCGTCGATGACCAGCGTCAGATCATGCGCCCGATCAAAGGGAACCTCGTCTTCGTCGACGATCAGCGGTCCGTAAAGGCCGCGCGCGACCTGGTTCCAGCTCTTGTTGTGGGCGTGATACCAATAGGTACCCGCATCGGGCGCGACGAAGTCATACTCGAAGCTCTCGCCGGGTTCGATCGGCTCCTGTGTCAGCCCGGCAACGCCATCCATGGCGTTGTCGATACGAATGCCATGCCAGTGCAGGGATGTTGGCTCTTCAAGGTTGTTGGTCAAACGGACCCGTACCCGCTCGTCGCGTCGCACACGTATTTCTGGCCCGGGCGCCGAGCCGTTGTACGTCCATAGGTCGGATGCCGGCCCATCCGGCTGGAAAATGGCTTGCTGGGAGGGACCAGCAACCAGATCGATGAAGCTGCCCTGGCGGGCGAGCGCGAGCGATGGAAACTGGACGGCGAGCGCAGCAAGACCTGCCCCGCCCACAAAATGTCGGCGTGTGATGTGCATCATGAACCTCAAGAAACTGGAACGGTGAAGGATGTGGTCAGCAAGGCGGTTGCCGTGAAGATCAGCAGAAAAGCCATGGTTTCGTATCGCAGCGATCTTCGGAAACGCGGCGCCGCGCGCTCGGCATCAACCGCCAGCGCCGGCACGAAACGCCATTTGTTGAGCGCGGCGATACCGAGCACGATCGATACGAGCACCAGCTTGCCGATCAGAACCCGCCCGTAGTCGGATGCCCAAAGCGGCTCGATACCGCCAAGCAGAACATAGGCAAAAGTGCCTCCCGCGAGGATCAGCATGGGCACGATGATACTTGCTTGCCGGCCGAACCGGTCGGCGATCTCGGCGGCGTGGGATGCACCGCCATCGAACAAGGTCAAGCGGTACAGCGGGGCCAACGCACCAAACCAATAGGCCACCGCCAACAAATGAAACGTGATCAGCCCACCGAGCAGCCATTGCGGTTCGCGCGTGGCGTGGCCGGTCAGGGCAAACGAAGCAGCGACCATAATCGCGCCGAACAACGTCGCCGGCGCCCGCACTGGACGGAACAGCGCCGCGAGCAGGATCAGCGCCAAACCTCCGAGGCGGACGTAGGTGGACTCACCCAAGGGGCCTTGCAAACTGATCATGACGATGTTGGGATCGACCATGCCGCCCCAATCGTCCATCAGCCGTCCAGCTTGCACCAGCACACGGAACAGTGTCGCCGCTATGGCGATCAGCGTGGCAGCGATCGCCAGCGGCCGCAGCGCATCCGCCACTTCATCGCCGGCGCGCGGCAAACCGAGGCGGAACAAGAGCGTACCGACCGCCAGGAAGCTCGCCACGTAGATGATCAGCTTGCTTGCGGCAGCAAGCAAGCTCCAAATCATGAAGACATCGCCCAAGGTTCATTCTCCTTCGACGGTGAAGGAAAACGAGCCAGTCATGACATGGCCGTCTTCCCCGAGAGCACGCCAGTTCACCTCGTATCGACCAGCGCCCATGAACTCAGGCGTCAGGCTGATCGCATCAACCATTGCGAATGTCGGTATTTCGATCGCCTTGGTGTGACTGGCTGCGCCGTTCGTGTGCATCATCTCCACTTTCATCACACGCGCGGGTGCCGTGAACTTCAGCTGGATCGTTTCTGGGACGGCATCGAGCGTCGCTCCGTCCGCAGGCTCGGTCATGTTCATTTCGGAATGGGACAGGGCGGGTGTTGCTGCAAGCAGCAGCGCCGCAAGCGCCACAATGGATTTCTTCATGCTTGGTATCCTCTTTCTTCCTTGTCCAACGCTGCGCGTTGCGCCGTCATCGGCATCAGGCCGACAATCGTGCGACCATGGCAATGAGCGTTCAATGGACTGGGGCCGGCGGCGTTCACGGTCGCCGGGATTGCTTATCAGATCAAGGAAGAAGGATATCTGGGCGGGGGCGGATCCAGCGCGTTCGAGCGACCGGTCAGAGCTTTGACAGGCCAGTCGATTGGCGTGTGATCTGCGGTCGTGTCGGACAAGTCGGCGACGGCCGGCGCCAACAGAATATGGGCGCCACAATGCAGGGATTGCGATGGCGTACTGGACTTGCATCCGCTGGTTTCATGCGCTCCAGCGGCGTGGACCGATGGCGACTTGGAACTCGAATAACAGTCAGACGCCGGTGTCTTCACCGCATCTGCATGCGCAAACGTGCCACCTGCCAGAAACAGCATCAGGACGGCGAACATGGAAAACCATGTCGCGATGAGCCTTTTCTGCCGGTGCGCAATCCGCATCGAATCGACGAATCCTGTGCCGTTGTCGAAGGCGCTGTTAGGCACCGAATGTGACCAAGTCATGCCGCCTGACAGCCAAAGTGTCAGCAAAATTGCTTAAGAAGACATCTATCTTCCGTGCCAGATGGCCGCGCGTTGCCAACACCGCGTCGATGGCTCGACGGCAGATGCGTCAAACCCTTTGCGTTGCAGCGCTGTTTGCCGCTGTCGCCGCGTCTTGAGGGGATCGGAGGTAGAGGTAGTCGCGGACCAGAGGGACCGCGTCCTGACGGCGGCCCAATTGGAGTTGGAAGACGACATGATCGCCGTGGCGGAACGACAATTCGCTGCCGGACAGGTAGAAATCCCACATGCGCACGAAGCGCTCATCATAGAGCGCGGCAGCCTGATCAGCATTATCGAGGAACCGCTTGCGCCAGGCCCTGAGCGTTTCGGCATAGTGCAGTCGCAAGACCTCGATATCCAGCACATGAAGCCGAAGTTGCTCGATGTGCCGCATGAGTTCGGAAAGCGCCGGGATGTAGCCGCCGGGGAAGATGTATTTGTCGATCCACGGATTTGTCACGCCCGGCGGCGTCGTCCGCCCGATGGTATGAATGAGCGCAACGCCGTCATCGGACAAGAGCCTGGCGATCCGAGCGAAGTATTCGGAGTAATGCCGTGCGCCGACATGTTCGAGCATGCCGACCGAGACGATGCGGTCGAACTGGCCGTCAAGCGAGCGGTAATCGGCAAGTTCGAAATGGACTTGGTTGCCCAACCCCTGTTCGGTCGCGCGCTTGCGGGCTGTGGCAAGCTGTTCCGATGACAGCGTGATGCCAAGAACATCCGACGCTCCGAGCCGGGCCAGGCCAAGCGCCAATCCGCCCCAGCCCGAGCCGATGTCGAGAACCCGGTGACCCGGCTTGATCGCAAGCTTGCGGGCAATGTGCGCTTTCTTGGCGGCCTGCGCCTCGTCCAACGACATGTCGGGCCGGGCGAAGTAGGCACACGAATACTGCATGTCGTCATCGAGAAACAGTCGGTAGAGCGCATCGCCCAGGTCGTAGTGGTGCGCGACGTTGCGACGAGCCCGGGACGGCGGATTGGGGCCCTGCATCATCCGTGACAACCAGGCCGAACCTCTGTTTTGAGCCGTGCCGTCATCACCATAGATATTGGTCCAGACGAGATCGAGCAGGTGGTAAATCGACCGGTCACAGAGTGTCAGCGCGCCGTCCATGTAGGCCTCGCCGACTCGCAGTTCGGGATTGCGCAGGATGCGCCCGATCCAGCGCGCGTCTTTGATTTGGGCGCGCACCGGCACCGCAGTCCGCTGACCGTATATGATCTTGCCGCCGTCCGGATATGTCAGGTCAAGACGCCCGATCCGGATCTGTCGTTTCAGCAGGCGATCCAGCAGCTTTGCACCAATTGCCACGCACATCCTCCTTTCCCGCCGGTCCGCAACGCGTGATGTCTCGACATTAGAGCATTGGTTGGCAGGAAAAAGGACGCCGGCCGTCCGGCCGGGTTACAATTGGCCGCGACGCAAATCACTGTCCGGACGGCCGGCTCAAGGATCGGGGCGCAATGGCGCCGTCCAGCGCCGTTCAAAAAGCGATGCACCCGATCGGGCACCGCCCGACCTGTTCGATGTGTAACGCTTTGGCGCCTGCTGCGTCCGTTAAAGGAACGGCCGGATCGATCTCGTTGACCAGCGTGTGGAGGTGTCTTCGCTCGCTGCAACTGTCGGTCAGCTAATGGAGCCAGCCATGAAGGTTAAGGACCCGGTTTGCGGACGTCACATTGACCTGGACGAGGTCTATGCAAGCGCGGAACACGAAGGATGGGAGTATTTCTTCTGCTCGGCTGTCTGTCACCGGCGGTTCCGGCTGGAGCCATCGGCGTTTGCGTCGGCGCCAAAGCCAAAAGGCGACAGTCCATCGGAAAAGAAGGCCTCTTGAGAAGGACCCATGGGACAGACTCTGAATCATCATAATCGCCACACTCATCACTCTCGCAGCAAGGCGAGCGGTCATCGCGGCCATGGTGGGCATGGCGGACACGATCATGCGGCGATGATTGCCGATTTTAGAAAGCGCTTTTGGGCCACGCTCGCCGCCACCGTCCCGATCCTCGCGCTTGCGCCGATGATCCAGGGATGGCTCGGCCTTGAAGAAGCCCTCGAATTTGGAGGCGACAGCTATGTGCTCGCAGCGCTGTCGACGCTTGTCTACTTCTACGGAGGCTGGCCCTTTCTGACCGGCCTTTGGTCCGAGGTCCGCTCCGGCCGCACCGGAATGATGACGCTGATCGCAGTCGCCATCACTGCCGCCTATGCCTATTCCATGGCCATGGTCGTGATCGGCAGCGAGGAGACCTTCTTCTGGGAGCTCGCGACGCTGATTGCGATCATGCTGCTTGGGCACTGGATCGAGATGAAGTCGGTCATGGGTGCGGGCAAGGCCCTGGAGAAACTTGCCAGCTTGATGCCGGACACGGCACATCTGGTGGAAGCCGATGGCAGCGTTCGCGAAATCGCCGTTTCAGAACTGCAAGGCGGCGAGACGCTTCTTGTCAAACCGGGTGAGAAGGTTCCCGCCGACGCGGTCATCGTGAAGGGCGAATCGTCTTTGAACGAATCCATGCTCACCGGGGAGTCCAAGCCGATTCACAAGGCGCCCGACGCCGAGGTGATCGGCGGATCGATCAATGGCGAAGGAGCATTGACGATCAGAGTCGCCAAGACGGGTGAAGACAGTTTTCTGTCAAGCGTCATCAAACTGGTCGAAGAGGCGCAAGCCAGCAAGTCGAAAACCCAGGATCTGGCGAACAATGCGGCGCGCTGGCTGACTTTCATCGCCCTTGGAGGCGGGCTTGTCACGGTTCTTTTCTGGACACTTCTCACCGGCCAAGACTTCGCTTTCGCCATGGAACGCGCCGTCACCGTTATGGTCATAGCCTGTCCGCATGCGCTTGGCCTCGCCGTTCCGCTTGTCGTCGCGCGCTCGACCGCGATCGCAGCTTCCAACGGTCTGCTCATTCGCGACCGGACCGCGTTCGAGGAAGCGCGAAACACCGAGGCAATCATCTTCGATAAAACCGGCACGCTGACCAAGGGCGAGTTCGGCATCACCGATACTCTGGTCTTCGACGAAGCCTTCGGTGCGCGTGACATCGTCTCCTATGCGGCGGCCGTCGAAATGCAGTCCGAACATCCGATCGCAAAGGGTATCGTCAACGATGCGGAAGACATCTGGACCGTCGACCATTTCAGGGCGATTCCCGGCAAGGGTGCCGAGGGCAAGGTCAAGGATCGTGACGTAAAGGTGGTCAGTCCCGGGTTTGTGCGCTCGCGGGGAATATCAATTGATGATCCGCGTTTTGAAGAACTGAGCGCGCAAGGCAAGACCGTGGTCTTTGTGCTCATCGATGATGAACTTGCTGGCGCTATCGCGCTTGCCGACATCATCCGGCCGGAATCCAGACAAGCGATCGCCGATCTGCAGGCCATGGGCATACGCTGCATCATGCTCACCGGCGACAATCAGCAGGTTGCCAGTTGGGTCGGCGAGGAGATCGGTCTTGATGAAGTGATCGCCGAGGTTCTGCCACAGCAGAAAGCAGATACAGTCAAGGAGATACAGAGCCGTGGATTGATCGTTGCGATGACCGGCGACGGCGTCAACGATGCTCCCGCCCTGGCACAGGCCAATGTGGGTATCGCCGTCGGCGCAGGGACCGACGTCGCGATCGAAACGGCCGACATCATTCTGGTGCGGTCCGATCCCGGCGATGTTGCCGCTATCCTCGGCCTCGCCCGGGCGACCTACGGCAAGATGATCCAGAACCTTGCTTGGGCGACAGGTTACAACGCGTTTGCGATACCCGCCGCCGCCGGGGTGTTTTTTCCCTGGGGTCTCGTCCTCAGCCCCGCAATCGGTGCAATCTTCATGTCGGCCAGCACGGTCATTTGCGCGGTCAACGCGCAGTTGTTGACGCTCAAGAAGCACCGGAACGGGGCAGGCACGGCAACATCACAAAGCGCGGACCGGTCAGCGCTAGCGGGCGGATGAGCATTGTCGCCGATCAATTGTTGCTCTTGGTCCGTGTCAACGCATGTCGCCCGGACGATGGCAGCTAGGGCCAGGTGCGTTGCCGCCGGATTATTGGGCCCTGGCCCCAAACCACGATTGTTGGCGATTGCCGTCATGGCGCTTTGGGCATCGTGTTATCCGCTGATTGCACTGGCGCTCGATGATGCCCCGCATCTGACGTTTGCCGCCTTGCGCGCCCTGATCGGCGGCGCGGCCCTGATGCTGGTTGCGCTGGCCACCGGCGCGAGCTGGCCCAAACAGAGGATCGAGTGGGGCTGGATCGTGCTGGCGGGCGTCGGCATGACAGGCATCGGCTACTTCGGCATATTTCACGGAGCCGAGTTCGTTGCGCCGGGTCTGGCAACCGTTATATCCAACACTCAGCCCCTGATTGCCGGACTGCTCGCCGCAGCCTTTCTGGCAGAGCGTGCCGGGCTGATGGGCTGGACCGGACTGATGATCGGTTTTTCCGGAATCGTCGTGATCGCGACACCGAATTTCAGCGCAGGATCCTCAAGCACAAGTTCGGTCGGCTTTGGCTATGTCTTGCTGGCCACATTGGGCGTTGCCGCGGGCAACATCGCCATTCGACAGCTTGGTTTGCGCGTAGCGCCTGTCATGGCGATGGGATTGCAGTTGATCATCGGAGCCATGCTTCTGGCCATTCTCGCAATGGCGCTGGAAGATCCGACACAGGTCAACTGGAGCGGCAGGTTCCTTGTTTCGCTTCTTGGCCTCGCTCTGCCCGGCACCGCACTTGCGTTCTGGATGTGGCAGATCACGCTGGCACACCTTTCGGTCTCGCAGGCAGTCTCGTTCAGCTTTGTGGTGCCGATCATCGGCCTGACCGTCGGCTGGGCGTATTTTGGTGAGACGATAACGCGATCAACTGTCGTTGGTGCGATCTTGTCGGTCGCCGGCGTCTATTTTGCCTCGCGCGATGGTCGGACAGGCAGGAGTCCTGGATAGCAGAATTGCCATTTCGATTTCGAACAGGAGAAACACGTGATTTCTCCCGCGTAAGGACACGGGCGAGCTCCACGCTGACAGCGGCCACCCCGTCACCGATGATCTTCGAGCCTATCGAGTGTCGTGCCGGCTGCTTTGAGACTGGGGCGAGGCATGCATTGTGTGAGCTTCTTGCTGCGAATCCGGATGCTTGCCGACACGAGCGAGAAAGACGCGTTCGAAAATGAACACCGTCGTCATGGCCAAGATCGCGATGATGACGATCGCCGCATCGGATTGCCATTTAAGGGTCGTAAAGGCGACAAGCACGATCGCGTCCAGCCCGATCGCCGTCAGCAGCACCCAGCCCTGCGCGCCGATTTCCTTGCGCAGATGCCGGAACACACCCCAGTGAATCAGGATATCCATGACAAGATAGAAGAATGCACCCAGTGCAGCGATCCGGCTGAGATCGAAGAAGACCGTCAGGAAACCCGCGATTGCCACGGTGTAGACAAGCGTATGGTCCTTTATGGCGCCAGGCATGCCGAAATGGCTGTGCGGGATCATTCGCATATCCGTAAGCATGGCCAGCATACGCGAAACCGCAAACACGCTGGCAAACAAGCCGGATGCCGTCGCGATCAGTGCCAGTGAGATGATCAGGTAGAAGCCGGTCTGGCCTAATGCGGGCTCAGCCGCCTCCGCCAACGCATAGTCCCTGGTCGTGATGATGCGATCGAGTGGCAGGCTACTGCCCACGGCGAAGGCGACCAGAAGATAGACGACGACGCAAATCGCGATTGAGATGATGATCGCACGGCCCACATTCCGGTGTGGGTTGGTAATCTCGGCGCCGCTGTTGGTGATGGTCGTAAAGCCCTTGAATGCCAGGATCGACAACGCGACGGAAGCAATGAAACCGCCGATAGGAAAACCGCCGATATCCGTATCGGGTTTGAATGTAAGTCCGCTGGCCCAGAGCGCGGCCAGACCAAACAGAGCGATGCCTGCGACCTTGATCACCGCCATGACGATCGACAGAATCCCGACCGAGCGATTCCCCGAGACATTGACGAGATAGGCGAAGACGATGACGCTGACGCCGAGCACCGGAACCAAGATGCTGTCGGTCCCTATGCCAAGCCCTCGAAGTGCATAGGTGGCAAACGTTCGAGCAACCAGGCTCTCATTGATCACCATGGACAACGCCATCAGCAACGCTGCACCGGCAGCAATCGTCGACGGGCCGTATGCCTTCTGCAGGATCATCGCTATTCCGCCTGCTGACGGGAAAGCGTTCACCATCTTCACATAGGTATGAGCGCTGAAGCCGGTGACGATAGCGCCAAGAAGAAAGGAAAGCGGAAAGAGGGGGCCGGCCAGTTCGGCGATCTGACCTGTCAAAGCGAGAATGCCCGCACCGATCATCACGCCAGTGCCCATGGCGATCGCGCCCGGCAAGGTGATGCTATTGGTCTTATAAGTTGAGGCCATGGCGCGACTACCGATCCGCCTTTCGGCGAACCGGCTCATTTCCCGATTGGTGTGTCAGACAGCCGCGACGACTTCCGAGAGCAGCTGCCTGACTTCGCCGGCCACCTGAACCAGGTCGTCATTGTCGATGGCCTTCATCGAGGCCACAGGATCGACCGCGCTGACTTCGACTCCATCCCGGGTTTGTCTGATGATGACGTTGCACGGCAACATGGCACCGACACGTGGCTCGATCGCGATCGCTTCCCAGGCCATTTCCGGATTGCAGGCCCCCAGGATCCGGTAGGACGGCATCTCCTTGCCGATCTTTTTCTTCATTGTTGCTTTGACGTCGATCTCGGTCAGGATGCCAAAACCTTTGTCGGCAAGGGCATCGCGAACTTTCGCATCGACCGTCTCGAAATCACCGTCGGCAATCAAACGGGTCATGGTGTAGCTCATCGGACTTCTCGCACTTGATCAAATGTCTTGGGGCGTCAGTTGTCGTCCATCATTGGGCGATCATCATCGTCCATCGTGCCACTGCCCGGCTGCATCATCACGCCGGGCATCACGGCGCGCATCTGCTCCATGCGCTCGATCATCCGGGCCGGTGCCGTGAATTCGGCGTCAGTCACCTTACCGTCACCATCTTCGTCGAGCGCCTGAAACCGGTCCACCATGCGCGCGCGAAATGTGGCATTGTGGAGTGTCTCGAACTCGTCGATGGACAGAGTTCCACTGCCGTCTTCGTCGTACGCCTCAAGCTGGCCTGCGAGACCCATACGCATTTCGTCCGCGCTGACGAACCCATCCTCGTCGGCGTCAAACCCATCCATCATCAATGCCATGGGACCCATGCCCGTCATCATGCCACCCATGGGCCCCGAACCGCTCATCATTTGCCGATGCATCTGCATCATCATGGGCATCATGTCTTGCTGGTTTCCCATCATGCCACCGGCTTGTCCTGGTCGCATGCCTTGACCTGCCATGCCGCCCATCATGCCGAAACCTGGACCGCCCCATTGTCCGCCGGGATGGTGGCCTCCCATCGAGGCCTGGGCGAAGGCCGGAAAGGCGGCAGCGGTGCCGAGGGCCGCAACGGCGCTCAGAGCGATTATCGATTTGCGTTTCATGACATCACCTCACATTGGAAATCGGTTTCGATGCCAACCATGTGAGCAATGGGAGACAAAACGCCATAGCCGCGCAGAGCGGGATTGTATCGGTCTGTAACTGCGCCGGTCCTCGTTACTTTTGCGGACAATTTTGATCTGAAATGCCGTCACCGCACGCTATGAAGAGGACATGAATGAGCAGCCGCACATCCTGGTCGTCGATGACCATCGCGAGATCCGCGATGCTGTCAGCCGCTATCTGGAAAAGAACGGGATGCGAGCGACCACGGCGCGCGATGCGGTCGAGATGGACAACAAGCTCAAGTCGGGCCGCTTCGATCTGATTGTGCTCGATATCATGATGCCGGGCGAAGACGGCCTGTCGGTGTGCCGGCGTCTCTCGGCCGAGAGCGACGTGCCAATCCTGTTCCTGACGGCCCTGGCCGAAGAGACTGATCGCATTGTCGGGCTTGAGCTCGGTGCCGACGACTATTTGTCCAAGCCCTTCAATCCGCGGGAATTGCTTGCGCGCATCAAGGCTATTCTCAGGCGCGCCGAGAGACGCGAAAGCAGCGCGGGCGAACTGTCGGGCAGGCTGGTCGCATTTTCCGGCTGGACGCTCGACACAGACAGCCGTCGGCTATGCGCCGACAACGGCAATGAAATCGATCTGACAAGCTCCGAGTTCAAGCTTCTGACCGTCTTTCTCGAGCGTCCGCGCATGGTTCTCAGCCGCGATCAGCTTTTGGATTTGACTGCGGGACGTGCCGCCCCCCCGCTCGATCGTACAATCGACAACCAGGTCAGCCGGCTTCGGCGCAAGATCGAACAGGATCCGTCACGACCCCAGATCATATCGACGGTTCGCGGTGACGGTTATAGCCTGACCGCAGATGTCGAGGTCGGATCGTGATGCGGCGTCTGGCTGCCATCAGTCTGCGTACCCAACTGGTCATCCTGATTCTTGGCGCGCTGGTTGTCGCTCAGATTGTCAGCCTGTTCCTGTTCGTCGACGAACGCAGTCTGGCCGTACGGGCGGCCCTCGGAATGGAAGCTGCCGGGCGCGCCGCCAACGTCGTAAGGCTGATCGAAGAGGCGCCGCCATCGCTTCATGCATCGATCTTGCGGGCCGCCGATTCGCCGCTGGTCCGCTTTGACGTCGGTCCAATGCCGAACGTCCAAGTCCACGACCACAACACCAGCGGACCCGTCGTCGAACGGATTAGAGGTTTGCTGGGTGCGGCCGGTGACAGGGATATCCGGCTTGACCTGCGGGAAATCGAAGCAGGATTTCCAGCGATCGCCGGCGTCCCGGACGGCATGGCCCGGATGCATAGCCGCATGATGCACGGCCGGATGTCGGCGATAGAGATGAACCTTTCCATCGCGCTGGGCTCCGGTGAATGGCTGAACGTCGGTACCCGGTTTCAACGGCCGCCACTACAATGGACCTGGCTCACAGCTCTCAGCTTCGGACTGACTGCCGCATTGATCCTGGCAGCCGCGTTGTGGTTCATGCTCTCTCGTCTCACCGGGCCGCTGAGCCGTCTGGCAGGAGCGGCCGATCGCCTGGGCCGGGGCGAACACGTTGCGGAACTTGCCCCGGCAGGTCCTTCGGAGGTTCAAGAACTGACCGAAGCGTTCAATCAGATGCAGGCGCGGCTGACGCGCTTCGTATCTGACCGCACCCGGCTCCTGGGTGCGCTTGGCCACGATTTGCGGTCTCCGCTGACTGCGATGCGTGTCCGGGCCGAAATGGTCGAGGATCAGGAGACCCGGGAGCGGCTGATTGCGACGATCGGCGAGATGCAGCAGATGGTCGACGAGACTCTCGCTTTCGCTCGCGGCATGGCCAACGCTGAAGCCTACGAGACGCATGAGCTTTCGGCATTTCTGCGCGATCTTTGCGGCGACTTGGCCGAAACCGGACAAGATGTGGAGCTGTCGGCAGAACATGATTTATGGGCACGGCTGCGTCCGACGGCGTTAAGGCGCGCCTTGCGCAACATCATCGACAACGCCGTTCGTTATGGTGGCAGCGCACGGGTTTTGCTGGCACTCAGCGGAGACAACGCTGAAATCACCGTTGCCGATGATGGTCCGGGCATACCCCAGGAAGATGTCGAACGCGTTTTCGATCCTTTCGTACGCATCGAAACGTCCCGTTCCCGTGAGACCGGCGGGGCAGGCTTGGGCCTGGCAATCGCGCGCACGATCATTCAGGGTCACGGCGGCAACATCGAATTGGCCAACCGGCCAGAAGGCGGGCTGACAGCCGCGATAAGCTTGCCGCTGGTTTCCGATCCCGGTCCGACGGAAGCCTAGGGTCCCGACCCCAGAGACTGCAATCGGAATCACGCGCGCCGTTCGGCCTGCGATCTCACCGCTGACTGCTGAGTATGTTGAGTCCGATGGCCCCCTTGCGCGGTTCAGAGGTCGTGTTCGTGCGGCCGTCTTTGGGACGTTCAAGATCGTTGAGGATCGGGCAGTCCGGTCGGTGATCGCCGGAACAGTTCGCGGCCAGGTCTTCCAGCGTGTCGGCCATGGCTTCCAGTTCGCCAATTTTTCGACGAAGGCTTCGAACATGCTCCAGCGCCAGTCGTTTGACGTCGGCGCTTTGACGGGACTGATCGCGCCACAGGTCAAGCAGACCGCCTATGGCATCGACCGAGAACCCCAGATCGCGCGCACGCCGGATGAACCGCAGCATGTGCACGTCCTGCTCGGAATAGACACGGTAGCCGGCCTCGGTTCGGGCAGCCGGCGGGATCAGGCCGTTCTGCTCATAGTAGCGGATCATCTTGGCCGAAACGCCTGACGCGTCGGCCGCTTGTCCGATGTTCATGCTTGCCTACTGTGTCGTCCGGGTATTCTCGCGTCATCGTCCTCGGGCGTGCAAAAGACGTCGGTGTGCAGATCGTCCTGCCGCGCCGGTCGCTTCCATTATGGCGTCGATCATCGTCGGCGGTCCGGCCGTGCGAGTCTTCCGGACGTCAATATCCTCAATGTCCTCGGCACCCGCGTCACTTGCATGACCCGTGCGCTGCGCCTTGGCTATTGCGCCGGGGCGAGGCGGGGGCTTGGCGCTGGTGCACTGGCAGGCGCGTCCGCTTCCATGGGGGCGTTGAACCCGCGCAATCGCAGCGCATTGCCGAGAACGAAGACGCTGGACAGCGCCATGGCACCGGCGGCGAAGATCGGCGACAGAAGCAAGCCGAAGGCGGGGTAGAGCACGCCCGCTGCAACCGGGATCAGAGCCGTGTTGTAGGCAAACGCCCAGAACAGGTTCTGCTTGATGTTGCGGATCGTCGCCTGGCTGATCGCGATCGCGTTCGGCACGCCTTTCAGGCTGCCGGACATAAGCACGACGTCGGCCGCTTCGATGGCAACATCGGTTCCAGTGCCGATGGCAAGCCCGACATCGGCCTCCGCCAACGCAGGCGCATCGTTGATGCCATCGCCGACGAAGGCCAGTCTGCCATGCTCGGCTTTCAAGCGCTTGACCGCTTCCACCTTGCCGTCGGGCAATACCTCGGCCACCACTTCGTCGATGCCCAGACGGCGCGCGATGGCGTCTGCCGTGCGGCGATTGTCGCCGGTGATCATCGCCACCTTCAGGCCCAGATCGTGCAGTGCCTTGATCGCCTCGGGTGTGGTCTGCTTGATCGGGTCGGCCACCGCCACGATGGCGGCAAGCCTTCCGCCGATAGCCGCATAGAGCGGCGTCTTGCCCTCGTCGGCGAGCCGGTCGGCGGTTTCAGCGAAGAGGGCCGTATCGAGGCCAAGTCTGGTCATGAACCGGTCAGCGCCGATCTCGACGCGCGCGCCATTCACCTCCGCTTTCACGCCGAAACCGGTCACGGAGTCAAAGCCTGTCACCTTCGGCAGATCGAGCCCTTCGGTCTCGGCCGCTTCGACGATGGCCCGGGCGATCGGGTGCTCGGACCTGGATTCCACCGCGGCAATCCGCGCCAGCACGTCATCGCGTTCAAAGCCTTCGGCCAGTTCGAGGTCGGTCAAAGCCGGCTTGCCTTCCGTCAGCGTCCCGGTCTTGTCGAGCGCGACTGCCTTTGCCTCCTTGAGGAGTTGAAGCGCTTCGCCCTTTCGGAACAGAACGCCCATTTCCGCACCGCGTCCGGTGCCGACCATGATCGAGGTCGGCGTGGCCAGACCCATGGCGCAAGGGCATGCGATGATCAGAACGGCCACGGCATTGACCAGTCCGAATGTCAGCGCCGGTTCCGGCCCGAACGTCAGCCAGACGACAAAGGTCAGCGCCGCGATAATCATGACTGCCGGGACGAACCACAGCGTTACCCGGTCGACCAGCGCCTGGATCGGCAATTTCGATCCCTGCGCTTCTTCCACCATGCGGATGATCTGGGCAAGCATGGTATCGGCACCGACGGCGGTCGCCCTGAAGGCCAGCGCGCCTGTCTGGTTGACCGTGCCGCCGACAACCTCGGCGCCGTTCGACTTGGCGACCGGAACCGGCTCTCCGGTGATCATCGATTCATCGATATAGCTCTCGCCTTCGATCACCGCGCCATCGACTGGCACGCGTTCGCCTGGCCGCACCTCGACGATGTCGCCCGGTGCGACATCGGCCACCGCGATTTCGGTGGTTTTGCCATCGCGCCGAACACGTGCCGTCTTGGCTTGAAGTCCGACGAGACGCTTGATCGCCTCGGATGTGCGTCCCTTGGCGCGCGCTTCGAGATATCGACCGAGCAGGATCAGCGTGACGATGACGGCGGCGGCCTCGAAATAGACGTTCACCGTTCCGGCCGGCAGCAATGCTGGCGCAAAGGTCGCGACAACCGAATAGAGAAAGGCCGCCGACGTGCCGACGGCAACAAGGCTGTTCATGTCGGGCGCGCCGCGAAGCAGGGCCGGGAAGCCGTGGGTGTAAAAACGGATGCCGGGGACGAACAGGACGAGTGCGGTGAAGCCGAACTGAATGTACCAATTCGCCTGCATGCCGATCGTCGTCATGATCAGTTCATGCATGCCGGGAATGACATGACGGCCCATCTCCAGGATGAAAACCGGTGCCGTGAGCAGCGCTGCAAGGATCACGCTGCGCTTGAGCGCAGCTTCCTCGGCGTCCTTGCGGGCGACGGTCTCGGCGTGCTCATCGCCGCTGCGGTCAATCGGTTTGGCGTCATAGCCGGCATGGGCCACGGCCTCGACCAACGCGCTCATATCAGCGTTGCCCGTGACACTCGCTCGCTCGGTTGCAAGGTTTACCACGGCACCGGTCACGCCCGGCACGGCCTTCAGCGCCTTTTCGACCTGGCCGACACATGACGCGCACGTCATGCCGGAAATCGACAATTCGGCCGAGCCAGCCGGAACGTCGTAGCCGACATCCCGCACTGCATCGGCCAGCACATCCCGTGCGACCGGGGCAGCCAGCACGATCTCGGCTCGTTCTGTTGCGAGATTGACGCTTGCTTGTTCGACGCCGGGGACCGCCTTCAACGCTGCCTCGACACGGCCGACACAGGAAGCGCAACTCATCCCCTCGATCGGGAAACTCACTTTGTCTTGCGAGTGTTTTTCTGCCGGCGCATTCATCGCCTTTCCTTCCCTTCAACATGTCGCTCGCACAGCAAGATAGGGCTTCCAACGACTGGAAGGTCAAGGGAGAGGGGTGCGGTTTTTTCGCTGTTGACCTTGCAACGGTTTGAGGCCGTATCGGTCTGTGCATGCAGCAAACCGAGGAGCTTCACATGCAGTTCACATCGGAAACATGTCCCGCGACGGGCGTCCCCCAATCCAACGCGTGAAAACCCGGCCTTGAGTCATGGCGTCGCAGACGCCACTTGGCGGCGGGCCCCTATGAGGGGGCCGGGCGGTAGGCCACCACCTCGATCTCCACATTCGCGTCGACCATCAAAGGCGCGCCGACGCAGGACCGCGCCGGAGGCAAATGCGGGAAGTACTGCGCATAAACCGCATTGAAGCGCACGAAATCGTTCCGGTCCGTCAGCCAGATGGTGGTCTTCACGACATCATCCAAAGACGCGCCGGCCTGCTCAAGCGCGGCGGCGATGTTGTCGAGCACCTGGCGGGTCTGCGTTTCGATGTCTCCGCCGACGAGCGCGCCGTCAGGGCCGAAGGGCACCTGGCCGGACAGGAAGATGAGGTCGCCCGCCCTGACGGCCGAGGAGAGCGGGACCACGGGATGAACGCCGAAGACTTGCTTGTTCACAAGGGTTTCTCCTTTCCCTGAACAACTTTTGCAGGCGCGGGCTGTCTTGCCGGAGCGCTGAGGACGAGAATGTTGCCGAAGAGAACCGCGATGCCGCCAGCGATCACATAGCCGTCGATCGTCAGATTCTCGAACAGGGCCGACAGAAGCAGCGCAACCACCGGCACGAGCGCCAGCGTGTAGGACGCGCTGGCCGGGCCGATGCGTTGGACGAGGCTGAAATACATGAAGAACGTCACGCAGGACGCGATGATCGCCAAGTAGGCCAGCCCGGCAAGATATGCCGCGGATATGTCGACCTTGAAGCTCATGTCACCGAACAGCGCCAGCGCGAACGAAAACAGGGCGCCAAAAAGCGCTGCCCAGCTCATGAGCACTGATATGGGTATCCCGGCTTGCTGGTTTCGCATGGCAACGACGGTGCCGCATCCGGTGCATGCCGCCGCCGCCAGGGCAAGTGCAACGCCAGCCATCGTTTGAGGGCCGGACGACACCGCCAGAAGCTGCGGCATCGCAATGACGGCAAGGCCGGCGATGCCGGACATGATGCCGAAAAGCATGCGCATGGTGACCGGCGCCGACAGGAACAGCCAACCCACGACGGCCGCGAACAGGGAGGATGTCGAAAGAACCAGCGCCGAAATGCCGGAGGTGATCAGCGTCGTTGAATGATAGAAGGTGATGAAGGCCAGGCCGAAAAACAGGACCCCCTGGACCACAACCCAAGGCTGATCGATTGGCCGCAGCCCGATCTTCTCGCCGCGCGCGATGCTCCAGCCGAACATGACAAGGCTGACGAGCGCCATTCGGTATCCAACCGAAACCTCAGGAGCGCCGGAGATTGCCTGATGACCGGTCACGATGGCACTGCTCCCCCACAGAACCGCCATCGCAACAAAAAGAAACGCGCTCATGCTCCTCCTTCGTTCCGGCAGGCCATGGCACGCGGACGGAACGTCTTTGCGTTCGGGATGGCCTGCTCAAGCTTCGGATTTCGGCTCTTGCGCCTCGGGCGCTTCCCTGACGCCACGCCATCCGCGCGCCAGAATTCCCGCGCTGGCGTCGTCAAGTTTGGCCAGTATGCCGTTCAAGACGTCCAGCTCCTCCTGCGAGACCGCATGGACCAGCTCGGTTTCGAGACGTTCCGCAAGTCCGGAGATCTCGCTGAAGGCGGCCCAGCCGGTCTCCGAGAGCTCGATTGCGGCATATCGCCGGTCGGAGCGGCCAGTCTGGCGTTGGGCGAAGCCCAGTTCCACCAATTGCTTGACCGCGCGCGACACCGCGAACTGGTCAAGGCCGCCAGCCTGACAGATTTCCTTGGCACTGACGCCGGGCCGGTTCGCGATGATCGCCATCGTGCGCCATGCGGACCGGGACAGGCCGAACCTGGGTCCGTAAAACGCGTTGAGGACATCCGCAACGCGGGCGGAAATGCGGAAAAGCCGGTAGGGGAGCCAGGCTTCCAGCTGAAGTGTCGCGTCCGGATCGATCGGGCTCTGGCCGTCGTCCATTTTCGATTTTTGAGTGCTAATTAATTGCATAATGCAAGCGTATCCTTTTTAATCCGCTCGGGCAACGGCTTAATCCGTCAAAGACCGATGACCAAGAGGTGACGTGCTTTTGCGGAACGGGAAACGCCAGATCGAAAAGGATCGGACATGCCATTTGTCGTCCATTGCATCGACCGGCAGGATGCCGGAGACCTTCGCCGGCGCACGCGTGCCGAACACCTTGAATACATGATCGCGCACAATGAGCGGGTGGCATTTGGCGGCCCCTTGCAGAACGAGGATGGGTCGAAGGTGATCGGCAGTCTGATGGTGCTGTCCTATGATACGCGCGAGGCTGTCGAGGCGTTTCTGGATGCCGAACCCTATTCGCGGGCGGGGTTGTTTTCGGAGTTGAGGATCAGCCGTTTTCGCCAGATGGTCCCAGAAAACCCGCCCGGCCTGCTGATGAAAGAACTGGCGCGTGAGCGCGCGGCACTTCGGGGGCATCCGGTTTCCGGGCCGCGCCACGGGGCCGGCGCGGTCAGGACAAGATGAGCTGGTCGTCTTCGACCTCGGTGCCGGTGGTCTTCTTGAAAAGATCGAGCAGGTCCGGAACTTCGTAGCCCTTCCGCGCGTCACCATGAACATCGAGCAGGATGCGGCCGCCGTTCATCATGATGGTGCGGTCGCCGTAATCGAGCGAGTTGCGCATACTGTGCGTCACCATGAGAGTTGTCAGTTTCTGCTCTCCGGTGATTTCCGCCGACAGATCGAGGACCGTCGCTGCGGCGCCCGGATCAAGCGCGGCGGTGTGTTCGTCCAGAATGAGGATCTTCATCGGCAGCAGGGTCGCCATCAGCAGGCTGAGTGCCTGCCTCTGTCCTCCCGAAAGCGTTCCGGCCATCGCACCGAGCCTGTCTTCCATCCCCATGTCGAGCCGTGAGAGCTGGTCGGCCAGCCGGCGCCTCTGGCCGCCCCGGCCCAGCGCATTGCGCAGGCTTCGCCTGCTGCCGCGGCTTGCCGCAAGGGCGAGGTTTTCCTCCACGGTCAGGCCGCTGCAGGTGCCGGCGCGCGGTTCCTGGAAAACCCGCCCGATCATGCTGGCCCGCTGCTCCGTGCGCCAATTGGTGACTTCCTGACCGTCGATATAGATGCCGCCCTTGTCGAGACGGACATCTCCGGCGATGGCTGACAAAAGCGTGGACTTGCCGGCGCCGTTGGTGCCGATGACCGTGACGAACTGGCCTTCCTCCACGTCGAGATCCACACCGCGCAGTGCCGGAACCGCCAGCGGCGTTCCCGGGTTGAACGTCAAAAAGGCATCGCAAACACTGAGCACGAATTCACCCTTTCTGCGGCTGCGTATCCATCAGCAGGCTCCGCATCTTTGGCCAGAACTTGAAACGGCTGTTTCGCCTGGCTTGGGAAAGAATTACGGCGATCGCGACAACAACGGCCGTGACGAGATTGAGGTCCTGCGCCTGAATGCCGAGAAATCCCGCGCTGAGGGCGGCGGCGATGAACAGGCGATAGAGAAGCGCGCCGATGAGACAGCCAAGCGTCGCCCAGAAGACCTTTGTCGAGCCCAGAAGGGTTTCGCCGATGATCAATGCGGCAAGGCCGGTCACAATCGTACCGATGCCCAGCGAAACGTCGGCGACGCCCTGGCTCTGGGCGAAGAGGGAGCCGGCCAGCCCGACAAGGGCGTTGCTCACCGACATGCCGATGATCGTCATGCGTCCGTTGCTGACCGATTGTGCGCGAGCCATGGCCGGGTTCTCTCCGCTGGCCCTGAGCGCCAGGCCGACCTGTGTTCCCAGGAACCAGTCGACGAGCAGTTTCATGGCAATTGCGAAAACCAGAAGGATCGCGCTGGTCGTCCAGATCCCGAGATCGATCACCCCCTCGAACGCGGTGAAGATCGTGTTCTCGCCGTATAGCGAGATGTTCGGTCGTCCCATCACGCGCAGATTGATCGAGTAGAGGGCCACCATGGTCAGGATGCCGGCCAACAGATTGAGAATCCGGAACCGGACGTTCAAAAAGGCCGACACGAAGCCAGCGCAACAGCCGGCGAACGTACCTATGACCGTCGCAAGGAACGGATTGACGCCATGAATGATCGCGACAGCGGTCGCGGCAGCCCCGAGTGGGAAGCTGCCATCGACCGTCAGGTCGGGAAAGTTGAGGACGCGAAAGGAGAGATAAACCCCGAGCGCCACAAGGGAGAAGAGAAGGCCGGCTTCAACGGCGCCGGCGACGGCTAGCGCGCTCACCTTACTGGATCACTTTCGTGGCTTGCTCCAGAATGTCATCGGGAAGTGTCACGCCCATTGCGGCTGCGGCGCTTGTGTTCAGGTAAAGGTCCTGCGTGTCCAGCGCTCCCACCGGGATCGCCGCCGGGCTCTCCCCGTTCAACACACGCACTGCCATCTCGCCGGTCAGGCGCCCGAGCTTGTAATAGTCGAAACCGAGGGCAGCCAGCGCACCGCGCTCGACGGAATCCGTGTCGCTGGCGAAGACCGGGATCTTCGCCCTCTCGCCAACGTTCACGACGCTCTCCACCGCTGCCACAATGGTGCTGTCCGTGGGGATGAGGATGGCGTCGGCACGCCCGGCCAGGCTGAGGGCCGCATCGGCGACCATCGCCGTCTGGGAGGCGGTGCTTTCCTCGATCTCGAGGCCATGCGCCTCCAGTTCAACCTTCAGTGCGGCGACCTGGGACACGGAATTGGCTTCGCCGGCATTGTAGATGACCCCGATCCTCTTTGCGTCGGGGACAAGCGTCTTGATCAGCGCCAATGTCGGTCCGAAGGGTTGTTTGTCGGTCGTGCCGGTGATGTTTCCGCCCGGTGCCTCGATGCTCTCGACCAGCTTGGCGCCGACCGGATCGGTGACGGCCGCGAAGAGAAGCGGGATGTCGCCGGCCGTGCTTTGAAGCGCCTGGGCCGAAGGTGTGCTGATGGCGACGAGCAGATCGGGTTCCAGTCCCGCGAACTCTTTTGCGATCTGGAGCTGCGTGGGCATGCTGCCCTGAGCGCTCTGGACACGCAGTTCGAGCGTTTCGCCCTCCTTGAACCCGTGGGCTTCCAATTCATCGACGATGCCCATGCGCGCCGCGTCGATCGCAGGATGATCGATGATGTAGGTGATCGCGACCTGGGTCATCTCGGTTGCCGAGGCAACCGAACATGCCGCCGAGATCAGTGCCGCCGCGGCGAAGCTTGCTGCTTTCTTTCGAAACATATCAGATGATCCTTTCGCTGTTTGTTTTGCTGGACGCTTGGAACTCGCGTTTCCGCGAAGCTTGAGGCGCGGGGTAGGGCAGGGCGCCATGGGTGTTTTCGGCAGCCGTCGACAGGTGGCCCGACTGCCGCGGCGCGGCGGCGGCTGTCGCCATCGGTTCGGGGTTTTCGGGTGCCAAGCGGCAACGCACCATGGACTGGTCGAAGTCCTTGACCGTCCGCGCCCCCATCAGCATCTGAGCGACGTTGAGCTCGCTTCCGAGGATGGACAGCGCATGACTGACGCTTTCCTCGCCTCCACACGCAAGGGCGTAGAGCGTTGCACGGCCGACCTGGACGGCATCGGCACCAAGACAGAGTGCACGGGCAATGTCCGAGCCCGTCCGGAAGCCGCTGTCGACGAGAAGGGTGAGCCTCGATCCGCACTCGGCCCGGAACTCGGGCAGTATGTCGATCGTGGCGATCGCGCCATCGAGTTGGCGCCCGCCATGGTTGGATATGACCAGCCCGTCGACGCCGATCTCCAATGCCTTGGCAACCTGGCCGGGATCGAGCATGCCTTTGACGACCAGCGGACCGTCCCAGGCGTCGCGCACCCATTTGATGTCTTCCCAATCAACGGAAGGATCGAGCTGGGCCTGCATGAGTTCTGCGATCGTGTCGGCCTTCTCCAGGCCGAGTTCGGCCGCCATGACCTCCAGTCTTGGCGGGCCGGCGCGCGCCGTCCGCAGGCTCCAGCCGGGATGGGCGGCAAGACTCGCCAGCTTTGCCGGTGACCAGCGGAACGGCAAAGAAAAGCCGTTCTTCGCATCGCGCAGACGGCGTCCGGGAATGGCATTGTCGACCGTCACCTCGAGCGCGCCGAAACCGAGATCGCGTGCCTTGGCGACAAGCCGCTTGCTGACCGCCCGATCCTTGAAGATGTAAAGCTGGAACCATTTGGCGCCATTGCCGGCGGCGGCGACCGCTTCCATGGTGGCCGTCGCGGCCGTGCTCATGACAAATGGAATGTTGTGGGCGGCCGCGGCGCGGGCCAAATCGACGTCCCCGCGTGGCCATGCGGCGCCGGCCAGTCCTGTCGGACCGATGATGATCGGACGGTCATAGCGCTGACCGAAAAGGCTCACCGACTGCGAACACGAGCTGATGTCGGTTGGCGCAGAGCCGACGAGACGGACCCGGTCAAGCGCCGTCCGGTTTTCGGCCAAAGTGTTTTCCGTTCCGCTTCCGCCGTCGATGAAGTCGAAGACGAAGCGGGGAAGCCGCCGGCGGGCTGTTTCGCGAAAATCGGCAATGGAGTGTTGGCGATGTATCATCGGACCGATGCCTCTTACTCAAAAGGCGGCAGATCGCCGGCTTCCACGATTTTTCCGGGATTGAGAATGCCGCGCGGGTCAAGCGCCCGCTTGATGGCCGCCATCGCGCGCACGCCGGCAGCGCCATGTTCTTCGGCAAGATAAGCCCGCTTGCCATATCCGATCCCATGTTCGCCGGTGATCGTTCCGCCAAGGGCGATGGCGCGCCGCGACAAGCGCCGCAGAAGCTCGTCGACCTTTTCGCGTTCGGACGGCGCGTCCGGATCGAAGATGACGCACATGTGGAAATTGCCGTCGCCGACATGACCGCAGATCGGTGCCGTGAGCCCGAGCTGCGCGCAGTCCTGTTTGGCGAGGGCGATGGCTTCCGCCAGCCGGGAGACGGGAACGCAACTGTCGGTTGGAATGCCCTTGGCGCCCGGCCGCAGCGCCAGTGCGGCCCACCATGCGTCGTGCCGGGCCCGCCAGATGCGCGCGCGTTCTTCGGGAAGACGGGCCGTGTCGATCCGCGCCGCCGCATGTTCGGCGGCGATTTCGGCAATCCACGCGGTCTGGCGCGAAACGCTGTCAGGTTCACCGGCGCATTCCACGATCAGTGTCTCGCCGGAGGTCAGCCCGAGGTCGGAATGGGCTTGGATGGCGCGGATCTGGACGTCATCGAGATATTCGATCCGGGCGACAGGGATGCCCGCACCCATGATCTCGATCGCGCAGTCGATCGCTCCGGTGTGAGACGGAAAAGCGATCAACAGGGTCTCGACAGCTTCGGGAACGGGATGAAGCCGCAATGTGGCGGAGACGATAACGCCAAGGGTGCCTTCGGCACCGACGAAAAGCCGGGTCAGATCGTATCCGGACGACGATTTGCGCGCCGAACTTGACGTCCGCATCTGCGTCCCGTCGGCCAGGACGACATCCAGGGAGACGATTTGGTCCTTCATGGTGCCGTACCGCACGGCCATCGTACCGGAGGCACGGGTCGATATCATTCCGCCGATGGAAGCGTCGGCGCCCGGGTCCACCGGAAAGAACAGGCCACAGTCGCGCAGATGGGCGTTCAGCTTTTTTCTGGTCACTCCCGGCTGGACGACGCACGTCATGTCGGCGGTGCTCACCGGGCCGATCGCATCCATTTGCGACATGTCCAGGCAAATACCGCCGTGCAGAGCCGCGACATGCCCCTCGCACGAAGTCCCCGTACCGAAGGCGATCACCGGAACATCGTGGTCGTGGCACAAGGCGACGATGGCGGCGACCTCGGCTGCGTCTTCGGGGAAGGCAACCGCATCCGGCGGATAAGGCGGCAGGTAGTTGGCGTCCTGACCATGGTGCTGGCGCACGGCCGCAGAGGTGGACAGGCGGTCGCCCAGCATCGCTTTGAGCGCCGACACCACATCTGCCAGCGGATCGTTCTCGTCGGTGCGAGGTGAGTTCAAGGCTGACATCGGGAAAGCCCCGGTTTCGACCTGCGCTCGTTGGTCGGCAGGTCGCGGTCGGCACGGGTTCTCGACCCGGCGCTGTGCATTGGAAACACGCCCATGATGGTCTGACTGGTCGTGAAGTGCCGAAGTGTATGAAGCGCCCGGCGAACCGGCGGGCCGTCCGGATGGCCCTCGAACTCGCACAGGAAACGGGTTGCCACGAATTGGCCGCCGACCAGATAACTCTCCAGCCTGGTGAGGTTGATGCCGTTTTCGGCAAAGCCGCCGACCGCCCGAAACAGGGCTCCGGGCGTATTGCGGACTTCAAACATCAGGCAGGTCAGGACGTCTGGCCGATCCGCCGCCGGAACGATCGGCTTTGCCGCCAGCACATAGAAGCGGGTCATGTTGAAGGGATCGTCCTGTATGTTCGGCTTCAGGACTTGGAGGCCATAGGTCTGTGCGGCGAGATTCGAGGCAATGGCGGCGTCCGCACGATCGCCCTTCTGTTTGATCAGCGCCGCCGCGGTGGCGGTATCGCTCTGTGCAACGGCGAAGAGGCCGTTTGACCTCAGAAAGCGCTGCACCTGCCGCAGCGCGACCGGATGGGAATGCACCCGCCTTATCTCCGCAAGCGACCAGCCTTCCGGGGCAACCAGATGAAGCTCGATCGGCAGGAAGATCTCGCCGACAATCGAAAGACCGGCTTCCGGCAAGAGCATGTGAATGTCCGGCACCCGGCCGGCAAGAACGTTCTCACACGGCAAGACGGCGACGTCTGCCGCGCCGCTTCGCACCGCATCGACGACGTCGAGCAAACTGTCACCGGCAATGCTTCTGGCGTCGGGGAAGGCGCTTTCGCAGGCGATATGAGCGAACGCGCCGACGCTGCCGTGATAGATGGCGACATTCGGCGCCACTCGACTTTCGGGCATCGCGGACGCCGCCCGGAGGCCGCCACAAGCAGCATCGCCATGTCGCCCGAGATCGCCATGTCGCCCGAGCGCGGGATGCTCCCGGCGAGGTGACGACGTGCCCCGGCCCGTATCATGGCCGTATCGGCGAACAACCCGCAAATCGGGTTTGCGGCGGCCCTGCGAGAGGGAGCGCTTGCGGCGCACGCCTTGTCTGTCGCCATGTCCTTTCAGCTTCCGGGGTCGGCGCATGGCGCGGATCCTCAAAGATTGCCCGTCAACCATGTGCCGGCCGGACCGATGTCATCACGGTCATGGGCCACATGAGCGCCCAGCCGGACGTCGTCTGGCTCACGCTCAGGTGCCGGTCCGCAGCTTCAAGGCAGTCTTCGGCGCTGTAGCCGGGTTTGGCGGAAAACAAGAGCTGCAGAAAACAGCCGATGTCCTCGCGCTTCTTGAACTCCCAGGGTGTGACGACTTCATGAAAGACGGGCTCTCCCCAGCCCGTGAGCGCGCAAAGGCTCTCGGCGAACTCGCGCGACAAGAATGCCACCTCGTGGCCCGTGCTGCAGCTTCGCGCGATGAAGCTGTCGAAATATCTGGCAAGCACCGTTCCGGAGAAGACGTCCGCGACAGCCAAGCGCGCGCCGGGCCGCGCCAGCTCGGCAAACCGGGTGAACGCGGCGGTCTTGTCGGTGACGTGATGGATTGCGCCACGGCTCCAGATCGCGTCGAACCCGTGGAAATCGATGTCGAGCGTGTCGGCCGATGCCGGCACAACCCGGATGTTGCCGTGCCTGCTTTCGGCTTCGATACCGGCCAACTGATCGGTTGAAGGATCGCTTGCCACAAGGAGCCCGTCCGGCCCCAGGCAATCGGCGATGGCGACACTGAAATATCCGTTCCCGGCCCCGACTTCGAGAATGCGCTCGCCTTGCGCGGGTTGAAGAAACCGCTTCATGCAGGCGATGTCCGGCCGCCATGCGTCGGCGTAGTGCGACAGGGCATTCCGATAATCCGACGATCGTTTTCCGATGAATTCAATCGACTGGGATTCGGTCTTTGCATCGGCATACATCGATCTGGTCCTTCTGATTGCAGACGTGTTTCGACCGCTCCTGGCCGCGTGGCCGTGTCGTTTCCTCCATCTTCCTCGGTCAACCGCATGGCAACGCGGAACGGTCGTCGGCGGGCGGCACCCGCCGGGATCCTGCCGCTCCCCGGCTTCTTTCGACGCACCCGCCCGGGTCTTTGCCCGCGTCCCGTTGCGAAAACCGGTCCGCGCCGGAACAGGATACGTTGCGCGTTTCTTAGGAGCGATTTCCTTGGCTCGGCCGTCGACCGCAACGATAGTTTGCAAAAAACTAGCTTGTCAATTGCATTTCGCAATTAAATATTGCAGTGCAAAAAATTTGAGCAAACGCCGCCAAACCGGTCATTGAAATCGCTTGTGTTCCACAAGAACCGCCGGTTGTCCGCGATCTGTCGAGGGCCGCGCAAGGATGGTACGGCTGGACGAATGGCGGCTTCCGGACGATGGCCAAAGCCGCTGATGTGGTTGGTTGCGGCGCCGCACTTCCGGTTGTTGGTCCAGCAAAAGCGAGCAGGGTGTCGAGTTCTCCAAAGGGCGTGACCTGAGCCGTTTGGCTGCCTCGCTCACTTGGATCGTCTCCGGGTTGACTATCTCGGTGGTTCGGTTTTGACGCGCGCAGGGTGCGCGGAGCTCTCGATTTGCTCAGGCGCACGCTGCGCGGTTGCCGGCTGTTTTCCGTTCAAAGCCGAATGCGGCCTGCCGGTGTTGTGGTCTTGGCGCCGGCGGCCGGACTTTTGCTGTGCGTGCGCCCGGGATTGCGCACCCAAAGCACAATGCAGGCCAGCAGAAGCAGCATCAGCGCCGGCACGAAGCTGCCGCCGATGACGGCCAGATGCGTGTAGATGGCGCCGACCATGATGCATGAGACCAGGGCCGCGCCCCAGAACGCTGTGGCCGGGATCAGCAGCATGACGGCTCCGGTGATTTCCAGACTGCCCGTCACATATTGAAACAAGGGACCGAGGCCGATCGCTGCGAACATCTGCAGCATGGGCTCGGTGCCGATGATTTTTTGAGAGCCAGCGGCAAGAAACGCCAATGCAAGCAGACCCTGCGCGCTCCAGGCGACCCGGTTCTTCCACTTCGGCTGATCGATGTTATCCGTGTAGGCCATGTCATTCCTCCTTCGGTTCCAATGACGTGAGTATCGCCAAGAGACGGGCGGACCTGGAACAGGCCTGACTGGGACCTGGCGTTCCGCAGGCGAAACGCCAGGTTGGGCGGCGGTGGAGGCCGCCGCCTGCCGGTCAGGGCAAAAAGGTCGAACCGAGCAGCAGGATCGCGTCCGATACCAAAAGCGTGACAAGGCAAAAGCCCATGATATCGCGTGCGGACAGGCCCGCGATGGCCAATGCCGGCAGCGCCCAGAAGGGCTGGATCATGTCCGTCCAGGCATCGCCCCAGGCGACCGCCATCACCACGCGCGGCAGATCGGCGCCCAAGGCCGCCGCGGCCGGGATCATGATGGGCCCCTGGACCGCCCACTGCCCACCGCCGGAGGGCACCAGCACGTTCACGAGCCCTGCGCTCAGGAAGGCAAGTGCCGGCAAGAAGGTCGCGTCCGCCCGGTCGACGAACAGCGTCGTCCATCCGGCCGCCAGGCCGGAGCCGACCATCATGCCCATCACGCCGGCATAGAAGGGAAACTGGATAAGTATGCCGCCGACGCCCGAGATCGCGTTGGCTACAGCACCGCTGAAGCTGCGAACCGAGGCAAGGGGTCCTGCCGGCCCGACCAAGGCCGTACCATCGCTCGAGCCGGCATGTGGCCTTGAAGGTCATGCCGCTTTGGCAAACGGCCCCGTGCCGCCGACATCGCCGATATGGTTGCCGTTCAGATAAAGGCCTGTGGCGACAGGTGTTGCCGCCGTAACGGTCTGAAGTGCCATGCACGCTTGTCGGCAATATCTGATGAACTCGGAGATCTTCGGTGTCGATTCAGGGCTTTCAATGATGAGATTGAGCTGCATCAGCTCGCCCTTGCCGTAGATGTCGGCAGGCGCGACGGCACCCAGATCCATTGTGGTCGTCCATGTGCTGCGCTGCTCAAGACGCGCCGCGGAGATTTCGAAATCGCGGCTCTTGGCGAGCATCTCCACATGGCTCATCAGACACAGACCGAGGCCGGCGGCGAAGTACATCAGCGGCGACGGCGCCGTGCCGCGGCCGCCAACGGCCGTGCCTTCGTCGGAAATCAGTTCCCATGTCCCCCCATCGGGGACGTTGGAGAAGACCGTCACCTTCTTGAGATGTTTGCCTTCCGGCATGGACTCCACGTTGACATGGGCATCGAAGCGCATCCGTTCGCCCTGCCTGACCTTTTCCAGTGACGGGTCAGGCAGCGTCTTCTGACGGGGTTCATCGGGGATCTTTCGCACGATCGTTCTGTCGTTCATGTCCCAGGACACATCAGTCATGGTTGGTCTCCTTTTTTTGGCCAGGTGTGGCAATGGGCGGCCATCCGGCCCGGAAGACGGGCCGCCCGCTCGGTCGATTCCGGGCCGGTTCTTGAAGTGATGTCTTGCTGGCGGAACGCGTTCGCCCGCTGCGTTGCGGCGTCAGCGAGCGCTCATGCTGCGGCCTCCCACCGGGGGCTGTCGGCCTGCGCTTCCGCCAGTTCCTTGCGGAAGAACAGTGAGTAGACAACAGGCACGAAACCGAGGGTCAGCATCGCGCCAACCGTCAGTCCTGCGGCCATGACGGTCGCCATGCCGAAGAACAGCGGATCGACCGACACGATCAGCGGCATAAGTCCCAGGACGGTCGTGATGGTTGTCATCAAGATCGGCCTCAGCCGGCGCATGCCGGCCCGGACGATGGGCTCCATCCCGGAGTGGCCTTCAGACCGTTCGATCTCGATCCGGTCGATGAGCACGATGGCGTTGCACATCACGATCCCGGCCAGCGACAGCATGCCGAGGATGGGCATGAAGCCGAAATCGGCGCCGAATCCGCGCAGGCCAATGGCGACACCGACGACGATCAGGGGAATCGTCATGATGAGGATCAGCGGCCTGCGGAACGAGTTGAACTGCAAAATCAGCAGAAGCGCGATGATCCCGAAGCTGAGCGGCATGTTGGCAAGAAGCGCCGCGCGCCCTTCCGAGGACTGCGTGATGATGCCGTCGAATTCAATCGAGTGGCCCGGCGGCATGGAGGCTTCGAGCTCAGCGAGCCTTTCCTCGATGAGGGGCACCATGTCCTCGGCTCCAATCAGGTCCGAGCGTGCTTCAATGGTTACGGTACGGGCCAGATTTTCCCGTTCAATGCGGCTGTAGCCATTGACGAAATCAACGTCGGCGACCTGTGCAAGTGGGACGACCGCACCGCCCGCACCAAAGATTGACAGGGTACGGATGTGGTCGAGGCTTGTGCGCTCGCCGGCCGTCGCGCGCGCGACAATGGGCACGACATCGTCGCCCTCGCGGTACTCGGAAACCGGCCGTCCGCTGAAATAGGCCGACATGGAGCGGGCGACATCGGCCGACGTGACTCCGGCGCGGCGGGCGCGGGCCTGGTCGACCTCGACGACGACGCGGGCGACGCGGTTCTCCCAGTTCTGCCTGATGTCGCGAGAGGCGGGGATTTCTTCGGCGAGGATCGCCTCGACCTGGCGCGCGGTCGCGTAGATGTAGTCGCGGTCCGGGCCGATGACCTGGACTTCGAGAACCGAGCTATCCGACGGTCCGAGGAACATGCGCGTGACCCGATTGGAGATGTGCGCGAACTCATTGTCGAGGTGATCGCGCAGTTCCGTCACAGCCCTGTCCATGTTCTCCGGGCTGTCGACGTTGATCACCAGCACGGCACGGTTCGGCGCCGGATCGACGGGGGTCAGCGACAAGACGAAACGCGGTCCGCCAAAGCCGACGTAGGCGACATGATCGACCAGCCAATCGAAGCGCTCATCGTTCAGGGTCGGCAGCATGGCCTCGATCTCGTCGCGCGTGGCATTGGTCGTCACGTCGGCGGGAAGGTCGAAATAGGTGATGATCTGCGCCCGGTCGGAGCCGGGGAAAAAGCGCTGCGGCGCCGTTGCGATCGCGGCGGCGCCGGCGACCAGCGCGATCACCATTCCGGCCAGGAAAACGAACCGGTTGCGCAACGCCCACCGAATGCCGACCTCATACGCCGCGATCAGCGGATCGAAGGCGCGTTCATAGAACGGGCGCTTGCCGCCCGGTTCCGGCGGCGCGGCAAACCGGTGCGACAGAAGTGGGGTCACCATCATCGCAACCAGCCACGAAACCGAGAGCGTGATCGCCATGACCAGGCTGATGGAGCGGGTGTATTCGCCGGCCACATGTTCCGCCAGCATCAGTGGCAGGAACACCAGGATCGTCACCGATGTCGAAACGAACAACGGCAAGGCCAGCGTGCTGCCAATGCTCTTCATGGCACTGTCCCGATCTTCGCCCTCGCCGATGCGACGTTTGTAGTCCTCGGCGACAACGATGCCGTTATCGACAAGGATGCCGAGCGCGATCACCAGCGTGGCAAGGCTCATGCGCTCCAGCGGCATACCCAAAATGCCCATCACCGCCAGCGTCGCCAGCGTGATGACCGGAATGATGGCGCCGACGATAAGTCCGGTCTGCACCCCCAGGAGAAGGACGACGACGCCCAAGACGAGCGCCAGGGTCTGCACCACGTTGAACGACACGCCGTAGACCGCCTGCTCGACCTGATCGGCCTGGAAGGTGACGATATCGATGGTGAACCCGACAGGCAGCGTGGCCTCGATTTCCTCCAGGGCGGTCGCAACGGCAGGGCCGAACTCAAGCACGTTGCGGCCGTCCTGCTGCGCGATGGCGAACATGATCGCGGGATCGCCCTGGTAGAACACGGTCTGCGGCGCCGGGTCGATGAGGTTGCGGCTGACTTCGGCGATGTCGCGCAGAGCGATCGTCTCACCACTGCCGGGAATCTCGATCAGCGTGTTGCGGATCGCCTCGATGTCGCGAAAGTCGCCTGTCGGCTCGATCAGCACGCTGCGCTCGCCGAGATCGATCTGGCCGCCCGGCCGAATGATGTTCTGGCCGGCCAGTGTCTGGGCAATCGCTTCAGGGCTGATCCCCAATTGGGTCAGTCGCGCGTTGCGGCTTTCGATGTAGATGCGCTCGGGTTGGGCGCCGACGATGTCGATGCTCTTCACCCCGTCGACGGCATAGAGCTGGTCGCGCACATAGGTCGCCATGTCGCCGAGTTCGGCCATGGAATGATCCGGCGAGCGAAGGGCCGCGGTAACCACGGCGACATCTCCGGTATCGTCCAGGACGACCGGCGGACGTGTGCCGTCAGGCAGGCTTGCGGCGGCGGTCTGCACTTCAGCGCGCAGATCGTCCCAGATCTGATCGAGCTCGAAGTAACGATCGAAGACCTCGACATGAATGATCGACAGGCCCGACACCGAACTGGAGCGTATTTCCTCCACCTCCGGCAGTTGGCGGATGGCGCGCTCCAGCGGCTTGGTCACAAGCTCTTCGACCCGTTCGGGGCTGAGTCCCGGATAAGCTGTCTGCACGATGGCCTGGCGGATCGTAATCGCAGGGTCTTCCTGGGCGGGCAGGTTGAAGTAGCTCCAGGCGCCAAATGCCATCAAGATCGCAACGATGGCGTAGACGATGCGCTGATTGCGATATGCAAGTTGCGTCAACATTGCTGCTTTCCTCAGTCGTCGTACCGTACGATTCCGACGCCCCGCAGGGCGACGCGCTGGCCGTCATGGAGGAAGGGCAGGCCTCGTGTTGCGACGATGTCTCCGTCCTCCAGTCCTTCGGAGATGAGCGCCGTCGTGCCTTCGCGCCCAGCGACGGTTACACGGCGCTTTTCAAGCGTCTGCGTGTCCGACTGAAAGACGAAGGCGACATGGCGGTCACCGTCACCCGGCAGGATCGCAGTGTAGGGGATGCCGAGAACGTCGCTTGCGCCAGCGGTGCGCGGGTCCGACCTCAAGTCCAGATGGACCTCGGCCGTCATGCCGGCGCGAACGCCGTGATCGGCATTGAGAATATCGAGTGTGACGGGAAAGCCGGTCGTCGCGTTGGCGCGGCTGCCGATCTCATGAACGCGCGCCGTAACGGCGGTCGCGGTGCCATCGAGTATGACAGCCCCGTGATCGGAACCTGGGACGATTTGCGCGATCAGCGCGTCCGGCACCGTGATCTCGATCTGAAAGCCTGCGTTCGCGTTCTGGATTTCGAAGGCCGGCGCGCCTGCCTGCAACGTTTGCGCCGGCTCGACCAGGCGCGCGGCAACGATCCCCTCGTAAGGCGCACGCAGCACCGCGTCATCCAGACGGTCTTCCGCTTGGCGCACGCCCGCCTCGGCCATGGCCAGGCGGCTTTGCGCGCTCTCGGAGACCGCCACAGCCGACTCGAGTGCTGCTTCACTGATAACCCGGCTGGCGGACAGCTCTTGCTGTCGTTCCAGCATCAGCCGGGCTTCGGTCGCGCGCGCTTCGGCTTCGATCAGTGCCGCGCGGCGTTCATCCAGCGCGATCCGCAATGCCGTCGGTTCGAGCTCCGCCAGAACGTCGTCCGTTGAAAAGCGGTCGCCGATCTCGACGTTGACGGATGAAAGGGTGCCGGTCACCTCGAACGATAGGGGTGCGCGGTCCGCGGCGACAACACTGCCGGTCAGGATGCGGGAAATGCCTCTGTCAAACGGTGCAACGCGCGCCCAGTCGACCGGGCGGGCCGATGCTGTTTGGTCGCCTGCCTCGTCTTCGGGTTCGTCCGCAATCGGTTCGGGAAAGGCAATGGCGAGGGCAAGGTCGCCTCGTGCCATCATCCGCTCGCCGATCAGTTGAATGCCCGGATAGCTCCATGCGGTGCGGACCACACTGTTGTCATCGAGGCGGACATTGAGCGCGCCGGCAAGGGCGACCGCAATCGCAGCGGCTGGAACAATGGCCACGGCCGCGCCGACAAGGCGCGACGACGAACTCGGCTTCCTTGTGCGAGCGCGCTGCGCCGCGAGCGCGCCGGCCAAAATGACGACCGCAAAGGCTGCAAGGGCGGCCAGCACAGGAAGCGGCGTTGCCGCCGCAGCAGCGACGGCAGCAACCAAGGCCAACGCGGAGCCGAGGGCATGGATTGCGCCCAGGCTCCAGCCAAAGCCCGCCATGAGGACGAGGCCGGCAATCAGTGCAATGTCGAACGGTCCGAACATGGTCTCTCCTTTCCACACCACAATGAGCCAAGGGGTGGGGCGGGAGAACCGAACGAACTAAAACGACGTGTTTCATATTCGAAACGCCCGATGCCGTTTTTCGATGTTATCGCAGAGATCGCGGGCAATAATGGCCTGCACACGCTCGTGAAAGGACCGCCATGCCGATGCAATCACCCATAGGCCTTGATGATCTGCGGCATTTCTTTCTCATTGCCGAAGCAGGCGGCGTCAGTGCCGCCGCACGGCGCTTCGACATATCCAAGGCAACGCTCTCGCGGGCTATTGCCAGGCTTGAAGATCAGGCCAAGGGGCCGCTTTTCGACCGTCTGAGCACTGGTCTTCAACTCACCCAGGCTGGCGAGGCGCTTATGGACGCAGCGCGCCAGGCCACCGAGGCGGGAAGTTCGGCCGAAAACGTTCTGCGGACGGTCATCGAGGAACCGCAGGGCGCCCTGCGTGTGGCTGCAAGTGCCCTGAGCGCACAATATCTTGTCAGCCCGGTGCTGGCGCGGTTGACCGCAGATTATCCGTTGGTCACCGCGCACATCAAGGTGACCGCCGATGGCCCAGATCCGCTTGCCGAGGATCTTGACCTGGTCCTGCAACTGGGGCGGCCGCAGGAGCCCTACCTTATCGCGCGCCGGATCATCGGCACACCGATGAAGCTCTATTGCGGTCCGGACTTCGCCGCATCTCATCCCGTCGATGATCCTCAAGCGGTTACCGAACTGATCCGCGTTTGCGTCGACGTTCCAGGGACATCTCACGAGTGGACCCTGACCGGCCAAGACGGCGTCCCGGTGAGATTTGACAAAACGCCATCCGTCTTTGCCGGAGATCCCTCCGTTGCACTGGGTCTGGTGCGATCGGGTGCGGGCGTCACTTTGCTGCCGGCGCTTTATGGCGATATGCAGGTGCGGCGCGGTGATGTCGTGCCTGTCCTGCCCGGCCATGAAGCCCCAGCGGTGGAGATTTTTGCTGTCTTTCCACCGCGCCGGTCGAGCGTCCCGGCCGTGCGCATCTTCATCGACTATCTCATCGAGTATGCGAACGCGCTGGTTCACAGAACGTGATCCCGGCAGTCTTGCCGGTTTCGGTGGGCTCGGCTCTTTTTGACGGTGCCCCGATGGCGCCAGCAGCGCCAGAGCCTGAAATGCTGGGTGTCAGGATCTGAGAAGTTTCAAAGACGAGAAAGCGCCGGGTTCGGGTGAATTTCAATGCAGCCGCATCGCGCGATCAAATGGCCAAGGCGGCGCCACACGGCGGCCTGTCGACATCAATCGCACCGCTTGCGCTCGATGTCGCTGGACTGCGCCTGAAATCCACACGTTTGCCGCCGGTGAATGTGGAATTCGTTGGCCGCGAGTCTCGGCAGCCACTCAAGCCATTGATGCAGAACAATGTTCTGGCCTGCCCTTTTTGCGGGCTTTTTGCGTTTTGGCGCCATGTCGTTTCGGTGAAACGAGCTTCACCTCGCTGACTTCGTATTGTGGGGCGGCTTTCCGAGAGCGGCCGGGAACATGCCGGGTCGCACATGGACCGGCTGGCGGACCGGCAACGGCATCCAACCCGCAAGACGGGCCGGTTCAGCCGGCGTCCGCTTCCTCGTCGAGTTCGGCGAAAACCGCCCGGGCCGACCGCATGGCGTCGAGAGAGGCGGGGACGCCGCAATAGATCGCGCCCTGGAGAATGATTTCGACGACTTCCTCTTTCGTCAGGCCGTTGTTGAGGGCGCCGCGTACATGGAGCTTGAATTCGGCCGATCGGTTGAGGGCCATGGTCATGCCGAGGTTCAGAACGCTTCGCATCCGACGCTCGAGGCCCGGCCGGCTCCAGATCTCGCCCCAGCACCATTCGGTGATCAGCTTCTGCAGCGGAGCCGAGACATCGTCCGCTGCGGCGATCGACCGGTTGACATATGCATCGCCCAGGACCTGGCGGCGAATCCGCAAGCCTTTCTCGAACCGCTCCCCCTCAAGCTCGGGGCGTTTGTTGGTCATGTCGCAACTCCTTTCTCGTGGTCTGTGGCCTTGGCGCGGGTCCGTGTCTCACCGGTCTTGCGGGCCCATCGCCGCTCCGATGGTTGTGCCTGCCCGCTGGTCGTTCCCTTGTGCTCATCGACCGGGCGAATGTCTCGGCGATTGCCAGAACGGCAGCGTGAATCGGTCCCGCGGTGAGGCTTGGAACAACCGAAGCATCCACCACGAAGAGATTGTCGAGCGATTTCAGCCTGAGATCGGCATCGACGACGGCCTGGGCGTCCTTGCCCATCCTGCAGGTGCCGCATGGATGATGATGGGTGATGACCGCGTTCTCGATGAACTCGTCGATTTCGGACACGCTGTTCAGGGCGCCGGGAAGCAGTTCGCGCTCCCGCCACTCCGATAGCTCGTTCCGATGTCCGATCGTTCGCGCGGCTTCAAGCGCCTGTCGAAACAGGACCCGGTCGCGGCCGGTCTGCAGATAGGCCGGATCGATGATCAGGGGGTTGCCCGGCTCCGATCCGCTGATGCGGAGGCTTCCGCGGCTCGTGGGATGGGTGACGCCAAAGAGCAGTGAATAGGCGCTGCCGGGTTCGGGCGCCACAAAACGTTCCGACACGATCGGCGCCACGCCGCAACCGACGACGATGTCGGGCCGTCCGGTGGCCGTGAAGGCGTCCGACCGCATGTAGGCCATCGACTCGGAGTGCTGGAGGCGCGACGGGGGGAGGGGCTTTCGTGTTGCGTACATGTTGCCGGCGCCCAGCAGATGGTCCTGAAGGTTGCGGCCGATATCGGGCATGTCGAAAAGGCATCGAACGCCGGCGGCGGCGAGCCATTCCTGCGGCCCGATGCCAGAGCGCATCAGCAGTGCCGGGCTTTCCAGCGCGCCTGCACTCAGCACGACCTGCCCGGCACGGACGTCGATCGCACCGTCGGGTCCGACAAGCTCGAAACCGCGGACCCGGGTGCCATCGACGATGAGCCGTCGCACCAGTGAACCCGTTACAATGGTCAGGTTGTTGCGGCTGCGAACGGCTGGCGTCAGCCAGGCATCGGCGGTGGTCACACGGCGCCCGTCGCGTATGTTCAGGGCATTCGGCGTAACGCCAACCATCTCTCCGTCATTGTGGCTCTTCAGGCGGGGCAGGCCAAGCGATGCGCCCGCTTCGATAAAGGCGCGGGTGAGGACGCTGAGCTCCTCGCCGGGCACGTAGACAGGCATTGGACCGGTTTGCCGAGGTGCGCCATCGCCATCCGGCAGGCGGTTTTCAATGGCCCGGAAGGCTGGCTGCAACTCATCCCAACCCCATCGGGTATCGCCGGTTGCATCGACCCAGGCCTGGTAGTCCTGGGGATGACCGCGCATGTAACCCATGGCGTGCAGGCAGCTTGAACCGCCGATCGCCCGGCCCCGTGCCCAGTGATGGACCCGGCCGGCCGTTCTCGTTTGCGGTTCGGTTCGATAGTCCCAATCATAGCTGCGGCCCTGGAGCGCCGGCCACGCAGCGGGATGCCGGATGTCCGGGTCCGTTGCTTCTTCGCCGGCTTCGACCAGAAGGACATTGCGGTCCGGCTCTTCGCTCAACCGCGCTGCCAGAAGCGTGCCAGCCGAGCCGCCACCTATGATCGCGACATCGGCGGCAGGCCTCACGCCGTCAAACGCGTTGTCCATAGCCACTCCGTTTGGTGCGCACGGCGCCTGCGTCCGGGCTTTTCAGGGTCGATCGATTCAACCCCCGACACCGCGGCGAGCCGCCGGGCATTCTGCGTGTCGGCGGATGGTGCATGACTGCCGGCTGCACGTCTGAGCAAACGCCAAAGACCAGGTTCAGGACCCTAGGTTCCGGTTTCCATGGAGAGCTTCGCCGCCGCCTTTGCCTTCGCGATGTGTTTCTTGGAGGCCTTGCGGGCGGCCTTTTCATCGCCGGCGGCGATGGCTTCGAATATTTCCCGCATCTCCGCCAAACTGCTCTGCGCGCGCCCTTTCAGCGACATCGATCGCGCGCGAAAGAAGCTGATCCTCGCGACCAGACCGCGGTGCACCTCCTCCAAAATCGGATTCCCGCAATTGGCGAGTATGATCGAATAGAAGTCAGCGGCCGTCTTGACGCGCGCCAGACTGTCGTTGCTCGAAGCCGCTTCCTCGAAGGCCGAGAGCGACTTTTCGAGTTCATGCAACTGGTCTTTCGATATCCGCTGGGAGCACCGCCCCACCGCTTCCAGTTCCAACAATTCGCGCACTTCATAGATCGCCGTCATCTCCTCCAGGGTGAGCGCGGGGATCGACGGTCCGCGGTTGGGCACGATGTCGATAAGCCGTTCGGCCTGCAGACTTCGCAGCGCCTCTCGCAGTGAAGGACGGCTGATACCGAGTTCTGCGCAAAGATGACTTTCGACCAGACGGCTCCCGGGCTCAAACATGCCCGAGAAGATGGCCAGTCGCAGTTTGTCGACTGTCTCCTGCTGCACCGTTCGCGGTAAAATCCGAAGATTTATTTCTGGTGGCATTGTTTAGGTCTCATCAACAGCGGAAGCGATCCGACGAATAGCAGATGGCACTGCATAGACGATGACACCATAAATGGCCAGACCGTCAATTTGCAAGATTGAAAGAATGTCAGACAATTGGGTTGACGCCTCATCGGGTTTTGTGTTCCCTTTCGTGTGACAGGCAGCGGTGATGAGAACTGGTACATGGTGGCGGACACGCACTTGGATGGCATGCACTCGCGACGCATCGAGGCAGGCGGCATTGCATTGAATGTCCGTGAAGCCGGGAGCGGGCCGCTGATGCTCTTCTTCCACGGCATCACGGCCAATTCGGCCGTCTTCGCGCCGCTGATGGCCCGGCTTTCCAATCGATTCACGACCATCGCCGTCGACCAGAGAGGGCACGGCCGCAGTGACAAGCCGGATAGCGGTTACGACGCCGATTCCTATTCCCGGGACATCGCCGGCTTGATCCGCGCTTTCGATCGGGGGCCGGCAATTCTGGTGGGGCATTCCCTCGGATCGCGCAATGCGGTGACCGCCGCGGCACGATATCCGGACCTGGTGCGCTCGGTCGTGGCGATCGACTTCACGCCATACATCGAGGCTGAAGCGCTCGATGCGCTGGAGGCGCGTGTGAATGCCGGGAGCCGGGTCTTCGAGAATCTGGACGCCGTGGAGGCCTATTTGCAGGCCCGCTATCCGAACCTGCCCGCGGCCGCCGTGAAGATCAGGGCCGAAAGCGGATTTCACCCGGTCGACGCGGGTCTGGTGCCGCTGGCATCGCCCGTCGCCATGGCTCAGACCGTCACGGGACTTCGCTCGGACCTGACCCAGGCCTATCGCGACGTGAACCGTCCGGTTCTGATCGTTCGCGGCGGGCGCAGCAAGCTGGTTTCGGCTGCTGCGCTGGCCAAGACAAGCCAGCTGCGCCCGGACCTTCCCGTGGTCGTCGTTCCCGACGCCGATCATTACGTCAACGAGGTGTCTCCCGACATCACGTTGAAAGCCATCACAAATTTCATCGATGCCTGACAGTGCAAACGCTGCCAACGAGTGCGCAAGAGGACCCAAAGCATGGCCAATATCAACAACTCAACCGGAAAAACGCGTCGCGCCGAGGTTGCTGGCGGCGGCTTTGCCGGGCTGACGGCCGCCATCGCGCTCAGGCAGTGCGGATGGGATGTCCAACTGCACGAAAAGGGATCCGAACTGCGGGCGTTCGGCGCGGGCATCTACCTTTGGTACAATGGTTTGCGTGTCCTCGAAGGCGTGGGCGCGCTGGAGGACGTTCTGGCGGGCTCGCATACGCCTCCGGTCTACGAGACCTGGCTGCACAACAAGTCCGTTTCCCGGGAGACCTTCAACGGATTGCCTTGGCGCATCATGACCCGCGCGCATCTGCATGATGCGCTGGTCAAGCGCGCCAAGGAGGTCGGGGTCGAAATCCGCACCGGCTCGGAAGCCGTAGCCGCCGATCCTGACGGTCGTCTGACCCTCCAGTCCGGAGAGGTGCTCGAAGCCGACCTGATCGTCGGAGCGGACGGTGTCGGCTCGAAGGTCAGGGACTCGGTGGGCTTCGAGCAGGACCGCTGGGTTTCCACCGACGGGATCATCAGGCTGATCGTGCCCCGGATGAAAAAAGAGCTCGGCCATGGCGAGTGGGACAACACCATCGACATGTGGAACTTCTGGCCGCGCGTACAGCGCATTCTCTATTCGCCGTGCAACGAGAACGAACTCTATCTGGGCCTGATGGCGCCGGCGGCCGATCCTCGCGGATCGCGTGTTCCGCTCGATCTCGAAGTCTGGGTCGAAATGTTCCCCTTCCTGGAGCCGTGCCTGATCGAGGCAGCCAAGCTGGAGACCGCCCGCTACGACAAATATGCAACGACCAAGCTTGATGCGTGGTCGAAAGGCAAGGTGGCCCTCGTGGGCGATGCCGCAAACGCTATGTGCCCGGCTCTGGCGCAAGGTGCGGGGTGCGCGATGGTGAACGCCCTCAGCCTGTCTCAAGACCTGGAACGGGGATCGTCGGTCGAGGCTTCGCTTGCCGCATGGGAAAAGCGCGTCCGCCCGATCACGGACCGCTGCCAGGCCCTGTCGGGCGAATATGCGGCCAATCGCTCGCTCTCCAAGGGGAACATGTTCACCCCGGCGGCCCTTGAATCCGCCAGCTACGATCCGCTGCGAGGCGTTTTTTCATGGCCGCAGTGAAGGCACTGCCTGCCGCAAACTTGACAGCCGGCGCATCCGTTGCGCGCTTTTCGGGAGACAAGAATGGATAACTCGGCCGCAGTCGAAAAGCACTATGAGGTGCGTGGCTGGTACTCGACCGTCCACGAGATCCGCCATGATGGCGGGCAGCCCGGCGATGCGCTCGTCAAAGCGGCGGTGGGCGTGATCATCAAGAACCCCTATGCCGGCAAGTTCGTGTCCGATCTGTCGCGATTGACCGGGCCGAGCGCGGCCATAGGCCATGCGCTTGGCGAGCGGGCGGTTGCGCTGCTGGGCGGCAGGCCGGTCGAAAGCTATGGCAAGGGCGGCATCGCCGGCGTGGCCGGCGAGCAGGAGCATGTGGTGGCCTGCGTCACCACCGTTTTCGGGGATCCACTGCGCGAGCAGGTCGGCGGCGGCAACGCCTGGATATCTTCGGCCAGCAAGGTCGGCAGCGCGGGCACGTCCATCGACATTCCGCTCGCCCACAAGGATGAACTCTACATCCGCTCCCATTACGACGCGATCACCTTCTGTGTGCCGGACGGTCCGCGCCCCGATGAGATCCTTGTCTGCATTGCCGCGGCCACCGGACCGCGCGTGCACCAGCGCGTCGGCGGCAAGACCGTCGCCGAACTCAAAGCAGCCGTTTAGCCCGAATTCGACCGATTAAAGGACGCATCCAATGCCTCTCAACATCAAAGACCTGAAAATCACCTCGACCGATTTCCAACCGCTTGGAAAGCTGCGCGACGAGCATGCCGGCGACAAGGGCAACGTCTTGCCGAAACTGCAGGTGAGCGGCGTTCCGGAGGGCACCAGGGAACTGGCGGTCATCTGCCATGATCCCGATGCGCCCCTTCCGCACGGCTTCACGCACTGGGTCGTTTTCGGCATCGATCCGTCGACCACCGATCTATCCGACGCCCAGGAGAGATTTCGGGTCGGCCCCAACGGCGCCGGCGACCACCAGTATTACGGACCCCAGCCGCCCGCCGGCCATGGCGAGCACCATTACTACTTCTGGGTCTACGCCCTGGACACAAATGTAGAGGGAACGCCGACCCGCGAAGCGTTCCTCGACACCTACGCCGACAACATCATCGAGCAGAACCGCATCGTCGGCCTTTACGAGAACAAGTGAACGTCAAGGTCCCGGCGAGCGGCACGGAGCGCTCGTCGGGGCTCATGTCATGGGAGGGTTCGAAAATGGCAAACGGCAGCGAGACGCGCCAGACAGTTTTCGAGGAACTGGTCACCGCGACGAAGATCCTGCTGAACGAGGGCATTCTCGACACGTTCGGCCACATCAGCGCGCGTGATCCCGAAGACCCCGACGCCTTTTTCCTGGCGCAAAAGCTGGCTCCGAGCCTCATCACGGTGGACGACATTCAGCGCTTCAATCTGGACGGTGAAACGTCGGACAACCGGCCATCTTATCTGGAGCGCTACATTCACAGCGAGATCTACAAGGCGCGGCCGGATGTTCAGTGCGTGCTGCACAGCCACTCGCCCGCCGTGCTGCCCTATTGCTTCGTCGATCAACCCTTGCGGCCGGTGACCCATATGGGGGCGTTTCTGGGCGAAACGGTTCCCGTTTACGAGATACGCGACAAGCAGGGCGACGATACGGACCTGTTCGGCGGCAGTCCCGATGTTTGTCGTGATATTGCCGAGAGCCTGGGTGACCAGGCGGTGGTCCTGATGGCGCGCCATGGTGTCGTCAATGTCGGCAGCTCGGTCAGGGAAGTTGTGTTTCGGGCCTTCTACACCGAACAGAATGCCGCAGCGCAGACGGCAGGACTGCAGATCGGAACAATCAAATATCTCTCACCGGGAGAGGTCAGGACGGCGGGGAAACTCGTCGGTGCCCAGATCGATCGCGGATGGGACCACTGGTCCAAGCGCCTCGCGCAGGCGGGGCTGATCTAATGCCTGCGGCTTGGCAGGAAAACCCGCCGCCCGCCGAAAAGGGCTGGCGTCACACGCAATAGTTTCCTGGCGCAGTGGCGCCAGATGAAGGCAGCGAAAACATGCCGAATGCAGGAAACTACGACTACATCATTGTTGGCGCCGGGTCGGCGGGTTGCGTGCTCGCGAACCGGCTGAGTGCCGACCCGAACCTTTCGGTGCTGCTGCTCGAGGCAGGCGGCTGGGATCGCGATCCCATGATCCACATCCCGCTCGGATGGGGAAAGATCCTGACGGAGCGCCGCCACGACTGGATGTATTTTTGCGAACCCGAGCAGAATGTGGGCGGACGCAGCGTCGAGTGCGCGCGCGGAAAGGTGATCGGCGGCTCGTCGTCGACCAATGCGATGGCCTATGTTCGGGGCAATCGCGGAGACTATGATCGCTGGGCCGCCAACGGGCTTGAGGATTGGTCATACGACCGGGTGCTTCCCTATTTCCGGAAGCAGGAACGCTGGGAAGGCGGCGAGAGCCGGTACCGCGGCGGCGCCGGGCCCGTCAGCACCCAGTTCTGCCGCTATCGGGACCCGCTCGTGGAGGCGTTTGCGCAGGCCAGTCGACAGGCGGGCTATCCGCAGACAGACGACTATAATGGCGAGACCCAGGAGGGTTTTGGCCGCCTTCAGATGACCATCTCGAAGGGTCGGCGCTCTTCCACAGCCTCGGCCTATCTTCGCCCTGTCCTGAAACGTTCCAACCTGACCGTGCTGACCGAAGCGACGGCCACGAAAATCCTTTTGAAGGACGGGCAGGCCACCGGCGTGCAGATGCTCCATCGCGGGACGCAAAGAACCGCCGTGGCCCGCAAGGAAGTGTTGCTGGCGGGCGGCGTGATCAACACGCCACAATTGCTCATGCTGTCGGGTGTCGGCGCCCCGGATGAATTGTCGGCGCAGGGGATTGCGACGCAGGTCGATCTGCCGGCGGTGGGCAAGAACCTGCAGGACCATGTGTCGGTCATTGTCATGTACAGGCGCCGGACCCCCGGCCCATTCCTCCGAAACATGCGGGCGGACCGGATCGCACTGGATTTCGTCAAGACCTACCTCACCGGTCGCGGTTTCTCCTCGGACGTCCCAGGCGGTGTGGCCGCATTCCTCAGGAGCGGTCCGGATCGGCCACTGCCGGACGTGCAACTGCTTTTCACGGCAGCGCCGCTTGCCGCATGGCCTTATCTCAAGCCGTTCAAGCAGCCGTTCCAGGACGGGTTCGCGACGCGCATCGTGGCAACGCAGCCCAAGAGCCGGGGCTCGGTCAGGCTCGCCTCGTCCGATCCGCTTGCCGCGCCCCTGATCCACCAGAACTTTCTGGCCCATCCCGACGACTGGCAATCGCTTCGCGCGGGTTTTCGCGTGGCAAGGAACCTCGCGGCACAGCCCGCCATGGAGCCCTTCATCGAGGCGGAATTCTTTCCCGGACCCGATTGCCAGAGCGATGACGAGATCGACGAGCACATTCGCCAGACCTGCATCACCGTGCATCACCCGGCCGGCACCTGCCGGATGGGCAGCGATCCGGCCTCGGTTGTCGATCCGGCCCTGCGCGTCCGCGGCGTCGATGGATTGCGGGTCGTCGATGCGTCCGTGATGCCCGATCTGGTCTGCGGAAACATCAATGCCGCGGTCATCATGATCGCCGAGAAGGCCGCCGACCTCATCTCGACGGAACAGACAAGCAGGATAGCGGCATGATCAAGCATGTAGCGATCATCGGTCTTGGAACCATGGGGCCCGGCATGGCCGCGCGTCTCGCAAGGGGCGGCATCGCGGTGACGGCTCACGACATTGCACCCGAGGCGATCGAGCGCGCGGGCGTGATGCTGAAAGCCGCAGAGACCGTTCTGGACGCGCTGGGCATGCCGTCGACGGATGGGAGCGCCACGGTCCGCTTTGTCGAAACGATAGAGAGTGCCGTGGCGGATGCCGATCTGGTCATCGAGAATGTGCCGGAAAGCACCGCCGTCAAGGCAGACGTCTATCGCACGATCGACGGCCTGATCGGGCAGGACACGATTGTCGCCTCGGACACGTCGGGCATTCCCATCACCAAGCTACAGGCGCATATCTCCAATCCGGCGCGCATGGTGGGCATGCACTGGTCCAACCCGCCGCATATCATTCCGATGATCGAGGTCATCGGCGGCGAACAGACGGCGCCGGAAACCGTTAAGACCATCAGGGACTTCATCCGGTCGCTGGGACTGCTGCCGGTTCTGGTCAAAAAGGACGTACCCGGCTTTGTCGAAAACCGGGTTCTGTATGCGCTGCTGCGCGAGGTCGTGGACCTTGTCGAACGCGGCGTGATCGAGCCCGAGGATATCGACACCTGCGTGTCGTGGGGCATCGGCTACAAGCTGGCGGTGATCGGGCCGATGGCGTTGCTCGATATGGCCGGCATGGACATCTATCACTCGGTCTCTTCCTTTCTCAACGAAGACCTCGCCGACCGCAAGGACGTGGCGCCGCTCGTTGCAAGGCAGATCGCCGACGGCAAGCTTGGCATCAAGTCGGGCGAGGGGATTTACGCCTACACTCCCGAACGCATTGCCGAACTTCAACGTGAGCGTGCACGCAAGCTGGTCGCGATCCGCCGCATCATCGAGGAGGACGGCTAAGGTCATGGCCGCTCATCCGACACAGTGCCGAACCGTAATGGCCGCCTGCGCGAGCGGATTGGTCCGGTGTCATGTCCGGGAGAACGGCACATGAGCGCAAACGGCATCTTTCGGCTTGAAGCCCTGGCCGTCCGGCTCATCGGGATGCTGCTCGGCCTCGGCATGATCGTCATGGTCGCGGTCAACGTCGCCAACGCGGTGGGACGCTATAGCGGTCTGTTCGCGCTGGTCGGCGCCGACGAACTGCTGGTCTACGGCATGATCTGGATCGTCATGCTGGGCGCCATCCTGGCCGCGCGGGATCGCAGCCACCTGTCGATCAACCTGCTGCCTTCGGCGGTGTCGGGACGATCCGCCACGGCACTGCAAATCGGTATCGGCCTGGTGACCGTCGCCGTCTGCGCCTTCGTGGCCTGGCAGAGTTTTGATTTTGTCCAACGCATCGCCAGCCTCAACCAGGCAAGCATGGGACTGGGCATCCCGATGGTCGTTCCGCACTCGGCCATTCTCGTGGGTTTCGGCGGCATCGCCGCGGTGACCGCCGTGTTGACGGCTCTCGATATTGCTCGCTTTGCCAGCGCCGAAGAGGTGTCCGATTGACATGGGTTTTGAGCATCGCCATCGCAATCCTGACCGCGCTTGGCGCGCCGATCTTCGTGGCGCTGCTCGCCGGAGCGTCGCTGGCGCTTTTGCTGTTTCCCGGTCCGCCGCTGATTGCGCTGCACCAGACGATCTTCGGCGGGCTCGATGCCTACGCTCTGTTGTCGGTCCCGTTCTTCGTCTTTGCGGGCGAATTGATGGCGATCAGCGGCATCGCCAATCGGTTGATCGGGTTGGTTCGGGCCTTGTTCGGCCGGGTTCCCGGATCGCTGGGCCTTGCGGCACTGGGCGGCTCGACCCTGATCGGCACGATCTGCGGCTCGTCGGCTGCGGCAGTCGCCGCGGTGGGGCGCAACATTCATCCGCAGCTCATCGACAATGGCTACGGCAAACAGCGGGCGGCCGGTATCATAACCTCGAGCGGCGCGATCGACATCGTCATCCCGCCTTCGATCGCCATGATCCTGTACGGTGCGTCCGCCGAGCAGTCGATCCCGAAGCTTTTCATCGCCGGCATCGTGCCGGGCCTGGTCATCGCGCTGCTGATGGCGGGCTACATATCCACCTCCGCCGCGATCGCGCGCATACCCCGGCAGGCGCGCTTTCAGGCCCACGCGGCATTCGTCGCTTTCCGGCAGGCCTTCTGGGCCCTCACCATGCCGGTCTTCGTACTGGTGGGGATCTATGCCGGCCTGTTTTCGCCCACCGAAGCGGGTGGTTTTGCCTGCGCCTATGCGCTGTTCCTGGGCTTTGTCGTCTACCGGACCATCACCTTCCCAGCGATGCTGGAGGCCGCGGTCCGCTCGGCCATGATGACGTCGCGAATCATGATGGTGGTGGCTGCCGCCGGGGTCATCAGCTGGATTCTCACCGTCGAGGGCATACCGCAGGCGCTCATTCAGGCGACCGCCGATGCCGGGCTGTCGCCGTTGGGCTTCCTGCTGATCGTCAATCTGCTGCTGCTGGCGATCGGCTGCGTGCTCGACCCCACTTCGGCGATTCTCGTATTGTCGCCGCTGCTGGTGCCGATCGCCATCTCGCTGGGAATCGATCCCATCCATTTCGGCGTGGTGATGACCGTCAACCTGGCCATCGGCATGTTCACGCCGCCCTTCGGGTTGAACATCTTCGTCGCGCAGTCCGTTCTAGGAGCACGCACGGCCGACATTTATCGCGGCGTTTTGCCGTTCGTCGCGGTCCAGATCTGCGCACTCGCCTTCATCACCCTCATCCCCGGCCTGTCGCTCTGGCTGGTCGACAGCATGTCCTGACCGCGTGAACCCGATTGGAAGCAACCCACCATGACCAAGTCGATCGAAACAGAGGAGTAACCGGACAATGACCGTTCAAACAGCACGCCGAAACCTGATGGGATGTCTCGCGGGCGCCGCGCTTGCGCTTTCCCTGCCTCTGGCTGGAACGGCACAGGCACAGGACACGATGAAGCTGGCTTCCGCCACGATCAACGATGTCCAGCATGAGTGGCAGAAGGAGTTCCAGAAAGAGATGGAAGCCCGCGTCGGCGATGCGCTGACGGTGGAGATCTACCCCGCCTCGCAGCTCGGCGCGATCCCGCGCATGGCCGAAGGCGTTCTTCTGGGCACGATCGAGGCCTTCACCACGCCGACGGCCTTTGTCACCAATGTTGATCCGCGCTTCCAGGCATTCGATATGCCCGGACTGTTCAGCGATGCCGATGAAGTGAGCGCGGTGATCCACGATCCCGAGTTCCGCGACTATTTGGAGACGCTCTTTCTGGACAAGGGCCTGCGCATTGTCGGGGCGATCTACAACTCGCCCGTCCTGATGCTGAGCCGGGAGCCGGTCACCACGCTCGACGGGTTCGACGGCCTCAAGGTCCGGACCTTTGCCTCGCCGCTGCAGATGCAACCGATGTCTGCGATCGGCGCCAACCCGACGCCGCTGGCATTGTCCGAAGTGATCCCGCAGCTTCAGTCCGGCGGGATAGACGGCATGCTGGCCGGAATGCCGATCCTTACGGCCTTCAAGTTCTACGACACGGCCGTGAACGTCACGGACATCAACATGAGCCAGATCGTGTCGGTGACCGTCGTCAACGAGACCTGGTTCCAATCGCAATCCGACGATGTGAAGACGGCGATCCTGGAAGCGGGACGCGCCGCCGAGGAAACCGTCTTTCCCTGGGGCGTTGCCAATGTCGAACGCGCAAATGGCGCCTGGCTGGAGAACGGCGGCACGATCCACATGCTGCCGGCTGACGAGAAGGCCGAGCTTCAGGAGACCTTCGCCAGGGTCGGCAATGAAATCATCGACAGTCAGCCGGATGTGGCCGAGGTGCGCGACCGGATTGCGGCAAGGCTCAAGGAGGTCCGGGGCGAGTGACCCGTCTAACCGTCCAGCGCGTCGCAACGCAGTCCCTGGTCATCGCGGGCATGGCAGGCGAAGTGAAATGCTGCCTGCGACCCGCCCGCCGCCATCGGCAGTTTGAGCCGCGTGCGGGCAGTGCCGCTGGCACACCAAACCGCTTCCACCGGCATCCGGTCTCCGATCGTGTTGAGAAGGTTGAGAGCGCCCGTCTGCCTGTCGTGCCACAGCGTCAGCGTCAGTTCACCGCCCGGGGCTATGCGGCCGAGTTCATCGGAATACCAGTGTGCCAGCGACGCCTGGCAATCGATCGGAGCGCCGGTTTCGTTGGCAACAGACACCTCGACCGGGTCGGCCCCTTCGGTGCCCCGAACAATGCCCGAGTAAGGCACGTAAGTGCCGCTGCCGGCCGCTGCCGGGAGCGTTGAGAACCCACCAACCAAAGCAAGGAGGACAAGACCGCTCTTAACGATGCCCGTCGCCAGACGGAACAACGCAATCCACTCAGGGAGTATCATCATGAGGAACCTATTCTTTTCTACCGCGCTCGGCTTGGCGCTCGTCACCTCGGCGGCCAATGCTGCCGACGTCGATACCATAGCGGTCCTGACGCCGGAACAGGGCAGCGACTTCGGCTGGAACCAACAAGGCGTCGACGCCGCGCGGGCCGCCGCGGCGGCCGCCGGTGTCGAGATCATCGTCGCCGAAGGGCTCGGCTATGGCGATGTCCGCGCGCCGATGCGCGAACTGGCGGCCGATGGTGCCGATCTGTTGATCGCCCATGCCAGCGGATACAACACAGCAGGCCCCGAGATCGCAGAAGAGACGGGCGTCCCGGTGGCGATCGTCGACAGCCCCGACGCGCTGAAGGCCGGTCTTGTGGCCGACTACACGCTGTCCGGCCATGAAGGCGCTTACCTGGCTGGACGGCTGGCGGCCAAGATGACGACGACGGGCACCGTCGGCATCGTCGTTTCGGGCGAGCCGCCATCGTGGAACTCGCAGTCCGCAGGCTTCGCGGCAGGCGTGCGCGCGGAGAACCCTGACGTCAACATCCTCTATTCGGTGATCGGACCGGCGGCCTATTCCGATGCTGCCGGCGGCAACCGCGTGACCACTTCGGTCATCGCCGCGGGCGCCGACATCATCTTCGGGCAGGGCAACGGGTCGAGCTTCGGCATGATCCAGGCGGTCGAATCGAACCAGGCCACTGACGGGTCGGACGTGCTGTTCATCGACGTGATCGGCGACAAGTCCGAACTCGACACCGGCCACCTGCTGACGTCGGTCGTCTGGGACATGACCCCGGTCTATTCCGCGATGATCGAGGACCTGAAGAACGACACGTTCGGCACCCGCAGCTACTCGATCAGCCTGGCCGATGATTCCGTCAAGCTGCTCAAGACCCCGCAGGTGGACGATGAGGCGTGGAATGCGGTGATGGAGCTGCGCGATCAGATCCTGTCCGGCGACATCACGGTTGAAGCGATGTTCGATGCGGAGGATGTGCGCGCGATGGTCACGGTGGCCGAATGAGCACATCCGTGGCAATGGCAACGGAAACCGCAAACGACCTGCCCCCGGTACCGGGGGCAGGTGTGATCGGCGTGCATCGGGTAACCAAGCGTTTCCCCGGCGTGACTGCGGTCGATGATGTATCGCTCACGATTCACCCCGGCGAAGTGCATGTCCTGCTGGGCGAGAACGGTGCGGGCAAGTCCACGCTGGTGGGCATTCTTGCGGGTCTGCAGGAGCCGGACGAAGGCTATCTCTCCGTCGATGGCAATCGGACGCGGCTCGCCAGTCCTTCGGCCAGCCTGAACGCCGGGATCAGCACGGTGTTCCAGCATTCGATGCTCGTGCCGACCCTGACGGTGCTGGAAAATCTCACGCTGGGAGCGCCCTGGTATGAGCGGCCGCCGCGTGCGCGCATCGAAGCGCGCATGGCCGAACTGAAGCGCGAGTTTTCGCTGTCCCTGCCGCTCGACGCCGTCACGGGCGACCTGTCGCTGGGTCAGCAGCAGCAGATCGAGATCGCCCGCGCACTCTTGCGTGACAGCAAGGTGCTGATTCTTGACGAAGCGACCTCAATGCTCACCCCGCAGGGCGCGCAAGAGCTTGGCGCCAGGATGCAGAAACTGGTGAAGGGCGGTCTGGCGGTGATCTTCATCACCCACAAGCTCGCCGAGGCCTACCAGTTCGGCGACCGGATTTCCGTCCTCAAGCAGGGCGCGCTGGCCGGAGAAATGGGCCCCGAACAACTCAAATCCATGACAGAGAAGCAGGCGGTGGACGAGATCGTGCGCCTGATGTTCGGCCGCGAGGATGGCGCAACCTCGACCGAGCATCGGCAGAGCACCGCACGGGCGGAGACGCTGCTCCGGATCGAGCAACTGGCGACCGAAGGTGACGCCGACGTGGTGGGCCTTGAGAACGTGTCGCTGGCGCTGAAAGCGGGTGAAATTCTCGGCATCGCGGGGATTGACGGCAACGGACAAAAACAACTGGCGGAGGCGGTGGCAGGCCAACGCCCCGTTTCAGCCGGGCGCGTGGAATTCGACGGCATCGACATTACGCGCGCCACCGTCGCGCAGCGGCGCGAGATCGGGCTGCGATACCTGACGGACGATCGTCTCGAGGAAGGCTCGGTCGGTGCATTCCCGGTCTCCGAGAACACGGTACTCAAGGACGTGGGCCGCCCGCCCTTCTGGGTGAACGGCATCGAGCGACCGGCACGCATTGCACAGCACGCGCGCGACCTGATCGCCAGATTTTCGGTTTACACCCCGAGCGAAACCACGCCGATCGGCCGCCTTTCCGGCGGCAACATCCAGAAGGTCCTGCTTGGCCGCGAGCTTTCGGGCGAAGCGCGCGCGGTGGTCTTCAACAAGCCGACATACGGGCTTGACCTTCAAAACATCGATGCCTCACGCCAGCGCATCTCCGAGATCGCGGCACAGGGCATGGGGGTGGTGCTGATTTCCACCGACCTCGATGAGTTGATGGCTCTGTCGGATCGCATCGCGGTCATCGAGGGCGGCCGCATTCGCGGCGTCGTCGACAATGATGGTGGCGGCGAAGCGCTGCGCCTGCGCATCGGCAGGATGATGGCGGGCGCCGAAGAGCACATGGAGACAATGGAGTAAGCATGGTGGACGATGCGACCCCCGCCGCCGAGAACCCGGACGCCGAAGCGGCCCGAGCCGCGCCATTGGCGTGGCGCGGTTCCATGAAGCGGTTCCTGACGCTGACCGCCGGACCCATCGTTGCGGCTTTCGTCCTGTCGGCGGTCATTCTGCTTCTGGTGGGCGTCAACCCGTTGACCTATTACGGATACATTCTCGAGCGGTCGCTCTTCTCCGGACTGGGGTTGGAGCAGACGGCGACGCGAATGGCGCCACTGTTATTCCTTTGCGCCAGTCTGATCGTCGCGTTCCGCGCGGGGATATGGAACCTGGGCACCGACGGCCAGTTTCTGCTCGGTGCGGTCGTCGCGGCCGCCATCGCGCCGCTCCTGGTGAGCGTACTGCCGGGCTGGGCGGTGCTGCTGACGGGATTCGTGCTGGCGATGATCGCCGGCGGCCTGTGGTCGATCGTCCCGGCGCTCCTGAAGGCCTATCAGGGCGTCAACGAGATCATCACCACGCTCATGATGTCCTTTCTTGGCGTGCTGCTGGCGTCAACGCTCGTCAAGCTGGTCTTTCGCGACCCTGAAACCACCGTGCCGCAAACCCGCACATTGCCGGTCGAAGACAGGCTGCCGCGACTGTTTGACACGTCGATCTCAAGCGGGCTGATCTGGGGGCTGGTCGCTGTACTCGCCGTTCATCTGATGATGACCCGCACGGCCTTCGGCATGAAGCTCCGGATGGTTGGCGCCAATCCTGCCGCCGCCAGCCATGCGGGCCTGTCGGTGCCGCTCCTGACCATGGCCACGTTCGCGCTTTCGGCAGGTTTTGCCGGCCTTTCAGGGGCCTCCGAGATTCTGGGCGTGGCAGGCAATGTGCGCGCCGACTGGAATCCGGCCTACGGTCTGATGGTGATACCGCTCGTCTTTCTCGCGCGCTTCCATGGCGTCGGATCGATCGTGCTGGTGTTCTTTTATTCGGCCCTGCTGATCGGCAGCGAAAGCGCCGCGCGCCGCCTGGGCGTGCCGCAAGACTTCACGCTCGTGCTGGTGGCCAGCCTGCTGATCTGCCTGGGTCTTGGGGAATACATCGACTATCGCAAGCAGAAGCAGGAGCGCTGAGATGGGCGGATTGCTGACCGAGGCGTTCCTTTCGTCGCTTCTGACCGGGGCCATCGTCGCCGCAGTCCCGATCCTGCTGGCCGGGCTCGGCGAGCAGATGTCGGAAAAGGCCGGCGTACTCAATGTCGGGATCGAGGGCATGATGCTGATGGGGGCCTATACGGGTTTCCTCGCGGCCTTCCAGACCAGTTCGCTTTGGCTGGGGTTCCTGGGCGGAATCCTTGGCGGCTTGCTGACGGCTCTGGTCATGGCGATCCTGTGCGTGCGGATGGGTCTGAACCAGATCGTCATCGGCATCGGACTGACCTTGGGTGCCGAGGGCCTGACGGCGCTGCTGCACCATTTCCAGTTCTCGCGCAGCTATCCCCGGCTGCCCGCGCCCGAGCGTCTCGACATCCCGGGCCTGACGGATCTGCCGGTGATCGGGCCGTCGCTCTTCGCGCGTCATCCGATCGTCTATTTCGCCCTGCTTGCCGTCGTGGTTCTGGCCCTTTTGTACCGGCGCACCAATCTCGGCATGACCCTGCGGGCGGCCGGCGAACGGCCCGCTGCCCTGGACGTGGCCGGAGGCAACGTTGTCGGCATCCGGCTGGCTGCCGTGCTCTTCACCGGCGCGATGGCTGGCCTGGGTGGCGCTTACCTCGCCAACATCGCAGCGGGCTTGTTCATCCCCTTCATGACGGGCGGGGCCGGCTTTATCGGCATCGTGCTGGCCATGCTGGCGCGGGGGCGTCCGCTCTGGGTTCTGATCGGCGCGCTGATCTTCGGCGCGGCGCTTTCGCTGACCACCGCTTTGCAGGTTGCCGGATCGACCATGCCCACCGAGGTGATCCAGATGCTGCCCTTTGCGGCCGTGATGCTGGTCCTCGTCCTCTTCGGGCGCCGGGCGAAACTGCCGTCGGCACTCGCCGTATCTTACGAACGCGGCGCTCGCTAGCGGGCACCGAACCATCCCGGTGCGCGCAAAACGTGCCGGACAACAGGAAGGAGAAGTCACATGCCAGATACCAAGGTCTACCTGCTTGATGGCGGCACGCTGGTGCTGGACGGGTTTCACATCTGGTGGAACAAGGGACCGGGAGGAGAGGTTCGCTTCCCCGTCTATTCGGTGCTCGTCGATCATCCGCAAGGCAAGTTCCTGATCGACACCGGCTACGACTACGACCATGTGCAGAAGGTGCTGCCGTTCGAGAAGCCGCAGCAGACAGAGCAGCAGACCATTCCCGGCGCGCTCAAACTGCTCGGACTGGAGCCCAAGGACATCGACGTCCTGTTCAATTCGCATTTCCATTTCGACCATGTGGGCGGCAACAAGTTTTTCCCGGACGTCAAGAAGATCTGCCACAAGGATGAGATGCCGCAGGCGGCCAACTGCCAGTCCTTCGAAGTGCTCGGCTATTCCGATCTGGCTTTCTCCACCGAGGTGGCCGAAGCGCGCGGCATGACCGATCAGCTCGATGCCGGCCAGACAGCCGGCAATACCAGTTTCGAGTTCGTCGAGGGCGATGTGGAACTCGCGCCGGGGGTGACGCTGATTTACACGCCGGGCCACACGGTCGGGCATTATTCCCTGCTGGTCGAGTTCGACACGCGCCGTCCGCTGCTGCTGACGCTCGATGCCGCCTATACCCGCAAGAACTATGAAAACGACATCAATGCCGGGTTCCACATCGACCCTGTGGCGGGCGTGGAATCGATGCGCCGTCTCAAAAAGATCGAAGAGGACAAGAACGCCGAGGTGCTGTTCAGCCACGATCCGGAGAGCTTCAAGGAATATCGGACCGGCGTGAATTTCTACGGCTGAGGAGGGGAATTGCATGATGTATGATGAGTCAAGGGCGCCAGTCTTCACACTGACGTCCGGGCCCGTGGACGCCTACCCGGAAGTATTGCGCGCGCTCGGACGGACGGTGCTGTACGACTACGATCCGGCGTTCCAGGCGTTCTATGAGAACGTTGCGCTGAAGGCGCAAAAGGCGATGAGGACCGGCGCTCCGCCGCTGATACTGCAGGGCGAGCCGGTGATGGCGCTCGAAGGCGCTGCCGCCTCTCTCATCGCCAGGGAGGATGTGGTTCTCAACCTGGCCTCCGGGGTCTACGGCAAGGGTTTTGGCTATTGGGCGGCACGCTATGCCAAGAAGGTCGAAGAGATCGAGGTGCCCTATGACAGTGCCATCGATCCCGAACAGGTGCGTGCCTTCCTCAAGGCGCATCCGGAGATCGCGGTTGTCTGCGTCTGTCACCACGACACGCCATCGGGCACGCTGAACGACATCGAAGCGATTGGCGCGATCGCGGCGGAGGCGGGCGCATTGCTGCTTGTCGATGCGGTTTCCTCCTGGGCCGGTATGCCCACAAGCGCGGCCGCCAGCCAGGCTGCGGTTTATGTCACCGGACCGAACAAGTGCCTCGGCTGCCCGCCCGCGCTGTCGCTGGTCGCGGTCTCGGACGCTGCCTGGGCCAAGATCGAGGCAAATCCCGACGCTCCCTTCGCCTCAATGCTCAGCTTCACCGACTGGAGGCATGCGTGGAAGAAGACCGAACCGTTTCCCTTCACGCCATCGGTGTCGGAGATCAACGGACTGGACGCGGCCCTCGATCGCTACCTTGAGGAAGGACCGGAAGCGGTATGGGCGCGTCATGCGCTTACCGCCCGGATCTGCCGTGAAGGGATCAAGGCCATGGGCATCGAGCTTTGGCCGATACGTGAAGAGATCGCTTCGCCCACAACCACGGCGGTTCGGATGCCCGAAGGCATCGACGCCGGCACGGTGCTGGCGGCAGCGCGTGCGCGCTACGGCGTGTCCATGTCCGCGGGCCGTTCCGAAACGCTCGGGAAACTGGTGCGGATCGGCCATATGGGGCCCACCGCCCAGCCGGTCTACGCCTTGGTCGCGATCGCCGCGATAGGCGGGGCGCTGAAGTCCGCGGGCGCGCAGGTGGACGTGCCGGCGGGACTGGCGGCGGCGCAGGCCGTCTGGGACGCGGCAATCGATCAATGATGCCGGTGACGGCAAACAGGGAAAGGAATGCGAGATGAGTACAAGTCTTAAGGGCAAGACCGCCGTCGTGACCGGTGCCGCACAGGGTATCGGCAAGGCAATCGCCAGGGCGCTTGCGGAGGCCGGGGCGAAGGTGGTGATCTCCGACATCAATGGCGAAGGCGCAAAGTCGGCGGCAGCCGAGATCGGGCATGGCGCCAAGGGTGTGGCCTGCGATGTCACCGACGTAGAACAGGTCAACACGATGTTGGAGGACGCCGCCGAGGATGGTGCGATCGACATCCTCGTCAACAACGCCTCCATCGTTCCCTTCATCGCATGGGACGATGTGGATCTCGCCCATTGGCGGCAGATCGTGGACACCAACCTGACCAGCGTCTTCATCGCCAGCCGCAAGGCCACCGACATGATGCGCGCGGCCGGGCGCAAGGGCACGGTGCTCAATATCGGCTCCAACGCCTTTTATGCGGGCACGCCCAACATGTCCGCCTATGTCGCAGCCAAGGGCGGCGTGGTCGGCTTTACCCGTGCCCTGGCCACTGAACTTGGAAAGGACGGGATCAGGGTCAACGCGGTGATGCCGGGTCTGACCGAGTCCGACGGGGTGAAGGCCAGCCCTCATAATGAAGCCTTCGGCTTTGTCGAGATGCTTCAGGCGATGCCCGGCAAGGGTCAGCCAGAGGATATCGCCAAGGTCGTTGCGTTCCTCGTCTCCGACGATGCCGGCTGGATGACCGGTCAGTGCGTCAATGTCGATGCCGGGATGGTCCGTCTTTAGCGGCGCAACCCGGTTCGAGCGGCCGGGTCCGATAGCGCATCGCATCCCGAAAGCCTCGGTACATCGCGTGGCCCGGCGGATAACAGTCGCGTCCGCCGGGCTTGCCAAGCCGGGCTTGCCAAGCCGGGTTTCGGGCGTGATGGAGGGTCGCCGGGAAAAGGCTCGGCAGGCCGTGCCGTTCGCCGCTTCGCCAACACATCGGCCGGACGCCATGGCTTCATCTCAAGCCTTGGTCCCAAAGAAAAAACCGTTGATATCGCCGGTTGCATCTCCCGCGCCAACTGGCCGTGACCATTTGCTGGTGCCGGCAGCGTGCCGTAGCACGTCGGTTTGACCGACCGCTTTACATCGATTTGCACTGCCGGCATCTTTTCCGTCATTTGGGTGCAGTTGGTGCAACATATGATCGAATTCGACAGCAAGCTCGCACGGACATTTTTATACGTATGCCAGGAGCGAACGCTGAGGGCCGCGGCCTACAGCCTCGACCTCGAGCCCTCATCCGTGAGCCGCCAAATCAACACACTGGAAACACAGCTCGGCCTGCCCCTTCTCGAACGGAGCCGCAAGGGGGTCGTTCCGACAGAGGCCGGACGGCTTTTGCTGGACCATCTGCGGCGGCAGCGCGCCGACAATGAAGCGTTGCTGTCGGACTTTGACGCACTGCGTGGCATGCAGCGCGGCGAGATCGTGATCGCCATTGGCGACGGCTTTATCAGCGATTTCATGGCCAATGCGCTTCCCAGTTTTCGGGCCGCACTCCCCGGCATTTCGTTTCAACTGCTCAGCGGCTCGACCGAGAAAGTTGCGAAGCTCGTGCGCGAGGACGTCGCGCATTTCGGGTTCGCGTTCAATCCAGACCGCGAACAGGCCTTGCGTGTGATCGAGCGCGTGCGCCAGCCATTGGAAGTGCTGCTCAGCCCCCAGTCGAAACATGCCGGATCCGGCGTCGCCATGTCGATGTCTCAACTGACCGAGATTCCCCTCGCGCTTCCCAGGCCCGATTTTGGCATCGGAACACTGCTGCGAGAGACTGAGGCCACCTATGGCGTGCGGCTGTCGGGGCTGGTCGAGACAGACTCACTGGCCGTGCTGCGGAACTTCGTGCGCGAAGACATCGGCGCGACGATCCTGCCAGCCTTTGTCGTCGCGCGCGAGTTGGCGGACGGCCATGTCGTGACCGTGCCTCTCGATATTCCCGAGTTGCAAAAGGGCGAGGCGACAATCCTTGTCAGGACAGGACGGCGGTTGCCCGAGGCTGCGTCACGCCTTGCGACCCATGCAGCGCGCGCAATGCTGGCGTTCAGGCGCAAAATCCAAGTGCCGAACGTTGCGCCCAATGCAACATAAAACTCTATCCCATGCAATTTACGGCTCGCACATCATGCCTATTGTCTCGCCGGCAACGATGCGCCAAGGGAGGTGAGTTCCATGATCTTGAAGAAACTTTTTTCCGCGACGGCTGGTTTGGCCATTGCGGTGGCTTTGGGCCAGGCTGCCTCGGCAGAAACCCTGCGTCTGGCCTCGCAAGGCGACGCAACGAGCCTTGATCCGCACAGCCACAATGAGAGTTTCACGAACTACTTTCTCGCGAACGTCTACGAGGGGCTCGTCGGCCGCGACAAGAATTTCAGCATTGCCGGCCAGCTTGCCGAAAGCTGGGAACAGGTTGATGCGACCACATGGAGGTTCAACCTTCGATCCGGCGTCACGTTTCACGACGGGTCGGCCTTTGCGGCCGACGATGTGATCTTCTCGATGAACCGGGCCCTTGCGGACACCTCCAACTTCAAGCACGTGCTGGCTTCCGTCGACAGCTTCACCGCCATCGACGACCGGACCGTCGAGATCGTGACCAAGGCTCCTAACCCGATCCTGCTGAACGATCTCCTGGACCTGATGATCGTGGACAAGCAGTGGGCAGAAGCCAACGGGTCGGAAGAGCCGATCAATCTCCAGGCCGAGGAGAAGGCCTTCTCCGCAACCAATGCCAACGGTACGGGTCCGTTCCGCGTGGTCAGCCGGACTCAAGGCGAGAAGACGGAGTTGGCGGCCAACCCGAATTATTGGGGTGAGAGGGGAAATGTGACCGAAGTCGTCTTCACTCCGATCAACAACGCCTCGACGCTGGTGTCGGCCCTGTTGTCCGGTGAAGTCGATGTTGTCATGCCGCTTCCGCTTCAGGACATTCCGCGCGTCGAATCGGCCGATGGCGTCAAGGTGGTCTCCAGTCCCGAGGCACGCACCATGTATATCGGCATGGACCAGTGGCGTGACCAGATCATTGAGAGCCCTGTCGAAGGCAACCCGTTCCTGGACCTTCGTGTGCGTCAGGCATTCGCACACGCCATCAATGCGGAGGCAATCATTGATCGCGTGATGCAGGGTCAGGCGACACTGGCCACGCAATATGTGATGGACAATGTGAATGGCTACAATCCGGACCTGACCCGGCTGCCCTACGATCCCGAGAAGGCCAAATCGCTGTTGGCGGAAGCCGGCTATCCAGACGGTTTCGAGCTGACGATGGACTGTTCGACCGACCGCTATGTGAATGACGGTCAGATTTGTCAGGCAACAGTCAGCCTGCTGGCGCAGGTCGGCATCAAGGTGAACCTGCTGGCGCAGCCGAAGGCACAGTTCTTTCCCAAGGTCGTCTCGCCGGACTTCGGCACCTCGTTCTTCCTGCTGAGCTGGACGCCGTCGACGATGGACAGCCTCAACGTCTTCCAGAACGTGCTGGGCACGCGCGACCTGGACAATGGGCGGGGCGCCTGGAACATCTCCGGTTGTTCGGTTCCGGAAGCTGATGCGCTGGCAGCGGAGGCCGCCACCATGATGGACGCGGATGCGCGTGAGAAGCTGCTGCAGGACGCGATGGCGCTGATGGTGGACAATGTCTGTCTGGTGCCGCTGCATGTGCAGCAACTGGTCTGGGGCGTTGCCCAAAACATCGACGTCGTACAACACCCCACGTTCGAGTTCCCCCTGGAACACTTCAACGTGAACTGATGCACGCTGTGTGGCCTGGTTGTGACCAGGCCACCCGCCAAGCCGAGACGCTCTTCAAATGGTCCATGTGATAGCTCGCCTCTTGCAGGCCTGTCTGGTCATGCTTTGCGTCGCTCTGGTCGGATTCCTGGTGTTCCAGTTCGTCGGCGATCCGGTGCTGGCGCTTGTCGGACAGGAAACCTCGATCGAGGATCGTGAGGCGCTCCGCGAGAGCCTTGGCCTCAACGATCCGATTCTGGTCCAGTACGCCCGCTTTGTCGGCGACGCGTTGCAGGGTGATTTGGGGATCTCGTACAGCTTCAACCGAGACGTCTCCGAGATGATCGCCGAACGTCTGCCCGCGACGATCGAGCTTGTATTGCTGTCCGGTCTTCTCGCGCTGGTGATCGCGATTCCCGCGGGCATCTACACGGGCATCAACCGCAAGGGCGGCTGGGCGCAGGCCCTGATGGCCCTGTCCGTCATCGGTGTCTCGATTCCCTCCTTCCTGCTCGGCATCCTGATGATCCTCGTCTTTTCGGTGTGGCTCAACTGGCTCCCGTCTTTCGGCCGCGGCGATGTGGCAGGGGCTTTTGGCTTCCGGTCAAGCCTCTTCACGCTCGATGGCTTGAGTCACGCCTTGATGCCCGCCGCCGTGCTGTGCCTGTTCCAGATGGGCGTCATCCTGCGGCTGGTCCGCGCGGAGATGCTGGAGGTTCTGCGCACCGACTATATCCGCTTTGCATGGGCTCGCGGTTTGCCGGCGCGTTCCGTGTATCTGCATCACGCACTCAAGAACACGCTGGTCCCGGTGATAACGGCTATCGGTCTGCAACTGAGTGCTCTGTTCGCCTTCTCGATCATCACCGAGCGCGTCTTCCAGTGGCCCGGAATGGGATCGCTGCTGCTGCATGCGATCGAACAAAGCGACATCCCGCTTTTGGCCGCCTACCTCATCTTCGTCGGGCTGGTCTTCACCGTTTCCAACCTTGTCGTCGATGCCCTTTATGCGCTGATCGATCCGCGCATTCGGCATGGAGGCGGTTGAGCCATGCTGAACAGGATAAAGTCGGACTTCTGGTACGAACTGCTGTCGTCTCCGGTTACCGTCATCTCGGCCTTGACCATCATCGTTCTGGTTCTGGCCTGCGCATTTGCCCCCTGGATCGCGCCGCACACGCCGTTTGATCCGAGCACGATCTCGATCCTCGACAACAATCTGCCACCGGCCTGGGAAGATGGCTCCGACCCTCGATTTGTTCTGGGGACCGACATGCAGGGACGCGACGTGCTCTCGGCGATGCTCTATGGCGGCCGGATTTCGTTGCTGGTGGGGCTGGGGGCGGTCGCCCTGTCCACCCTGATCGGCCTGGTCGTCGGGCTGCTTGCCGGCTTTTTCGGTGGCATCACGGACACGGTGCTCATGCGGGTCGCCGAGGTCCAGTTCGCGTTTCCGCCAATCCTGATCGCACTGCTGTTGAACGGTATCCTGAAGACCGCGCTTCCTGCGGATGTGTTCGCCACGGCCGCCGTGCCCATCATGATTCTGGCGATCGGCCTGGCGGGATGGGTGCAGTTCGCGCGGATCGTGCGTGCCTCGACGATGGTTCAGCGCGACCAGGATTACGTCACGGCTTGTCACGCGATCGGACTGCCGAACCATACGGTCATCTTGCGCCACATCCTGCCGAACGTGCTGGGGCCCGTTCTCGTGCTGGCCATGTTGCAGATCGCTGTGGCTATCGTAACCGAGGCAACCCTGTCCTTTCTCGGCCTGGGCACACCCCTGACCGAACCGTCCCTTGGGGCGCTCATCCAGGCCGGCAGCCAGTTCCTGTTCTCCGGCATCTGGTGGGTGGTCATCTTTCCCGGCCTCATGCTGCTGGCGATGGTGATCGCCTTCAATCTCGTGGCCGATTGGTTTCGCGACTATCTCAATCCGAGGCTGCGATGACCGCTCCCCTGCTCAGCATAGAAGCGCTCTGCGTCGGATTTCCGCACCGCCTCGGCGATTTCGTCGCCGTGGACGGCTTCACCATGGACCTGAACAAGGGAGAAATCGTTGGCCTGATCGGAGAGAGCGGCGCCGGCAAGTCGACGGTCGGAAACGCCGTGATCGGCCTTCTCAGCCATCCGGGCCGGATCACCGCGGGGCGCATCGTTCTGCAAGACCAGGACCTCGCCGCACTTTCTGCCAAACAGATGGAGGTTCTGCGGGGCCGCCGCATCGGCATGATATTTCAGGATCCGATGACATCGCTCAATCCGCTGATGACCGTTGGGGCGCAGTTGGCGGAATCGATTTCGATCCTGCAGAACAAGTCCCTGTCAGAAGCGCGCATCGAGGCCGCCAAGCGCCTCGGGGATGTCGGCATCCCGGACGCCGATACCCGGATGCACCAGTATCCGCACGAGTTTTCGGGCGGGATGCGCCAGCGAGTCGTGATCGCGCTGGCGCTTGCAGGCGATCCGGATCTGCTGATTGCCGACGAGCCGACGACAGCGCTCGATGTATCTGTGCAAAAGCAGGTGCTCGACCTGATCCGGAGCATCTGCAGGCAACGCCAGCTTGGCGTGATCCTTGTAACGCACGACATGGGCGTCATCGCCGAAACCGCAGACCGGGTCTGCGTGATGCGCCACGGAAAATTGGTGGAAACGGGCGTGACGGCCGATGTCCTGGGCAGCCCCAAGGCGGAGTACACCAAGCAGCTGATAGCGGCGATTCCCAGTATCACCGAACGCGAGGAGCGGTTCCGCAACCCCGCCAGGCGCACCGGAGAGATCGACGCCTGGCTGCTGCAGGCGCATGACCGCGAGGAAAATGGCGCCTTCCTCAGGAGTTCGGCGCTGGTGAAGGAGTTTCCCGCCAAGGGGGCTTCATTCAGGATCCGGCCTCCGGCATTCCGGGCCGTTGACGTCCCCCCGCTCGAGATCGCACGGGGCGAGGTTCTGGGGCTGGTTGGTGAGAGCGGTTCGGGCAAGTCCACGCTCGGACGGCTCTTGACGGGGCTGCTGCCCATCACCGAAGGGGCGGTGACCTACACCGACCATGGCGACATTTCAGCCCTGCGCCAAGCCGCGCAGCGCAAGAGGTTCCGGCGCGATGTCCAGGTTGTCTTCCAGGACCCCTATTCTTCTCTGAACAGCCGACTCCGCGTGGATCATATCCTGTCCGAGCCGATCAGGTTCCACGGGCTCGCAAGCCGGGCGCAGACACCAAGGCTCGTCGGCGCCCTTCTTGAACGGGTGGGATTGAAGGCGGCAGACGGCCGGAAGTACCCGCATCAATTCTCGGGCGGTCAGCGCCAGAGGATCTGCATCGCGCGTGCACTCGCCGTGCGTCCACGGTTCCTTCTATGTGACGAGCCGACATCGGCGCTCGATGTCTCGATCCAGGCGGAAATGCTGGCTCTGCTCATGGAGCTCAGACGCAGTCTGGGGCTGACGATGCTCTTCGTCAGCCACGACCTTGCCGTCGTGCGCCAGGTCTCGGATCGCGTCGCGGTCATGCAGCGCGGCAAGATCGTTGAACTGCGCGAGTCCGAAGCGCTTTTTGATGCGCCTGAGCACGAATACACCAGGCATTTGTTGAACACCGCCCCGCGCGTTCAGATCGAAACGAGGAATTTGGAGGAAGCGCTCTGATGTCGCAACCAGTCGGTTTGATCGGTCTCGGTGCCATGGGCGGCAGCATGGCGGCACGGCTGCTGGAAACGGGGCACGAAGTCGTCGGGTACGACGCTCTGCCAGAAGCGCGGGAACGGGCGGCGCGCGTCGGAGCGGTCATTGCCGATCATCCAGCGGCGGTGGCCAAGGCAGTCGATGTGCTGATCCTGTCGCTGCCCAAGGCGCAGTTCGTCGATGACGTGATGTCGGATGTGGGGCCGCATCTGTGCAAGGGGGCGGTCGTGCTGGACACGACAACCTCCGAGCCGGAAACCAGCCGAGCTCACGCGATGAAAGGGGCCGGGCACGGTTATGCGTTTCTCGACGCGCCGGTCAGCGGCGGGCCTGCGGCCGCCCGGTCCGGCGCCATGACCATGATCGTTGGCGGCGATGGCGCAGCGCTGGAAAAGGCGAAGCCGGTGCTGAAGGATTTGACGTCAAAGCTCTTGCACATTGGTCCGTCGGGTGCGGGCAACGTCGCCAAAATTGCCAACAACCTGCTGTGCGCCGCCAATCTGGCTCTGGTCAGCGAAATGGTGCATCTGGCCGCGCGCGCCGAGGTTTCGGCCGCAGACCTGCTGGCGGGCGTCAATGCCGGTTCCGGGCGAAGCGGCGTCAGTGAGGTGAATTTTCCACGCTGGATTTTGAACGGCAGCTACGATTCGGGCTTCACCATGGGGCTGATGCGTAAGGATATCGGCCTGGCGCGCGATCTGGCGGACAAATTCGGCCTCGATCTGCCTGCGATGAAAGCCATCGCCGACATTTGGGAAGAAAGCCGCGACAGGCTCAGCGACAGCGCCGATTTCAACGAGATTTTCAAGTACGAGAAAAGCCATGACTGATCGTGCCGCCATGTTTCAGACGCTGTGCGAGGAACTCGGGCTTGGCCAACGACCCCAAAGCATTGTCGGCGGAGAGCTTGTGGATGGGGCAGGGGCGATGATCACCTTGCAAGATCCGTTCAGCCTGTCGACTCTCGCCGTCTATGCGGATTGCGCCGGCGCAATCGCAAACCGCGCTTGCGATTGCGCGGAAACCGCGCAACGCACTTGGATTGGCGATTTCACGCCGGCTGCACGCGGCAACGTCATGCAGAGCGTTGCCTCTGCAATCGAGGCGCGGACCGAGACCCTGGCAAAGCTCGAGGCTCTTGTGGCGGGCAAGCCAATTCGCGACTGCCGGATCGAGGTGGCCAAAGTCGTTGAGATGTTCCGCTATTATGCCGGCTGGGCAGACAAGCTGCACGGCGAGGTCATTCCGGTTCCGTCGGGTCACCTCAACTACACCCTGCGAGAGGCGATTGGCGTCGTCTTTCAGATCACCCCCTGGAACGCGCCGATCTTTACGGCCGGCTGGCAGATCGCCCCGGCGATTGCCTGCGGCAATGGCGTGGTGATCAAACCGAGCGAGTTGACGCCCGTCACAACCATCGCTCTGGTCAGGCTTGCCGAAGAGGCGGGGTTGCCGAAGGGCCTGGTCAATGTCCTTGCCGGTCTCGGTCCGACGGCAGGTGCAGCTGCGATTGCCCACAAGGCGGTCGGCAAAGTTGTCTTCGTCGGTTCGCCCGCCACGGGTCGGCGGGTGGCCGAAGCAGCGGGCGCAGCGCTGAAGCCTGTCGTTCTTGAGCTTGGCGGAAAGTCCGCCAACATCGTGTTTGACGATGCCAATCTCCAACATGCGGCGTTGGGCGCGCAGGCAGCCATCTTTTCCAGCGCCGGACAAAGCTGCGTGGCCGGCTCACGATTGCTGGTCCACAAGGATATCCACAGCCGGCTGATCGACATGATCGCGTCCGGCATGAACGACATCACGTTGGGCGATCCGCTGGATGATGCGACCGAGATCGGTCCGATCAGCAACGCCCGCCAGTACGAGTTCGTCGGTGCCATGATTGCAGACGCAAGACAGGGTGGCGCAACCGTACGCACCCGGTCGACGCGACCGCAGAGCGGCTTTTTCGTCCCGCCCACCGTGCTTGATGGATTGAGCCATCAGGCAAAAGCCGCGCAGACCGAGATCTTCGGACCCGTCGTGACGGTAATTCCGTTTGCGAACGAGGCCGAGGCCATCGAGATTGCCAATTCCACGGAGTTCGGCCTGGCAGGCGCCGTCTGGACGTCCGACGTGGGACGGGCGCATCGCGTATCGCAAGCGGTGCGCGCGGGTACGTTCTGGATCAACAGCTACAAGGCCATTCATGTTTCATCGCCGTTCGGCGGATCGCGCGAGTCCGGGTTTGGCCGTTCCAGCGGGACCGACGCGCTGATGGAATACACCAGTCCGAAGAGCATCTGGCTCGACAGCGGCGAAATACCGAAAATCGCCTTTGGTTATGTTTCGTGACGCAAGCGAACGCGCGGACAACGGCGAACCCGATCGACCCCGTGGGCTCTGTTCCGGCGGACGCCGGCTTTTTCACCTCGCGACATCCGGTCTGTACAGGCTGGCGCAGAAACCTGCACCGATATCCGGAGCTGGCCTACCAGGAGCACAGGACGTCCGAATTCGTCGCCCAACGGCTGACAGACATGGGGATCGCGGTGCAGCGCGGATATGCAGGCACGGGTCTGGTCGGGGTTTTGAAGACGGGCGACGGTCCCAACATCGGATTGCGGGCCGACATGGACGCCTTGCCGATTGTCGAGGAGGGTCGGCAGGATTACAGATCCGTCAATGATGGCGTGATGCATGCATGCGGGCACGATGGGCATACAACCATGCTGCTGGCGGCCGCAGAGTATCTTGCGCGCACCAGACGATTCCAGGGCACCGCCACGTTCATTTTCCAGCCGGCCGAGGAATGCGAGGCCGGCGCGCGACGGATGATCGAGGACGGCCTCTTTGCCGATCATCCGGTGGACGAAGTCTTTGCCCTGCACAACTGGCCCGGTCTCGCCGCCGGGGAGGTTTCGGTCCGCGCCGGTCCCCAGATGGCGGGTTTTGACACGTTTGACATCACGATCACAGGGCGCGGCAGTCACGCGGCAATGCCCCAGGAAGGCACCGATGCCGTCGTCGCGTCCGGACAGCTGATCGGTGCGCTTCAATCGATTGTCTCACGTTCGCTTGATCCGCAATCGGCCGCCGTTCTGAGCATCACGCAAGTCCACGCGGGAGATGCATACAACGTCATTCCCCAAGCCGTTCGACTGGCCGGCTGTACGCGTTTCTTCGACACCGCGGTGAAGAACCGGTTGAAAACGCGCATGAGGCAGATCTGCACCGGAATCGAAGTGCAGCATGGTGTCTCGGTCTCGCTCGACTACAAACCGGTCTATCCGCCCACCATCAATCATCTGCGAAGCCAGCAGATGGCGGTGGACGTGGCAGGAACGATTGTCGGCGACACGCTCGTTCACGACGATCAGAACCCGTCGATGGCGTCGGAGGACTTCGCCTTCATGCTGGAGCGAGTGGCGGGCGCCTATCTCTGGTTGGGCAACGGCCCGGTCGCAAGTTTCGGTGCGCTGCACACGCCGACCTATGACTTCAATGACGCCATCCTGCCCATCGGCGCGCGGATTCTGGCGGCCTTGGTCGAAACGGACAGGCGATGATGCGTCCGGACAATCGCCGAGGGTGGAGCGTTCTGTCGAGAGATCGAACCGTTCCGCCGGGCAGGTTTGGTTCGATCTCTCGACAGAACGCTCCAAGCGGCTTCGACGCTTCAGGGCAGACCGCCTGAGTGTCCAATTCGACCGTCAGCGGCAGTCGATGACCGGTGATGCGTGATCGCATCGCATCCGTGGGCGGAAAGCAGCGGGCGGCACCTGCCGCCCGCCGGTCGTGGGCTGGCGATCAGCTTTCCGGCGTCAGGCAGTCCTTGAACGACGTCGTCATGTTGCGGATCAGCTCGAAATAGAGGTCCGGGCCCTTTTCCAGTTCCGCACCGAGCGGGTCGAGCACACCGGACTTCGCCGCTGTTCCCTCGATCACCGTCGAGACCAGTTGCGGCTCGAACTGCGGCTCCGAGAACACGCAGGCGGCGCCGGCGTCCCGGACGGTCTCGCGCAGCTCTGCGATGCGTTCCGCGCCCGGCATCACCTCGGGCGACACCGTGATCGAGCCGGCGGCTTCCAGGCCGAAACGGTTTTCGAAATAGTGGTACCCGTCGTGGAAGACGATGAAGCCCCGGCCCGAAAGCCCGGCAAGTTCGGTCTCCACGTCGGCGATCAGCGCATCGAGCCTGGCTTCAAGCGCCCCGGCATTGGCCTCATAGGTTGCGGCATTGGCCGGATCGGCTTCGACCAGCGCTTGCCGGATCTCGTGGACAAGCGCCTTGGCGTTCATCGGATCGAGCCAGATATGGGGGTCGGCGCCATCATGGCCGTGCCCATGGTCGTGATCGTGCCCGGTTTCCGCGGTCTCCTTGTCGTGATCATGATCGTGGTCGTGTCCATGGTCGTGGGCCTGCTCGTCATCGTCCCCATGATCGTGCGCGTCAAAGGCGCCGCCCTCACGGAACTCCAGCTTGACCAGATCGTGGGCATCCATCAGCTCCACGATCGTCGCATCCGCCGCGACGCTTTCAAGCGCCCCTTCCAGGAAGGCTTCCAGCTCTTGGCCGACCCAGAAGACGACGCCGGCGGACTGCAGCATCGTCGCTTCGGAAGGGCGCATCGCGTAGGTGTGCGGGGAGCCGGCACCCTGAACGATCAGGCCCGGCTTACCGACGCCTTCCATGACCCCGGCCACAAGCGAATGGATCGGCTTGATCGAGGCGACCACGTTGATCTCGGCCTGGGCGGCGACGCTCGATGCGGTCAGCAATGTCGAGGCCAGAACGGTTGATTTCGCAAGGCGCATGTTGTTCTCCCTGTTTGCACCGGTGTGGCGAGGGCGGTCCCTCACAACGTGATTGCGTAATGATATAACGTGTGCGATACCGTCGCAACCGGTTTTGCACCGATTGCCGCGACCATGCGAGCTTGATATCTCGAACCGATGTTGAAACGACCCGACCCACTTGTGACGCTCGATGGCGCGGGCATCTGCCGCGACGGCCGGTGGCTGGTGCGCGGAGTCAGTTGCACGGTCGACCCCGGAGAAATCGTCACGCTGATCGGCCCCAACGGATCGGGCAAGTCGACGACGGCGAAGATGGCGCTCGGCATATTGAAGCCCGACGAGGGCTCGGCGAAACGCCGCGACGGTCTGCGGATCGCCTATGTGCCGCAATCGCTGGCCATCGACTGGACGCTGCCCCTGGCTGTCGACCGCTTCCTTCGGCTGACCGGCCCGATCGGCAAGGCCGAGGCTGCCGATGCGCTGGCGGCCACCGGGGTCCGCCATCTGGCCCGTGCCGAGGTGCGCACCCTGTCCGGCGGCGAATTCCAGCGCGTGCTTCTGGCTCGCGCCATTGCGCGCAAGCCCGATCTTCTGGTGCTGGACGAACCGGTTCAGGGCGTCGATTTCACCGGTGAGATCGCGCTCTACGAACTGATCAAGTCCATCCGGGACCGGCTCAATTGCGGCGTCCTGCTGATCTCCCATGACCTGCACGTCGTCATGGCGGCGACGGACCGCGTGATCTGTCTTAACGGCCATGTGTGCTGTTCGGGCACGCCGACGGCCGTCGCATCGAGCGCGGAATACAAGGCGTTGTTCGGCGCCCGCGCGGCTTCGACGCTGGCCGTCTATGAGCACAGTCACGACCACACGCACCTGCCGGACGGGCGCGTGCAGCATGCCGACGGCACGATCACGAACCATTGTCACCCCGGCGACGGACACCATCCCGGCCCAGACGCGCTCCACAACAAGGGTGATGGCGATGTTCGATGATTTCTTCATGCGCGCGCTCATCGCCGGCATCGGCGTCGCTCTGGTCGCCGGTCCGCTGGGCTGTTTCATTGTCTGGCGCCGGCTGGCCTATTTCGGCGACACGCTGTCCCACGCGGCCCTTCTGGGCGTCGCGCTGGCATTCCTGTTCGAGGTGAACATCACCGCCGCGGTCTTTGCGGTGTCGGCCTGCGTGTCGATCGCCCTTTTGCTGCTCCAGCGCGGCGCGACACTGTCCGCCGATGCCCTTCTCGGTCTTTTGGCGCACGCGTCGCTGGCGCTCGGCATGGTCGTTCTGGCCTTCCTGACCTGGGTGCGTTTCGATCTGATGGGGCTTTTGTTCGGCGATATACTGGCCGTCTCCAAATCGGATCTGGCCACCATCTGGCTCGGCGGCGCGGTGGTTCTCGGCATTCTCGCCGCCATCTGGCGTCCGCTGTTCGCGGCGACCGTCAACAGCGAACTCGCCGAGGCCGAGGGCATGAACCCAGCCCGCGCCAATATCATCTTCATGCTGTTGATGGCCGCTGTGATCGCGATCGCCATGAAGATCGTTGGCGTGCTTTTGATCACGGCCATGCTGATCATTCCGGCCGCAACCGCCCGCCGCTTCGCCGCCGGGCCCGAGCAGATGGCTGTTCTCGCCGCGCTCATCGGCGCAGCGTCGGTCGTCGCCGGCCTTTTCGGATCGCTCGAATGGGACACGCCGTCCGGCCCGAGCATCGTCGTGGCGTCACTGGGCTTCTTCCTGCTGTCGCTTGTTCCGACCGGGCGGCGTTTGACCCGTGGACGTGATCGTCCGGCGACCGAGCCGCGCCACGGTGCGAAAGGATAATCGGGATGCAGCAGGGCCATGCTTCCGACGCCCTGACGAAGAATCAGGCCCTTGTGATGGGCGCCCTGTCCGAGGCGGGCGGCCCGCTGAGCGCCTACACGATCCTGGACCGGTTGCGCGATGACGGTCTTCGTGCGCCGCTGCAGGTCTATCGCGCGCTGGACAAGCTGGTCGAGTTCGGGCTCGTCCACCGGCTGGAAAGCCTCAATGCGTTCGTGGCGTGCCGCCACCCGGGATGCGACGGCCACCAATTCACGGCCTTCATGATATGCGATGATTGCGGAAGCGTGATCGAGATCGCCGACAATGCGCTGGCCGGGCGCCTGAAAGGGTTGGCCCAGGACGCCGACTTCGTTCTGGAGAAGTCGACGGTCGAACTGCGCGGCCTGTGCGCGGGATGCCGTCCGGCATAGGGTTTACCGTTCCTGTCCGTCGCCACACCGCGAAGGAGGAAGACTACAGCCGCCGCAGCAGCCCCAGAACGAAGACCGCGCCCAGGGCGGTCGTGACAATGCCGATCGGCAGTTCCTGCGGCATCAACAGGGTGCGCGCGGCGATGTCGCTGGCGAGCAGCAGACAGGCGCCGATAATCGCCGACATGATGATCAGCCCTTTGTGCATCGGGCCCACGAACCCGCGTGCGAGGTGTGGAACCATCAGGCCCACAAATCCGATCACGCCGGTGATCGAGACGAAGGCGGCGGTCGCAAAGGCGCAGACGAGAAAGGTGATCCGGCGCATCGCGTCGACGTTCACGCCCAACGTCCTGGCCGTGTCGTCGCCGGCGAGCAGCGCGTCGAGCCGGCGATAGCTGACCTGCGCGAAGACGAAGATCACGACCGCGCCGGCAAGCGCGATGGGGAGCAGATCCCAGCGGGCGAGACCCAGCCCGCCGAGCGTCCAGAACAGGACCGAATGCGCTGCCCGCTGATCGCCGGCAAAGACGAGATAGTTGGTCACCGCCATGAACAGGAACGATACCGCCAGACCGGCGAGGATCAGCCGTGCCGGTCCCTGATCGCGCAGACGCGCGACCAGAACCAGTACGATGGCCGAGGCGAGCATGCCGCCGACAAAGGCGGCGATGGGCAGAGTCCATATGCCAAGCACATCGCCTGTCACGGTGATGACGAGCACGGCGCCGGCCGCGGCGCCCGAGGAAAGGCCGAACAGGAACGGATCGGCGAGATCGTTTCGCGTCACGGTTTGCAGGAGGCAGCCAACCACGCCAAGCCCTGCCCCGACCATGACCGCAAGCAGCGCGCGCGGCAGCCTGAGATCGACGACGATCCGGTCGATCGGCGTCGGGCCGGCCTCGCCATAGGCCCCGGTGAGCGAGCGTGACAGCGCCTCAACAACGACACTGGCCGGAATCGGCGTGGAGCCGACCGCAATGGCGACCACGACCAGAGCTGCAAGCAGCCCCAGTGCCGGCAGGAGCCACGCCGTTGATTGCTGCATCGCCTAGGACGCGCCGCCCTGGATCGCCTTGGCGATCTTCCCGATCGCGTCGATGTTCGCCGGTCCCGGGGTGAGTTCCTCATAGCGCAGGGTCACGTAGCGCTCGTTCTTCACCGCATCGGTCTGCGACATGACGGGGTGCGCTTTCAGGAATGCCAGGAGGCCCTCGGCGCCATCGCCGCCCTGATAGTCGAGAAGGATGAGAAATTCGGGATTGGCGGCCGCAACGGCCTCCCAGGATGTGCGTCCCCAGCTTGTCTCCATGTCGCCGGTCACGTTGGTCCCTCCAGCCGCCTCGATCATGGCGGTGGTGATGGCGTATTTGCCTGCCGTGAAGGGCTGATCTTCGCCGGAATCATAAAGAAACACGCGCGTGGCTTCGCCTTCCGGCACCGATTGCCGGATGGCTTCGAGCTTGGATGTCCAGTCATCGACAAGGGCCCTTGCCTCGGCTTCCTTGCCGAACACTTTGCCAAGGCGCAGCGTGTCGTCAAACAGAAGGTCCATCGATGCCGCGGGCCGATCCTGGTCCAGGTGAATGCAGCTTTCCGTCAGAACCAGCGTCTTGATGCCCTGCGCTTCCAGTGTTTCCGGCGTCACTTCGCCGCCCGGGCGCATGCCATAATACCAGCCGGCGAAGAAGAGGTCGGGCTCGGCGGCGACAAGGTTCTCCATGGTCGGATATTTGGGTGCGAGTTCGGGAATGTCGCCCCGACGCTCGTCGAACTCGGCGCTTGTCTTGTACCAGCCCGAGATGCCGGTCACGCCGACCATGCGGTCCTGCAGGCCCAGTGCGAACGCCATGTCGGCCATGTTGATGTCGTGAACGACCATGCGCCCGGGCGCCGCCTCGAAGGTGACGAGCGTGCCGCAACTGTCAACGGTGACCGGGAACGCCATGGCGGGCGAGGCCAGCGCGGCCAACAGAAGGGTGGTGAGCAATCGTTTCATCGGAACGTCTCCATCTTTCAGCATGGCGTCGCGGAGTGTGTCGTCGGCATTGGAAGCCGGATATCCAGCGTCGGCAGATGGTAATCGTGTTCGGGGTGTTTGAGCCGGTGCATGTCGACCCCGAACACGTCGCGGACATTGGCGGTCGACAGCGTCTCGCCCGGAGGCCCGAAGGCGCGCAGGCGCCCATCGGCGAGGATTGCGACCTTGTCGGCAAAGGCATCGATCAGGGTGAGATCGTGAAGCGCGGCGACGATCGGAACGCCCATCGATGCGACGATGGCAAGCTGTTCGCCGCGAGCCAGGGGGTCGAGATGATTGGTCGGTTCGTCCAGGACCAGAAGCGACGGCTTTTGACACATGGCGCGCGCAATCCTGGCCCGCTGCCGCTCGCCGCCCGAAAGCTGGTCGAGCCGCCTTTCGGCAAGGTCGCCAAGCCCGACCGTTTCGCAGGCCCGGCGGGCCTCGTCCCGCCCTGTGCCGCCGGCGAACAGCCGCGCATGGGGCAAAAGGCCGAGCGCGACATAGTCGGCAACGCTCAGCCGCCCGTCGGCTTCGTCGGACTGGCCGACATAGGCGATGCGCCGTGCCCGCTCGGCAAAGCTCATCGCCGATATGGACTTGCCATCGATCATGATCGTGCCCGTGCCGGGCGATGCAAGGCCGGCGATCATCCGGACGAGCGTGGTCTTGCCGGCGCCGTTCGGGCCAACCAGAGCGACGCACTCGCCGGCGCCGACGGAAAAGCTGATGGCTGAGACCAGCGCGTCGGCGGGGCTTCGTCCGCTCGGCCAGTAGCCGACATCGCGTAGGTCGAGAGCGGCGGTCTGGCGGGTCATTGGACCGATACGCCCGCTTCGGCCACCAGGAGCGCGGCGGGAATCCGTGCCAGCGTCTTGCCGGACAGGCCCGGCGGCCGCGATGTGGACGAGCACCAGCCATCGTCGAGCGATGCATACTGGCGGGCAAACGCGACCAGATCGTCAATGTTCGCGTCGGCGTCGATGTCGCCGAACAGATAGGTGGCCTTGTGCGAACCGAAATAGGCAACCGTGCAGGGCCGGTCGCAGCCGGCCATGCAGACCGTCCCCGAGATTGCGAAGTCCGCGCCGATGGCATCGCCGGCAAGGGTCATGGCCTTCCGAAGGCGCGCGATCAGCTCAATGCCGGGCCGGCACTGGTCGTCGGGCTCACCTCTCTTGTGACGGCACGAAACGCATACGGTTATCTTGTGGTTGGATCGATCGACCATCCGCTGCTCCGCGGGGCGGAGGGCAAAGACCGTGATGTGCGGCGCAAGGCGCCAGATCGTCTCATCATGTGTCTCTCCTCCGGACATCCCCGTCCGGTTCGAGTGAAATGATGATGGCAGGTCTCCTGACTTGCGGTTCCTCGCTTCCCCGCGCCTTCCCGGACGGACGATGCCGGCCAGTGGCATTGGTGGGGGTCGCTCTCCGCTCACAGTTGCGGGGGCAGTCACGGATTTGGCGCCCTTGAGGCTCCTCCTCACCGTGTTCCCTTTTCATCCCGCGGACGCGCTCGGCCCGCAAGAACCATCGCGTCCACGCTAGTCCGGTTGCCGGCCGGCTTCAACTCCGAAATTGTCCGAACGCTCGATGTGCACATGCAGCGATACCGGCTGCCATGACCGTTATCGATGTTTGGGGCGACTTGCGCCTCGATGCTGCCCGCCATGGCGGGCGGGACCGGGCAATGATAAGCGTCTGCCAGGGCCACCCGGCCAAGACCATGTTCAATTGAAGGAAGCCTGCATGTCGTATGTCTTCGAACCGGCGCCGGTCCCGACGATCGCGGTGGCTGACAGCGACGATCTGGTCCCCGTGCGCCGCATCTTCTGCGTCGGCCGCAACTATGCCGCCCACGCGCGCGAAATGGGCCGTGATCCCGATCGCGAGCCGCCCTTCTTCTTCACCAAGCCGGCCGATGCGGTCGTCATGGACGGCGAGACGGTGGCCTATCCGCCGGAAACCGAAAACTTGCATCATGAAGCCGAACTGGTGATCGTCGTCGGCACCGGCGGGCGCGACATCGCCGAAGCCGACGCCCTGTCCCATGTCTGGGGCTATGCGGCGGGCAATGATCTGACCCGCCGCGACCTGCAACTGGCCGCGCGCGAACTGGGCCGTCCGTGGGACATGGGCAAGGCGTTCGACCGCTCGGCGGTGATCGGGCCGGCCCATCCGGCCTCGAGGGCCGGCCATCCGGACAAGGGCTTCATCCGGCTGACGGTCAATGGCGAGACCCGGCAGGATGCCGACCTGTCCGAAATGATCTGGTCGGTGCCGGAAGTCGTCTCGATCCTGTCGCACTCGATTGCCCTGCGGCCCGGAGACCTGATCATGACCGGCACGCCCGCCGGTGTCGGCCCTCTGGCCGCAGGCGATGTCTGCGTGGTCTCCATCGAGGGGCTCGGCGAAATCACGACCACGATCGGACCGCGCGGATAAGCCAATGACCCTCAAACTGCACAATTATTTTCGCTCATCCACATCGACCCGGCTGCGCGCGGCGCTCAATCTCAAGGGCGTGGACTATGACTATGTCTCCTACGCCCTGCGCGCCAAGGAGAACTATTCGCCGCGCTTTCTGGCCCTCAACCCGCAGGGCCTCGTGCCGGCGCTCGAACGCGACGACGGTACGGTGCTGACCCAGTCGCTGGCGATCATCGAATGGCTCGATGAAACGCATCCCGGGCCGGCGCTGCTGCCTCCCGATGCGGACGGGCGTGCGCGCGTGCGCGCGCTCTCCTACATGATCGCCTGCGAGGTGCATCCGCTCAACAATCTGCGTGTCCTCAACCATCTCGCCGACCGTTTCGGCGCCGATGAGGCCGGTCAGAAAGCCTGGTTCACCCATTGGGTGACGACCACGTTCGAACCGCTGGAGGCGATGCTCGCGGGCGATCCGGCGACCGGTCCGCTCTGCCATGGCGACACGCCGGGCATGGCGGACATCTGCCTTTACGCGCAGGTCTGGAACAACAGGCGTTTTGCGATCGACACCGCCCGGTGGCCGACGATCTCCGCGATCTTCGAGCGGCTTGACGCAATCGATGCTTTCCGCAAAGCCGCGCCGCCCAACCAGCCCGACGCCGCGTGACCGCGACCGACCCGGACCCGCCCGGGGGAATGCCATGAGCCGGCGCGCAATGCACGACGCTGGCGCTCAGTTCGCCGGCGCCTTGTCGTAGAGCGCCTCGATCTCGGTGCCGTAGAAATCGTAGATCTTGGCGCGGCGCACCTTCATGGTCGCGGTGACCTCGCCATCGTCATGATCGAGTTCCTTGGGCAAAAGCCAGACCTTCTTGACCTGCTCGACGCGCGCCAGAAGCTGGTTCTGCTTGTCGACTTCGCGGTCGATCAGCGCCTTGACGTCGGCGTTTTCAGCCAGCGAACGGAACGTTGTGTAAGCGATGCCTTTCGATTCAGCCCACAGGCGCACCGTGTCCATGTCGAGCTGGATCAGCGCGACGGCATAGGGCCGCCGGTCGGCGATGACGATGCATTCCTTGATGAAGGGTGAGGCCTTCATCGTGTTCTCGATCAGCGACGGCGCCAAGTTCTTGCCCGCCGCGTTGATCATGATGTCCTTCTTGCGGTCGACGATGGAGATCGAGCCGTCGGGCGCGGCTTCCGCGACATCGCCCGTGTGCAGCCAGCCATCGGTGATGGTCTCCGACGTTGCCTCGGGATTGTTGTAATAGCCCTTGAAGACGAGGCCCGACTTGACCAGCAGTTCGCCATCGTCGGCGATCTGCCATTGCACCTCCGGCAGGAAGAAGCCGACGCGGCCTTCGCTGCCGCCCCAGTCGGGCTGGACGCTGGCCGCACCGGTGGTTTCCGTCATGCCCCAAATCTCGCGCACATTGACGCCGATGCCGCGCAGGAAATGCACGAGATCGACCGAGATGGGCGCTGCCGCGGTGATCGCGAAACGGCAGCGGCTGAGGCCGAGATAGCTGCGGATGTGGCGGTAGACGAGCACGTCCCAGAAGGCGTTCTCCAGGCGCTGGGCCAACGACCAGTCGCGGCGCGGCGTGTCGCCGCGCTTTTTCGCCGAGGCCAGCGCCGCCATCGTGAGCGCCCGGCGGACCCGGCCGGACGTGTTGGCCTGGACCATCACGCCCGCCTGCATCTTCTCCCAGATGCGCGGCACGCCGAAAAAGATCTGCGGGGCGACATCGCGCAGATCGAGCGTGATCGTGCGCAGGGATTCGCCGAAATTCATGACGAACTGGCCGGTAAGCGCGTTGATCACCGTCATGTTTTGCTCGGCGATGTGGCACAGCGGCAGATAGCTCAAAATGTTGGTGCCCGGCGAGAAGCCGGCAAAGATCTTGGCCGCCTGCGTGCTGGCCACATAAAGGTTGCTGTGGCTGATCTCGGCCGCCTTGGGCAGGCCCGTCGAGCCGGACGTGAAGACCATCATGGCGGTCTGGTCGGGCCGGATCGACGCCTTGCGGGCATCGATCTCGGCGCCATGGTCGGCGATCGAGGCATGGCCGGCTTCCAGAAGCGCGTCGAAGCTGATCAGGCCCAGTTCGGTCTCGTGCTGCGTGCCCTTGGGTTCGAAGATGACGAGCTTGCGCAGTCTTGGCAGCTTGCCGCGCAGTTCGATGATCTTGTCGAGCTGTTCCTGATCCTCGATGAACAGGATCTCGGTGTCCGACGCGTTGACCAGATGTTCGATCTCGGCGGCGGGGCTCGTCGGATACATGCCGACGACGGTACCGCCTGCGGCGTTGATGCCCAATTGCGCCAGCACCCATTCGCGGCGGTTCTCAGACAGGATGCCGACATGGGTGCCGTTGCCGACACCCAGATCGATCAGCGCCGCGGCCATGGCGTGCATCGTCGTTTCAAGGCCGGCCCATGTCATCTCGTTCCAGATGCCGTGGCGTTTCTGGCGCATGGCGACGGCGTCCGGGTGGGACCGGGCATGTTCGGACACGATGGCAACCAGCGGCCGGAAGCCCTTGTCGGCGAATGTGGAGACGTCGTAGCGCATCGCTTCGTCCTCAGCTCAGCCAGCGTTTGCGGCGCTTGTAATGTTTGACTTCGCGAAAGCTCTGGCGCCCGGTGCCCCGCTCGGCAACGCCCAGATAGAAGCTGCGAATGTCGGGGTCTTCCTTCAGCTTGGCGACCGGGCCCTCGAGCACGATCTGCCCGCTTTCCATGATGTAGCCATAGTCGGCGACCTGGAAGGCGACGCCGGCATTCTGTTCGACCAGCAGGATCGATGCGCCGTCCTCTTCATTGAGTCGCCTGATGGTCGAAAAGATCTCCTCGACGATCTTCGGCGCAAGCCCAAGCGAGGGTTCGTCCATCAGGATCAGGCGCGGCTGGGCGATCATCGCGCGCCCGAATGCCAGCATCTGCTGTTCGCCGCCGGACAGATAGCCGGCGATCTGGCCGCGCCGCTCACGCAGCCGCGGGAAGAAGTCGTAAACCTTGTCATAGTCGGGCTTCCGGCTCGACCCGTCCAGCGCATAGGAGGCGGCGATCAGATTGTCGTCGACGGTCATCTCGGTGAAGATGTGCCGCCCCTCGCGGACGTGGAACATGCCGCGCTGGACGAGCTTGTCCGGCGGCACGCCCTTTGTGGACTGGCCGCGAAAGATGATGCGTCCGTCGCCGATCTGGCCGTTTTCGAGTTGCAACAGGTTCGAGGCCGCCTTGAGCGTCGTCGTCTTGCCGGCGCCATTGGTGCCCAGAAGCGTCACGATCTTGCCCTCCGGCACCTCGAGCGACAGGCCCCGCAGGGCCTGCAGCGTGTGGTGATAGGTGACCTCGATGTTCTCGATGGTGAGCATGAACGCGCAGCCGGCTTGCGCCCGGACCGAAGCCCGGGCGTCAGGGTCAGACCGTGAACCAGTCGGATGTCGGCGTGAACAGGCCCGACTCCGTCGAATACTGGTACACCCGGCCGGTGCCGATCTTGTTGTCGACCATCGATACGGGGCCGCCGAAGAAACCGCCCGTATCCCAATCGGTGATCCCCGACAGGGCCTCGGCGAGGTTGTCCGGCGTCGGTTCCTTGCCGCCTTCGACCGTGTCGCGCAGCGCCTTTATGGCGATTTCGAGCGCGCACATGGTCTGCAGCGTCCAGGTCGACATGTAGTTTTCGAGCGGCGTGCCGGCGAACATCTCCTTGGCGGCTTCGGCGAACAGCTGGTAACGCGGCGCGTCCTCGCGGTCGTAGAAATAGCGATAGGGCATGACGCCCTGATAGCCATCGAGGAACGGGCCGGCCTCGGCGGTCACGCGGTCGGCGATCAGCTTTTCCATGCCCCAGAAGGTTCCCATGAACTGGGTGGGCAGGCCGAACTGGCGGGCGCCGCCGATCAGTTGCGGCCAGACGCCGGTCACATAGCCCTGAAGGATCGCATATTCGGCGCCCGACTGGGCCAGCTTGGTCACATGGGTCGGAATGTCCGCGCCCTGCGGCTTGGTCGATTCTTCCAGAACCACTTCGATGCCCAGTTCCTCGGCGCGCATCTTGCCATGCTCGATCGGATCGCGGCCGAACTCGGTGTTCGAGAAGATGAAGGCGACGTTCGAGCCACCGGCATCCTTGATGTTCTGCAACAGGATGTCGAACTGGTCCTGATAGGACGGCCCGGCGAGGTACTGGTAGGGGTTGGTGGCCGGGTTGGCGAGTTCGGAGGCAAACGAGGTCGAGCCCATCAGCCGGGCCTGGTCGCCGGTCAGTTCGGGCGCGACCAGTTTCATGAAGCCGGTCGAGTCGCCGAAATAGGCGACCAGCGCATCGCCTTCTGTTGCGAGCGCGCGCTGATAGTTGGCCAGCGCGTTTTGCGGGATATAGCCCGAATCCTCGGTGACGAAGCGGATCGGCGTGCCGCCGATGCCGCCCTCATCATTGATCAGCTTCTGGGCGAGGGTGAAGGCCGGCGCGACCAGTTGGCCCGCGGTGGCGAACGGGCCGGTCAGCGGCAGCGAGGCGCCGATGACATATTCGGACGGCTGCGCGCGCAGGATGGTCGGCATGCCCAGCGCGGCGGTCGCGGCGGCACCGGTGGCGATAAAGGTACGGCGGGTCTGTTTCATGTCGGTCTCCTCCCTGAGACGGTTTGATCGGTCAGCCGCGGGCGAACGGCCAGCGGTTGAGGGCCCGAATGCCCCTGTCGACCAGTTGGTTGATGCCCAAAGGTTCGAACATCAAGAAAAAGATGATCAGAAGACCGAAGACGATCTCCTGAACCGGCGCGCGCAACTGCGCCACTTCGGCCGCTCCTCCCGCGACCATACCGAAGGTGAACTTCAATACTTCCGGCACCATGACAATGATCATCACGCCGAACACCGGCCCCATGGTGCGGCCCATGCCGCCGACAATCAAGGCGGCGACCAGTTGAAGCGACAGGGCCAGTTCGAACTGTTCGGGCAGGATGCGGGCGTAGAAATAGGCGAACAGCGCTCCCGCCAGACCGCAGCAGGCAGCCGAGATCGCAAAGCTCATCAGCTTGTAGCGGAACAGGGATATGCCCAGAATCTCGGCGGAATAGTCGCGTTCGCGAATGGCGATGAAGGCGCGGCCGACCCGTGTGCGGAAGAGGTTCTGGATGGCCAGAATGGTGACGAAGGCGAGGGCTGCGATCAGCGCGAACATTTCGCGCTGCGTGTCGAACACCCATCCCAGAATGTTGGGATCGGGCGTGTTCAGCCCGACAAGGCCGCCGGTCCATGGCGCAAGCGCCTCGAGCTCGATCAGGAAGATGATGATGAAGTTGGCGCTGAGCGTTGCGACCGCCAGATAGAGCCCTTTGACCCGCAGCGACGGCAGGCCGACAATGATGCCGACGATCGCGGAGATGGCGATCGCGCCGGGGATTGCGATGAACGGCATGATGCCGTCCGGCAATCCGATATTGTCCATCAGGCGGTGGAGGATCGGTACCGAATAGGCGCCGATCGCCATGAAGGCGGCATGGCCGAGCGACAGGAGGCCGGTATAGCCGATGACGACGTTCACGCCGACGACGGCGATCAGCATGATGCCCATCTGCGAGGCGACGAGGATGATGTAGTCGTTGGCGATGAAGGGCATCAGCGCACACAGCGCCGCCATCGCCAGAACGAAGGCCTGCTTGTAGCCATTGTTGAGAACGCGCTCGTCGGCCGCGTAAGTCGCCTTGAGGTCGCCGGTGATCATATGCGCTCGACCTCCTTCTGGCCGAACAGGCCGTGCGGCCGGATCAGGATGACGACCAAGACAGCGATGTAGGGCACGACCTCGGCGAATTCGCCGCCGAACTGCCACTGGGCCATGGCTTCCAGGAAGCCGACCGTCAACGCCGCGATGAAAACGCCGACATAGCTGTCGAGCCCGCCCATCAGGACGATGGCCAGCACCGAAAAGCCGAACAGGCCCAGCGAGGGCGATACGCCGTTTCGGGTCGCAAGGATCGCGCCGGCTATCGCGCCGGTCGTCGCCGCCAGCACCCATGCCCGCGAAAAGACGCGCGGCACGGAGATGCCCATCGAATAGGCCGTCGACTGATCCTCGGCGGTGGCGCGGATCGCAACGCCGCTCTTTGTGTAACGCACCATGGCGACAATGGCACCGAACAGCAGCAGCGCGACTGCGACGTTGACCAGATCGGCGCCGAACAGGAAGATCGGCGTGTCGAAAAGGTTCAGCCGGATCGGCGTGTTGGGCGCGATGTGCGGCACGAATTCGGCATCGGCCGTCCAGATCAGCCCCTTGGTGCCCGACAGGACCGAGATCAGCCCGACTGTGATCATGATCATCGCAAAGGTCGACTGGCCGATCAGCGGCCGCATCAGGGTGCGCTCGATCAGAAGGCCCAGAAGCGCGTTGCAGATGACGGCGCCGGCGAGACCCAAAATGATGCGCGGCAGGTTGGACAGCCAGTCGAGCACCGCGCCCATGGGCGAGAACATGGGCAGATCGGCCTTCATGGCCACCATCCATGCGGGCTCCCAGCTCTGCAGCCAGTCGGGCGCCCATGCGGCGCCCGGCACGATCACCGAGAAGGTGAAATAGAAATAGGCGCCGAACATGATGATGTAGCCGTGGGCGAAATTGACCACCTTGGTCGCCTTGAAGACCGAGACGATGCCGACGGCGATCAGCGCATAGATGGCGCCGGACATCAGCCCGTTCAGCGTAAACTGTATGAACTCTCCCATCGCCAGGCCCCCTACGCTGCCGCGCCGAGATAGGCTTCGATGACGCCGGGGTCGCCGGAGACTTCCGCCGGCGTGCCGGACGCGATCTGCTGGCCGAAGTTCAGCACCACGATATGCGAACAGATGTCCATGACCATGTGCATGTCATGTTCGACCAGAAGGACGGTGATGCCGAACTGCTCCTGCACGTCGAGGATGAAGCGCGCCATGTCGGCCGTCTCCTCGCGGTTCATGCCGGCAACCGGCTCGTCGAGCAGCAGCACCCTGGGCTGCATGGCCAGCGCACGGCCGAGCTCGACGCGCTTTTGCAGGCCGTAGGGCAGGATGGTGATCGGGTATTTGCGGATGTGGTCGATCTCGAGGAAGTCGATGACCTTCTCCTCGATCTCGCGGCGCAGTTCGAGCTCCTCGCGCCGGGCCGGCCCGAAATAGCTCAGTGCCGACCAAAGCCCGGTCCGCAGCCGCGTGTGGCCGCCCAGCTTGATGTTGTCGAGCACCGTCATGCCGCGGAACAGCGCGATGTTCTGGAAGGTTCGCGCGATGCCCATCTCGGCGCGCCGGTCTGGCGACAGATGGGAGATATCGTTGCCGCCAAAGAAGACCTGGCCGCGATCGGGCTGGTAAAAGCCGGAAATGGCGTTGAACAGGCTTGTCTTGCCGGCGCCGTTCGGGCCGATGACGCCGGTGATCTCGCCGGGTTTTGCGGCGAAGCTGACGCCTTGCAGCGCCTTGATTCCGCCGAACGACAAATGAACGTCGCGCACTTCGAGCATGCGCCGTTTTCCTCCCCAAGCGGCGAAGACGCATCGCGCTCGCTGCCGCTTTCAATCCTCCGGCATCGGCGTCGATCCATCGGGCCTTGGACTTTCTTCGCACGGCCCGCACCGGGCTGCAACATGCCACTCAAGCACGGCGACGGTTGGCGACGTGTGGTTTCGGTTGACCGCACCGGCCGAAGGCTTTTGACATGGGGCGGTGAGGGAACCGGCAAAGGGTGGTGTCATTGGGCGCTTTGAGTTCGGACAATCTGCTGTTGGGCGACGAGGGCAGGCAGGCCGGTCTGGCGCGCGCGCTCTACCGCACCGTCTGCGATCTGCCGATCATCAGCCCGCACGGCCATACGGACCCGGCCTGGTTTGCGCTGAACGAGCCGTTTCCCGATCCGGCGCACCTGTTGGTCGTGCCCGACCATTACGTATTCCGGATGTTGGTCAGCCAGGGCGTGCGGCTTGACGATCTCGGTATTGCCCGTATGGACGGTGCACCGGTCGAGACCGATCCGCGCGCGATCTGGCAGCGTTTCGCCGAGAACTGGCATCTGTTCCGCGGCACGCCGACGCGGCTGTGGCTGGACTATACGTTCGAGAAGCTGTTCGGGCTGACCGAGCCGCTGAGCGCCGCGACCGCAACTGAGGCCTACGAGCAGATTGACGCCTGCCTCAAGCGCGACGAATTCCGGCCGCGCGCGCTTTTCGAGCGGTTCAACATCGAGGTGATCAGCACCACCGAGGGCGCGCTCGATCCGCTCGAACATCACCGGGCGATCGCAGAAAGCGACTGGCAGGGCCGTGTGGTGACAACCTACCGGCCCGATGCGGTGATCGATCCCGACCATGAAAGCTTTTCCGGCGCGCTCGATGCGTTCGGCGAGCTGACGGGCTGCGATACGGGACGCTGGCCGGGCTATCTGGATGCCCATCGTGTCCGCCGCGCCTTTTTCCGCAGCCATGGCGCGACGGCCACCGACCACGGGCTCCAATCGGCTCGGACCGCCAACCTGTCGGGTGCCGACGCACAAGCATTGTTCGACCGTATCCGGTCGGGACGGGCGGGCGAGGGCGATGCCGACCTGTTTCGTGCGCAGATGCTGACCGAGATGGCGAAGATGAGTGTCGAGGACGGCATGGTGATGCAGATCCACCCCGGCTCGGTGCGCAACCATCATGGCGGCGTGTTCGAGACCTACGGCCGCGACAAGGGTTTCGACATTCCGGCCGCCATCGACTACGTCCACGCGCTGCGGCCGATGCTCGACGCGGTGGGCATGGAGCCCGGCCTGTCGGTGATCGTCTTCACGCTGGACGAGACCAGCTATGCGCGCGAACTGGCGCCGCTCGCCGGCGTCTACCCCTCGCTGAAGCTGGGACCGGCCTGGTGGTTCCATGACAGCCCGGAGGGCATGCGGCGCTTTCGCGAGATGACGACGGAGACGGCGGGCTTCTACAACACGGTCGGCTTCAATGACGACACACGCGCCTTCCCTTCGATCCCGGCGCGCCACGACATCGCCCGGCGGGTCGATTGTGCGTTCCTTGCGCGGCTCGTGTGCGATCACCGCCTGCGCGAGGACGAGGCGTTCGAGCTGGCGCGCGAGCTGACGGTGGACCTGCCGCGCAAGGCCTACAAGTTCGATGAACCGCGCTGAAAGCCATCGAGGAATGAGCCGATCCGCCTGACCAAAGACACTGTTGACCATGCCGCCGCGCGCCGGCCCGGCTATGACCGCGCAAGGGTTACGCCCGGCATCGTGCATCTGGGCGTCGGCAATTTCCATCGCGCTCATCAGGCCGTTTTTATCGACGATTGCCTGGCGTCGGACGGAACGTGGGGCATTCGCGGCGTATCGATGCGCCGGCCCGACATGCGCGATGCGCTGGCGCCGCAGGATGGTCTCTACACGCTGGCAGTCAAGGACGGCGCGTCCACCGAAGCCCGCATCGTCGGGTCGATCCTCGATGTGCTGGTCGCGACCGAGGGTGTCGAGCCGGTGCTGGCCGCGTTGACCGATCCGGCAACGCGGATCGTCAGCCTGACGGTGACGGAGAAGGGCTATTGCCGCGATCCGGCGACCGGCGATCTCGATCCGGACAACGCGGTCATCAAGGCCGATCTGGCCCGCCCCGGTCGACCGGCAACGGTGCCGGGGCTTCTGGTCGAAGCGCTGCGCCGGCGGCGACAGGCCGGTGTTGCCCCTTTCACCGTTCTGTCCTGCGACAACCTTCCGTCCAACGGCAAAACGCTGGGCCGGATCGTCGGCCAGTACGCCGCGCTTGCCGACAACGCTCTTTGTGAATGGATCGCCGGCCATGTCGCCTTTCCGTCCAGCATGGTCGACCGGATCGTGCCGGCGACGAGCGATGCGGACCGGGCTGAGGTCGAGGCCTTGATCGGTCTCGAAGATGCCTGGCCGGTCGTCACCGAGCCCTTCACGCAATGGGTCATCGAGGACATTTTTCCAGCAGGCCGGCCCGATCTCGCCGCGGCCGGCGCCGAACTGGTGACCGATGTGGAACCCTTCGAGCGCATGAAGCTGCGCATGCTCAATGGCGCCCATTCGACGCTGGCCTATTTCAGCCAGCTTCTCGGGCACGAGACGGTGGCCGATGCCATGGCGGATGACGCGCTTGCGCGGCTCATCGCGCAGGTGATGGGCGAGGCTGCCGCGACGCTCGATCTTCCGGCCTCCGACCTTGCGCGCTCCGGGACCGCGCTGCGGACCCGGTTCCGCAACCCGGCGCTGAAGCACAGGACCGCGCAGATCGCCATGGACGGCAGCCAGAAGATCCCGCAGCGGCTGCTCGGCACGATCGCCGACGCACATGCTGCGGGCAAGCCGTGGGATGGCCTGGCAAGCGGCGTGGCGGCCTGGATCGCCTTTCTTCGGCAAGGTCCGGTCGACGATCCGATGGCCGGCCGGTTTTCGGCGCTCGCCGCCCGTCATGCCGATCCGGTACGCCATGCCAATGCGGTGCTCGATCTGCGTGAGGTCTTCGGCACGCTGTCGGATGCCGACTGGTTCACAAGCCGGATGCGGTCGCTTGTCCAGACCATGGCCGACGAAGGTCCGCGCGCGGTCCTGCCGCAATGACCGTGCGAGCGTCAAACGCTGATCGAAAATTTGGCTTGCCGGTCAGCGGCTGCCCGGATCGTCGCAATCGAAATCGAAACGGTCGGGCAGTTGGAGCCCGGCGTCGAGATGATGGCGCACGGCCCGCACCGACACCCCGTCGCGATAAAGCCAGGGATCGTCGGTGGCGCGTTGCCAGTCCTCGGTCGCCGCGCGCAGCCGTTCGAGCGTTTCCCGATGGTCGGGATGGCCGGCCAGATTGTCCACCTCGAACGGATCGGCATCGAGGTCGTACAACTCTTCGGGCGGGCGGCGAACATAGTCCCTGACGGTGCGCTTGCCGATCATGGCCGGGTCGGCATTGCGCATGCCCTCCCAGGAGAGCGAGCCGTAGAGATCGCCGGAGAACGGAAAGTCGAGCTGCCATGCGACATTGCGATGGTATTTGTAGCGCGGCGTGCGGGCGAAGCGGGTCGGCCAGTAATTGGTGATCTCGTGGAAGGTGTGCGAGCCGAAGACGATCTGCCAGTCATCGTGCAGCGTCCCGTCTTCGAGGATCGTCAACAGCGACCGACCCGGTCTCGTGCCCTTGGCTTGCGCGGCGCCGGCCCAGTCGAGCAGGGTCGGCAGGATGTCGACAAAGGAGACCAGGTTCGGATTGCCCAGGCCGGCGCGCGCGCCGGGCTTGCGCATGATCAGCGGCAGATGGACACCGGCATCGTAGAGCGTCGTCTTGGAATTGAGGAACGGCGCGCCATTGTCGCTGAGAAAGACCACCAGCGTGTCGTCCGCATGGCCGGCCTCTTCCAGCGCATCGAGAAGAAGCCCGACACCCCGGTCGAGCCGGTGGACCGAACGGTAGTATTCGGCCAGTTCCAGCCGCACCTCCGGCAGGTCGCTGAGGAAGGGCGGCACCGAGACCTCGGCGGGTGAAAAGACGCGCTCATTGGGGTCGTCTTCGAAAGCGTCATTGCCGAAGCCCGACCGCGTCATGTCGCGATGCGGATCGACAAAACCGACCGTCAGGAAGAAGGGCTTTTCGGCGTTGCGGGCGGCATCGAGAAAGGCGCGCGCCTGTGCGGCGACCCAAGCGATGTCGCGCGTGCCGCTCTCCTCGCGCACCGCCCATGGATAGGTCTCGGGCGGGCCGACATGAACCTTGCCGACAATGCCGGTCAGGTAGCCGCGGGCATTCAGAAGGGCCGGCGCGGTCTCGACATGATGGAAGGTCATGAAATGGTGATGGTCGTGATGCAGGCCGTATTGGCCGTTCTGGTGCGTGTGCAGGCCTGTGTAGATCACCGAACGGCTGGCAGAGCAGGATGCCGTCGACGTGAAGGCCATGTCAAAGCGTGTGCCCTGGCCGGCGAGCCGATCGATGTTGGGCGTCGCGATCGTCGGTTCGCCGTAGCAGCCCGCCATGCGGCCCAGATCGTCGGCGATCATCATCAGGATGTTGCGGCTCATGCGGGGGCGCTTTCGGGAGTGGTGCCGAGCGGCGACGATGTGCGCGGGAACTCGGCGATCACTTCGCCGGCGACGGCAACGGCGTGCTTGAGGCGCTCATGCAAGGGCATGCCACGTGCCAGCGCGTCGAGATAGCCGGCATTGAAGCTGTCGCCGGCGCCGACCGTATCGACCGGTTGCGCGGGGACCGCGCTCGCGTGAAGCGTCCGGCCATTGCTGTGGCCGGTGGCGCCCTTGGCGCCTCGCTTGATGACAAGCGTCGCCTCGGCGTCCAACCAAGGCGCAAGCGTCGCGGTGGCGCTCTCGGCATCGTCGGTGCCGGCCAGCGCGGCGGCCTCCTTGTCATTGACCAGAAGGTGGTCGCAGCCGGCGATCCAGTCGCGCGCCAGGGTTCGTTCATCCGGCGTCCAGTCGCCGTCCGGCCAACCCGGATCGATGGCAATCTCCGCGCCGCGTGCGCGCAGCCAGTCCTGCAGCGCACGGTGACCTTTCATGAGCGCGGGCATCGCAAATCCGCCGCTGAGCATGACGAGAGTACCGTCCAGCGGCAGGCCGTCCAGTTCGGTGCAGAAGAAATCGGCGTCGAGATCACCCAGATGTCCGAGCGAGGACAGGAACGTGCGCTCGCTGTCGGGGTGCAGAAGGCCGATTGTGAAGCCGGTGGCGCCGGCGCGCATGGCCACGCGGTCGAGCGGTCCGTCGAAGGCGCGTCCGATGGCTTCGCCGGCAAAATCGTCGCCGCGCGCCGAAACAAGGCCGGATCTGGCGCCCAGCCGCTGCAGCACGAGCGCGGTGTTGGCCGCAGAACCGCCGACGCGCAGGTCGCCATGCGCGAAGAAGGATTCGGTTCCCCGCTCGGGCCACTGGTCAAGATGGCCAATGATCACGTCCAGATTGGCGTTGCCGACGACAAGGATCGGTCGGGCCGCCATGTCAGGCTGCCCTGGCACCATGCACCGGACGGCCCGATGCATCGAACAGGTGAATGGCGTCCGGTTGCGGGGTCAGGAACACCATCTCGCCTTCGCCAATCGGTTCGGCGCCGGCGAGGCGCACATTGACCATGCCGGCCGTCTCGGTGTCGACATGGGCGAATGTGTCCGAGCCGAGCGCTTCGGTCAGCCGGACGGTGCCCTTCCACAGGCCCTTGTCGCGCGACAGGTCGACATGTTCGGGCCGGATGCCGAAGGTGGCGGCGCCATGGCCGGCAGCGACCTCGCCAACGATGAAGTTCATGCGCGGCGAGCCGATGAAGCCGGCGACGAACTGCGAGGCGGGCCTGGCATAAAGTTCGAGCGGGGTACCGACCTGCTCGACATTGCCCGCGTTGAGGACGACGATCCGGTCGGCCAGTGTCATCGCCTCGACCTGGTCGTGGGTGACATAGATCATGGTCGTGTCCGCAAGCCGCTTGTGCAGGGCGGCAATCTCAAGGCGCGTATCGACGCGAAGCGCCGCGTCGAGATTGGAAAGCGGCTCGTCGAACAGGAAGACGCGCGGCTGCCGGGTGATGGCCCGGCCGATGGCGACGCGCTGGCGCTGGCCGCCGGACAGTTGCCGCGGCTTGCGCTCCATGTAGTCGCTGATCTGCAGCATGTCGGCGGCCTGGGCGATCCGTGCCTTGATCTCATCCGGTGACAGCTTGGCCTGTTCAAGCCCGAAGGCCATGTTCTCGAACACGGTCATGTGCGGATAGAGCGCGTAGGACTGGAACACCATCGAGATGCCGCGCTTGGCCGGCAGCACATCGTTCATGCGCTGGCCATCGATCATCAGGTCGCCGTCGGAGATGTCCTCGAGCCCGGCGATCAGGCGCAGAAGGGTGGACTTTCCGCAGCCCGACGGGCCGACGAAAACGACGAACTCGCCGCCCTCGAGCGCCAGATTGACGTCGCGCAGCACCTCGACGGTGCCGAACGACTTGCAGACGTTTTTCAGTTCGACCGAGGCCATGTGGTTACCCCTTGACCGCGCCGGCGGTGAGGCCGGAGACGATCCTGCGTTGGAAAATGAGAACGAGCACCACCAGCGGCAGCGTGACCACGACCGAGGCGGCCATGATGTTGCCCCAGGGCACTTCGAATTCGCTGCGCCCGGAAATCAGCGCGATGGCGACGGGCACCGTGCGCTGGGCATCGGTGGACAGGAAGGTGAGCGCGAACAGGAACTCGTTCCAGGCTTGGATGAAGGCGAGAAGGCCGGTCGTCACCATGGCGGGCCACAGAAGCGGCACGAAGATGCGCCTGATGATGGTGAAGGAGGAGGCGCCGTCCATGATCGCGGCCTCCTCGATCTCGACCGGCAATGCGCGCATGAAGGTGGTCAGCACCCAGACCGTGAAGGGCAGGGTGAAGATCATGTACGAAAAGACCAGCGACCAGAGCGAGTTGAACAGGCCAAAGGCGCGGACAAGTTCGAACAGCCCGGACAGGACCGCGATCTGCGGGAACATGGATACCGACAGGATGGTGAGCAGCAGAAGGCCGCGCCCGCGAAAGCGGATGCGGGCGAGGGCGAACGAGGCGGTGATCGCGAGAAACAGCGAAATGATGACCGTTACCGTCGCCACGAAAACCGAGTTGAGGATCTGCTTTCCGAAAACCCCGTCCGACAGCATGGAGCGGTAGTTGGACAGGTCGAACACGGCCGGCAGATAGTTGACATCGAACAGCGCCTGGCCGTCTTCCAGCGACGTCAGGACCGCATAGTAGAACGGGAACAGCGCCTGAATGACGATGATCGCGACCAGGGTGTAGAAGCCTGTCGTCTTGAGCCAGGCCGGCGCGGTCATCGCTCGTCTCCCTCAAGGTTCATGCGGGTCGCGTAGATGAAGCCGATGGTGATCAGCGCGATGATGAAGAACAGAAGGGTCGATGCGGCCGAGCCGTAGGCGAAGCGGTCGAAGTCGAACAGGTTCTCGCGGGCGTAGACGCTCATGGTGCGCGTGGCGTCCGTGTTGGGCGTCATCACATAGACGATGTCGAAGACCCGCAGCGCATCGAGCGCGCGGAAGACGATGGCGACCAGAAGCGCCGGCATGATCAGCGGCAGCGTCACCCTGCGGAACAGGCGGAACGGCGGCACGCCGTCGAGCCTGGCCGCCTCATACATGTCCCTGGGCACCATTTGCAGGCCGGCGAGGATCAGAAGCGCCATGAAGGGCGTCGTCTTCCACACATCGACCATGATGACGGCGATCATCGCGGTCTCGGGCGACGCGGTCCAGGCGACGGGCGCATCGATCAGGCCGATGCGCTGCAGCATGTCGTTCACGATGCCGAACTGGTCATGCAGCATCCAGGCCCACATGCGGGCCGAGACGATCGTCGGGATCGCCCAGGGGATCAGGACGGCGGCCTGCACCCAGACGCGGCCGGGAAACTTCTTGTGCAGGACGAGCGCGATGACGAGGCCGAACAGGGTCTCCAGCGACACCGAGACGATCGCGAACCAGACCGTGTTCCAGACCGAGCGCCACCAGCGCGGATCGGCGAGCAGGCCGAACCATTCGCCGTCGCCGTTTCCGTAGTCGACATATTCGAGATAGTTGCGCCAGCCGATGAAGCGCGCTTCGCCCAGAAGGTCGAGCGAGGCGTCGGTGAAGGAAAACCAGATCGTCCGATAAAGCGGATAGAGCGCAACGCCGGCGAGAACGATCAGCATCGGCGCCAGGAAAAGCCATGCCGACCGGATGCGCTCGCGCGACAGGCGCGAGGTCCTGGCGCTGGCCCTTGCGGTGGCCGGGGAGATGTCCGGTGCAGCACTCATGGTCGGTTCCGAGAGGGTTTGCGCACGGGCCGCGAACGGCCCGCGCGCGGGGAGGAAAGCTTACCAGCCGGCGCCCTTCAAGCGCTTGAGGCGCGCTTCGAGCTTGGCCAGGTTCTCTTCGGCGGTGCCGTTGCCGCTCATCGTGTCGTGCACGGCGGTCCAGAACTCAGAGGAGACCTCATTGTACTGGCGCTTGGTGGCGGCCGACGGGCGCGGCAGTGCACCGTCCACGACCGGCTTCCAAAGCGGGATGAATTCCTGCTCGGCGGCGACCTCGGCGTCTTCATAGACGGCGGTCAGGGTCGGCGGGCGCGAGGTGACGATGGCGCGCTCTTTCTGGTTCTCATAATTGTTCAGGAACCGGACGAGTTCGATCGCTTCCTCCTGGTTTTCGGAGTATTTCGACACACCCAGATGCCAGCCGCCAAGCGTGTGCGCCGACGGCTTGCCTTCGCCGCCCGTCGGCAGGGTGCGGACGCCGAAATTGCCCTTGATCGGGCTGTCGTCGCCATTGCCCAGCGCATAGGCATAGTTCCAGTTGCGCATGAAGACCGCATTGCCCGACTGGAACACGCCGCGCGCATCCTCTTCCTTGTAGTTGAGCACGCCATCGGGCGCGATGTCGCCGACCCAGGATGCGGCCATGGTCAGCGCCTCGGCGGCCTGCGGATTGTTGATGCCGATGGTGCCGTCGTTTTCGACGATGCGTCCGCCGCCGAAGCTGACGATCCATTCCTGCGCATTGCAGGTCAGACCCTCATAGGCGGCACCCTGGAAGACAAAGCCCCACATGTCGGCATTGCCCTCGGCCCGCTCGGCTTCCATGATCGCGCGTGCGGTCTCGGTCATCTCCTGCCAGGTCTCCGGCACCGCCTTGCCGTGCTTTTCCAGAAGGTCCGAGCGGTAGTAGAGCGCCGGCGCGCCCAGGAACATGGGAAGCGCCACCAGCTTGTCGCCGACCATCTGGCTTTCGACGGCACCGGGCACGAAGTCGCCGATAATGTCTTCGACATGCGGCATCAGGTCGATGAAGTGGGTCTCGATCTGCGGTGCCCAGATCACGTCGAGCCGGTAGACGTCGATGTCGGACGACTGGGCCGCCAGCCACAATTTGTACTGGGCGAACTGGTCGGTGGTCGATTCGGGCATGGAGACGATGGTCACGGTGTGACCGGTCTCGGCCTCGAACTTGTCGAGCTGGGCGCGCAGGATCTCCTGGTCGCGGCCCACCGAGCCATGCACGATGTTGAGTTCGGCCGCGATGGCGGTGCCCGCAAGAAGCGTGGCGCCGGCCAGCGCGGTCATGAATTGAAGATGTCGTTTCATCGGAATTCCTCCCTGGTTGGTGAAACGGTCGGCGGTTTGCGGAGACGGTTCATTGAGCTGCGTCTCCAAAAAAGATCGGTGAAGTCCAGGCCATCTGGCCATCGCGCTGACAAAGGCGCGCATAGACGGTTTCGCCGGGCTCGGCCGCGCCCAGATCGAGGGTGCCGGCCCATTGCCACTGGTGCGGCTGCGGCAGCATGTGAAAGCGGAAGGCGGGCGAATCGATCGGCCCCAGATTGCCGCTCAAGGCGCCTTCCATCAGGCGCGTCAGCGGAACGGAGATCGACGTTTCGTCCAGTTCGGCATGGATGACGGCGTCGGCGCGGGCGGTCAGGCGCAGCGCGAAGCCCTGCGTCGCCGAGGTGACATTGTTGGGGTTGGCTTCGGCGGTCACGGCAAAGCGCACCGTTTCGCCGTCCCGGCCCAGATACGGCAGCGGATGGGCATTGTCGCCGCCCTCCAGCGGCGAGACCACTTCGGGGCCGCGAAAGCGCGGTTCGACGGCATCGATGGCGCCGTTTTCGAGCCGGACGGTGCCGGTCCAGTGGTGGCTGGTGCGCCGTGCGCCCCAGCCCAGTTCGACATAAAGAACGGTCTCGACGGTGCCGGCGGCCGAACGGCTGATCGGCGCCGGTGTCAGATCGGGCGAGATGCGCGTGAAGAGCTCGCCATTGCGGACGATGTCGATCGTGTCGATGAACCCGCCGGCAACGGCCTCTATCTGCAGTGTGGCGCGCGGCGCCGGCGCGGCAACGTCACCCTGGATCGCGTCGCCCGCTGCGATGAGGAGATGGGTCGTGTCGCCGGTCAGCGCGTTGGTGTGCCGGCCGCGCATGGCCGCCCAGATCGCCTCGCGCCCGCCGCCGTCGATCGCGCCATAGGCCGCCATCCGGCCATGGCCCCACGAGCCGGGAAAGCCGCTGTGATGGTCGGTGTTGCCGACAATGCCGAACCGGGCGCCGCGCCGCAGCCCCTCGGCCATGGTCGAGCGGCCGTCGACGGGACCCATGGAATGCAGATAGCCGCGTGATGTCTCGGATGCCTCGGCGCAGCCATGCATCGAGAACATCTCGACAAAGGGCGACAGGGCGGGATCGAACGTGTCCCAATTGATGCCGCGGGCGCCCTGCCGGTAACCGATATGGTGCGGGAAAGCCAGCGCCCGGCCACCCTTGTCGGCGGCAAGCCTTGTCCTCAGCTCCGCCGGCGTGTCGGCCAGCACGATCGGGTCCGGCTCGAGATCGGCGTAGACGATCGTGTAGTCGCCATCGGCGCATGAGTGGATTTCATATCCGGGAAAGACCCAGAAGCCGTTCTCGTCATTGTGGCGGGAGAGCGTCTCGAAATGGTCCTTCCAGCCGGCACGCAGCTTGGCGAAACCCTTTTCGTGGAAGTCGACAATGTGGGCGACGGCAGGGTCGTCGACCGGCATGTCGGGCCAATGGGCATGGCCGGTGATCGAGACGAAGTCGAGCTGGAGGGCCGCGCGGTCGAGCGCGCCGTCGAGGCTGCCATGGCCGTAGGACAAGGCGCAGTGATTGTGGATGTCGCCGAAATAGGCGCGCACGCCGCGCGCGGCGGCAAGGGGGGCGAGCCGGTCTGGCAGGGGCGCTGTCATGGCGCGTCCTCCACCCTGGCGGGATCGATCGGCTGGCCGCCATTGCGCAAGGACCACAGGGCCGCATGGACCATGCGCAGCGAGGAAAGCCCGTCGCCGGGACCGACCGGCGGCGTGGCGCCGGCGCAGAAGGCGCGCATGGTGCGCACCAGTTCGAGGTCGGCGCCGAAATGGGTGGACTGGCGTTCCGGATCGGTGAAGGTCACCGTCTCGGCCTTGTGGCCGTGGGCGGAGACGATGTCGATGCTGCCCGAATGGCGTTCCATGCGCAGCCGGCCCGACGCGCCGACGATCTCCAGCGTTTCCTGATCGGCCGCCCACGGGCCGAAAATGGTGAAGAACAGGCAGGCCGTCATGCCGTTCTCATAGGCGACCGAGATGATCGCGTGGTCGTCAATGTCGGCGCCGGGCAGGAAGACGCAATTGTCGTTGCGGTCCTCGATGCGGTGCGCATGGGTCCAGCTGTCATTGGCGACGCGGCCGACACCCTCGAACTTGTCGACCAGCGTCTGGTGCCGGCGATAGGGGCAGACACGCTCGCACTGGCTGCACCGCGGCGGCGCGTCGGGGTCGGGCGCGAAGATGCCGCTGCGCCCGCCGATGGCCGACACCGAGACCGGGCGGGCGCCGGCGATCCAGTTGAGCACGTCGAAATGGTGCGAGCACTTGTCGTTGATCGCCCCGCCGGACTTGGACTGGTTGCGGTGCCAGAGCTGAAGATAGCGCGTGTAGGGGATGACCGAGCGCAGCAGGATCATCTGCGGATCGCCGATGCGGCCCTTGTGGGCCAGATCGACGGCCTCGATCCAGGGCTTCTCGTAGCGGCGGGTGAACCCCATCATGACCGGGCTCGAAGCCGCCTCGGCGCGCAGGATCGCCTCGGCGTCGGCGAGCGTGACCGAAATCGGCTTGTCCAGATAGATCCGTTTGCCGGCTCTGGCGGCGATCTCGACCGGCTCGCGATGAGCGTCGGTGTGGGTGGTGACGAGGACGAGACCGACCGATGGATCGGTGATGGCCGCTTCCATCCCGTCTTCGGGCATGACGGTGTGGGCGATGCCCTTGTCGGCATAGATCGCGGTCAGGTGGTCGGCGGCGTGGCGCGCACGGTCGGGCAGCGCATCATGCACCGAGACGATCCTGAAACCGGTCTCGGCGGCGATTTCGGCCATGCGCGCGCCGATGTAATAGGCGCCGCGTTCGCCCGCCCCGATGATCGTCACGCCGATCTGATGTTGCTGTTGTGGGGTGTGAAGCACGCCGCGCGTCCGCAATTGGTCTGAATGGCGGCACGTTATTTGAGTACAGGAATGGCTACAATGTGCCCTATACTCAATCGGCGTCCGGCGGCACGACACTGCCATGGACGATGTGGCCGATCGGCAGATAGTGCACGGTCGGCGCCGAGCCGGACATGGCGATCCGTTCGGTGATGATCCTTTCGAACAGGTCGAGCTTTTCGCGGTGCGAATTGCCGATCACGTCGAAGCGGCGCACATGCTCGGACGGAAAATCGGTGCTGCCGAGCAAGAGTACGCTGAGTTCGTCGCCGATCGTCTGGCCCAGATCGGTCAGCGCGCGCTCCAGCATGAAGCCCTCGACGATCCCCCAGGCGATCAGCGCGGTGAAGGGCAGCTTGCCGTTCTCGTCGCGCAGCGGGCCGAGGGCCGCGGTGATGTCACCGATCTGGGTGGCGCCGGGAAGTTTGTCCATGGCGATCAACCGGCCGGCATCGGGGTCCGGCAGCCAGCGGCACAGAAGCTCGAATTCGCGCCGCGCCATCGCGATCTGGCGGGCCTCATGACCGGAGGTGAGAAAGCCGATCCGCTCATGACCCTTGTCCTGAAGCGTGCGGAAGGCGATCGACAGCGCCTCGCGCCAGTTGGTGCCGATGGCGTCGGCATCGATGCCGGTCGCCGACACGCCGTCGACGATGATGGCGCGCGCATGGCGCTGCAATTCGGCCAGAAGCTCGATCGACATGACCTCGAAATGGATCTGGATGAGGCAAGCCTTGAAGCGCCCCAGACGCCCGAGCAATGCGACCGCCTGCTCCTCGCTCGAATAGCCGATCTGCAGCACCGAGTGCCCGCGCGCCTTGAGCCGCTGTTCCATCTCCTGCAGCACCGACCGGGCAAGCCGGCTGTCGGAAATCCGGTAGAGAACGAGAAGGTCGCCCTCCCACTGTTCGGCCTCGCCCGTGTCGGGATCGGCGACAATCAGGCCCAGACCGGGCTGGGCGCGCAGGCGGCCTTCGTCGAGAAGCGGCCTGAGCGCCTGTTCGACGGTGCGTTGCGCCGTACGGTGGGTGCGCATCAGCGTCTTGACCGTCGGCAGTTTTTCGCCTGGTTCGGCCGCTTCGATCCGCCGGGTCAGCGTCTGTCTTATGCGGTCTATCTTGTCGATGGTGCTCTGGCGCATCGGTGTGCTTGTGCGGGTTGCCGGCTTTCTGGGGCGAAGGCGTTATCATCGCATCGCGGCCAAGCGGCGTCCATGGCCGTTGCGCCGCCTCAGCGGGGCGCGGCGCGCCTGGCGCGGCGGGTCGACAGGTAGAGGCTGGTCTGCGAATTGGCGATGCCGTCGACCAGCCGGATGCGGTTGAGCACCGCATCGACATCCGACAGCGTGTCGGCGGCCAATTCGACGACGAGATCCCAGCGGCCATTGGTCGTGTGGACGGCATGAATCTCGGGAAATCCGCCGAGCGTTTCGACGATGCGGTCCTTCCCCTTGCCCTCGATCTCGATCATCGTCACGCCGCGCACGCCGCGTTCCTCGACATCGCCGCGCAGCACGACCGAGTATCCCAATATCTCGCCGCTCGCCTCAAGGCGGGACAGGCGCGCGCGCACCGTCGCGCGGGTGATCCCAAGCTGCGCGGCGAGCTGCGAAATGGACGCGCGTCCCTCGCCGCGCAGAACCGACAACAGCCGATAATCGGTTTCATCCATGGTTTGTCGCCCAAACTGGTCGTTTCCATTGATCACAACAGATAATCGGAATGCAAGTTTGGTCACTATTTTGGCTTGTGACTGCGCATTTCACCGTGGTCGGTTGGGCCGAGGGCGATACAGGGAGCCGACGCGTGCAGCACACTGGCAACAGACCGGACATTGGGGGAACGAGGGTGCCCGGTGGGGCGGCGGCCGCGCCTCTCGACATAACGCTTGTGGGCGTGCCGGTCGATTGCGGCAGCGCCTATCGGGGTTGCCTGATGGGTCCCGACGCATTGCGTGTCGCCGGGCTCGCCGAAAGCCTGTCCGAACTCGGCCATCGCGTGTCGGACGCCGGCAATCTGGCGCCCGACTTGCCCGGACCGCGCGAGCATACCAATCCGGCAATCCACGATCTGGGACCTTCG